CACACACGTGTATCTGTCGGTATGCGCCGTGTATCCGTGAGATACAAAAATGTCCCCAGCTTCTCTGGCCATCAAATCGATGGAAAAAGTCAGTACGGTGACTGTTTCAGTTGATATTGGTTTTTCAAACCAGTTCGTGGACCACCACATTCACCCTCCTCACTACCCTAGACCACTACCCTGGCCATGGCACATCCCCTGCTCCGACGACTGGTGGTCTCCGGCATTTTCCATGTTGTACGTTGTTGTCCCCAGTGGAGCACTTGCAAATGCGACCAAAGCACGTTCCGCAAAAACTCTAATGACAGGCAAATAAATTTCGAAGAAAATATATTTTGGAAAATTGATCTGACGTGTCACGCGAGTGTGGAGAGCCAGCATCCGTCGACCAGGTACACAGTTTACCTATAAAAACATCCAACTAGGAAATTGGATTATTGGAAATGCTTTTAAATAAATATTATTAAGCCTTCATCGGTTTATGGGCCCGATTTTTATGGGAGTTTTTGGCAAGCGGATATTCTTAAAGGTATTCATAAAATGAATCTTTATTGATTTATTCAATTAATTTGATTATTTGTTCTTTTTTAAAGTATACACATACTGTTTTTTGTTACTTAAATCCTAGCTAGAACTTTCCAATTATACCTATTAAGAGTATCCTACTAAAAACCTATTCTAGTTCAAAGTTAAGGACTAATTTTCTTGCAAAATGATACAGTTTTTAGAGCAAATATGAACTCTAGATCGTATTGTATTTTTTTGACACAGATTATTCCCGAAAAGCTATAGCTATCATATGTTAGCTAAAGTCAAACATTTTAAAACCCCAAACACTTTTCAACCCATACAACATATATTTTAGGAAACTGTTTCAAGAAAAACGAATAAAATCCCCATTTAGTCCATTCCAATAAAGATGCCATTCGATCTTTGGGAAATGCGACCGCAAAGCGTTTGGTTGCGGGAAACGCTAAGCAATAATCGTTTTTATTACCTATCCGACGGAATATTTTATTATCCTTTGCAGGAGCAGCAGGCCTCCATTGAGTGTGAATGTCAAATTGAGGAAGAGGCCCAAAATTACCTTTATTGACAAGTTAATGTTTATAGGTGTAGCCGCATGAGGATGTTGTCAGGTTAAGCGCAGTTAATGGAAGGTGGATAGGCTGTTGATGGTGATCAGGACGTGGCTGGTGTCCCCAAGCAATAGCCTCGATGGGTTTTTTTTTGTGGAATAATTTAGTGAGCCCGCGGCACGAAGGAGCTTCACTTCACCTTCAATTGAAATCATCGGCAATAGCAATGGCAACGAAAGCGGCTACGGCGATGTCCTGGTGAATTATTCATGGCCCAAAGCCAAAGACAGCAATCAATTGGCGTTGACATCGCACCGGCACCGCCCCACCTCAAGACCCCAAAAAGCACGCGATGCTTTCAGGGAGAGACTGTCTTGCCATTTTATTTCCAAGGGCTTGATTAATTGAAAATGAGTTTATAATTAGCAGCCAAGTGCCTCTAATTGACGTCATGCGGTGAGGTAAATTCCTCTTTTTTTCCCTCGGAATCGAAGCATCGAATTTCCTGGAAGAAATATTACAAAAGGATAGCTTCGGGCCAGGATTTCCGACAACTTTCTTGATATCTCTACCGAACTCACATCAAAGGCTAAGGGTGTGGCTTTTCAGCGTCTTTAAAGGCGGAGTTTCTCCAAAGGTTTTCAACCTCAGTGGTTGAAAATACATGCCTTTTATACAAAAATATTATTGGTATTTCCCAGGACTTGATGGCATTTCGATAGGCTAGTTAGTCGTAGGGCTTCTGAAGCTAGGACTTGAGTTTCGGCATTAAATTAATTAATCCTTTAGGCTTGCGTGTTTTTTGGTTTCGCCTCGTAATTCCTCCCTCCTGCTATTGTCTCTTTAGGAGGGCTTTGGTCAAGCGCCTGTTTGTGCAGCTCGGACAAACCAATTTACATATTTGAGTCCAGGAGGCTCTGCAGGAGATGGGTTATTGAAAGGGGTAGGCAGTGAAAAAAATGTTGTACAGCTAGAGACTTATTTTGCAGGTTTATCGGGTTAGGTTAAGGGGCTTTCAAACATTTTTTCCAGTGTTTCAGAGTTCGTCTGGCGGGAGAGTCCTTCCAAGGAGTGGCCCTCTTGGTCTTGGAGTGCTCATGTTGGGTGCGGTCTCAAATGACGACGGCAAACGCGCCAAATCACGTTCCGTCAACAAATATTGAGGTATTCTGCTTTACCATATCCATTTTTTCTGCTGGAGTGTCCCCGGGCCACGCACAAATTAGCATGTCCACCGATAATTGTCCTTCCGTGGAGATGACCCGCCGAGATAACTGTCCATAGTTTTAACTGATTTCCCTCCCATTTGGCCAGCCAGCTGACTTTTTGCCTCAAGAATTTGATTTTCCCATTACGATTTTATTGAGAAATCGCGTGCAGCTGCTAGTTTCCTCTTAAAATGGCAATTCATAGGTTTTCCTTTTGGATTTCAACTCGTAATCATTATTTTTTGCGTTTGGTTACTTTAACGAAATTAATGAGAGGAGTAGAACGATTTAAGAATGAAATAAAATGAAATTATTCGGTGAAATGCAAATACAAATGCGGAAAAAAATGATATTTAATTATGGCCGTAGCCCCTTCAGCATTTAGACTCTGCCGACTGGCACTGGCAACTTTTCCATTTTCCTCCATTTTGAATAAATTTGCATTTCTCTTGAGCCGTGGCAGCAACAATAAAAAGGCGCAACAACACCAGATACAACAATATTAAGAGGCAATTGAAAACTTTTGCAAAAGTCGCGACTCGCGACCAAGCTAAGTGAGTTAAAACGGAAACGGAAGTTGTTTAACGTCTTTCCAAGTGCAGACCCGGTTGCTGGGAGTTCTTGGAGGACCCAAAAGGACCCCAAAAACCAACCGGCCGACAGCCGAGTTGGCGAAGAAAATTGAAGTTTAATTTTGTTTTACAAGCATAATTATGAGCTTTGAGCTGCGATGGCTCTGAAGAAGAATATCTCTCCTTTTTTTCTGCGAAAGGGGAATAAAATAAACCTTGACGGGAAAAGTTTTCAAATTTCAAATTCAAGTTTGGACAAATGAAATACAGTGGAAGTACAGTATTCGATGCAGATTAAGTCCCATATTTAAACGCTAAACAGACAAAACGAGGGAATGGCAAGAGCTTATCCAACTCCTTCCAACCAACCACCTTGTTTTGAATTACTTTGAGCCCTTTGCTTTTGTTGGGCCCTTGTTGATGGGTTGTTTGTTTATTTTGCTTGCTGCTGCGTGGCAGCCGCGAACCTCCACGCAGTGCGGATCATGATGAGGTTGCCAACACCTTGCGGCTAACAAGTGCATGCCACTGCCATCCCAATCCATTCTCCGGCGGAGTCCAAAAACACCAGAGTCCATACCCTTAATTGTCACCATCCAGTGCCTTTTTGTGGCAACTGAATCGGGATGCCATTTATAGAGGATTATAACCCTTTCGTTTGAGAAAAGCTGAACCAGATATTTAAAATTTATTCAGGTGGCATTATTCCTAGCATTATCCTCTACTTTAGATCCTAATTGAGAAATTTTTAACTTTCAAATATTAATGGTATTCTGTATTCCATAATATATAAAGTTGGAGATCAAATATCACTGGAGAATGCAAGTCACGGCCCAGAACCTGTATGGTACATGGACCATGAATTGGCCCCATCACCACATCTCCCACCAGCTTGGCCCTGTCTGACCTCCACCCTCTCAGTTTCCCGTTTTCCATTTTCCGAGGGAAATGCGCAGGTGTGTGGTGAAAAATACGCTAAACCACCCGGCGGACGTTAAACGATTTTCGAATGAATTCAAATTCGCGATTGTTGTTGCCCCGAAAACGTTTACCTTCTGTGGCAAAAAGGTTGATTATCTGTGGGTGTGGCGAATGTGAGTATGCAAACAATTTTCTGGATTAAATGAGTCCCAAATGAGACGTTTTTATGCCCCCGCTCAGTTTATGCGACATCATAAAGTCCAGTGTGGATTTAGGAGCTCTTCGCGCTTCCTTAATCCTTTGTATAATGCTCCTGATGGCTTAATCTAAGCCTGGGACGAAACAAAGAGTCCTCCGTTCCCCATTCCGCCCCAGGAGATTCCCTCGAGATTCCCTCGAATGTCGAAAAATTAAGTTATTTCCTTTCAATATTGAATTTATCAGGACGACATGAGACGGCGAAATACGTGTCCGGAATAGATATCCCCAAGATGTCAGCGGTCCAGGAGTCATTCGATTCCTGGCATTAAAAGTGTCGCTTGTATTTAAATATCCAATTGTCTCACGGACAAGGATGTGAAACATTTAAAAATGCGCTGCCTGTCAAGGACCAAAAATTCGGTTATTCAATTGGTTTGTTGCTGTATGGCAAGTGACACCCTCTGATGGTCTCTGAATTTTAAAATCCACCCAAAAGACCCCAAGAAGACAGGAATCCAAGGTGTATATATCAACAGGACGTGTTAACACTTCATACGTTCATTTTTTTGGGTTTCGAGGGTATATTTGGTTTGGTTTACAACTCACCCCAGAAACACACAGAAAACTGGGTGCGATTGTTATTTACATTCTTTTGGGCTGCATTTGCTTTTATGTGGTGGCAATTTATTCAAATTGAGACATTAGACAAATTAAATTTACACCTATTTCACTTGATTGTTATCATCTGTATATTCATTTAATTATGACATTATTTCAAAAAGGTGTATTAGCATTTTGTTCCGCAAATAAACATTTATTGTTATTTCGCTTTGATATAAACAAAATATTCATTGCATATAAAGTAGCACCATTTGCATTCAATGTGTGTAATGAAATAAAATCAATACATATCTAAATAATTAAAATTTATATCTACCAAAATATAGTTTTTATTCCAAGTATCAATTTATAAAATGAAAGATTCGTAGAGTTAGGTTTTTCGACTTTTTCCAAAAACATCCAAAAAGTATGCTTTGATTTTCTTTATTTCGTTTTTATCTTCAACCCAGAAAAAAGTGTAAATTTCAGTTCCCATTTCGGCTTTTCTTTAAATTTATATATTTTAGCCACTAAATTATCAGTCTTAGGACCATGGGCGATATTCGCACTTTACGATATGATATCCATTGGGATTCTTTCGATGGAATGCGTATCACTGACATCAACTCAAAGCGAGTAGTTTCAATCAAAATCATGGCCAACTAAGCTCAAAGCCCTATTCCTTCTGCAGGTACTACGACATGGTTGTGGAGTTTATGTGGAATCAGTCGTTTTTGAAAAGTTTGGTTTTCGAGAGTCTGGGGTTTTTTGAGATGGCAGATATGAAGGAGAACTACTCGATGTATTTGAAATAATAATTTTTCATTATCGCTTAACATTAAATTATTAAAATATGTCCCACTTTCAGATATGTCCGCCACATCTTGCGCAACGAGTGCTCCGTAATGATGATTAGCCAGGACGAGACCCAGATCAAGGCTGTGGGCCTTCTCGAATGGATGACCGATGAATGGCACTCGTGGGTTTTCTTTCCCTCCTCATTGCCCCGGAATCTGTTCCAGCAAATTATAATGATGAAAAAGGAACTCATCGATGCCACCAAGGAAAAGCTGGGAATCTCCGTATACGATTCCCTAATGGTTCACGAGCTGGCCTTCCCAGATGATCTTTACTTCAACAAGGACTTCCTCATGACCATGTTCGATGTGTTCGGGGTGGTGGCCCAGCACATGCATATGCCACGGGTGAGCTTCATAGCGTTGAGTACCGTGGATCAGGAAGCGGCTAGCATGATCGAGTACGACGAGATTGGAAGGACCATCTATTCGATCTACAAAGTGGGCAACACCCGACCCTTCGACATTCTGCGAGAACTGGATGAGATGTACGCTTTGCTATTCGAGCTGCCCGTCAGTCCAATTGTGAGGTACACGGAGATGCCAGGATTCGAGGAGTTCCACGAGGCGTTGGAGGCCAGATTGGCCAAAGAGGCGGCGGAAAAGAACAGAGACGACGATTTTTGAGAAATATATTGTGGTCTTTTGTCATCTGTCAGTCCAATATACATTTGTAAGAATACTTTTTGGCGCTTTCCTTATAAACCAAAAACCTTTGTTTACTTTTCTATAAAACAAGATTCGTTTCCAGGCAGAAAGTGATAAGCTTATCAATATGATCCGTAGTATTCCGATAGGTGTGTTATTGTAAGAGATTAAATCTATCTCAAAATATAGGGGATTTTATTTTTCAAAATGTTTGTTAATTGCAATTTAAGGTGTTACCAGCTCTTATAGTTTCGAGGAAACTTTGGCTGCCAGTATGAGATCAAGAACATCGTCGGCACATCCCCAGCAAAGGGTGACCCCGCTGCCACCATGTCCATAGTTGTGGACAACCAGCTTCCGTCCACGTCGCTCTGCCTCGAGCCGGAGTTGGCCTCTTCCTGGCCTTAGACCCACCCAGTCGAATAGGCTCTCCGTGTGCTCCAGGCCGGGAATGTAGCGTCGACATCCATCCACAATGGTTTTCTTGTCCCGAGGACAGACCTGCACATTGTAGTCTCCCTCCTGATGAGTTCCGCCCAGGACCACACTCTCAGTACTTCAAAAAGATGTTATTAAATTTTAGTTTTCTTTTCAACAGACATGATGATTTACTTACTTTGGTATTATATAGTTTCCATCATCGCTCTCGTCCAGTACGGCGGAAAAGATCCAATTTGCCTTCACACGAGACACTTGGCCCCGAACAGGATACATTTCGTTGTCTCCTAAAAGCTGGCGGGAACCCAAACCCGAACAATTGACTATTACATCGTATTCGGATTCGGAGATAAAAGTATCTAAATCGGTAACTTTTTTTCTGACAATTAAGCCACCATTGCGAGTAAATCTTTTCATTAAATAGGGCAGAAGTTTGACGGGCTCGGAGGTATAGGTGACAAAGGATAGACCTGACCTGGAAACAAATAAATGGATTAAATATATTTGTTCTGAAAGTAAGTAATACTATCCCTACGTAAACTTCACACTTCTTCCTTTGTTGAAGGCGGCTAGTTGTGCCTCAGTGAGATCCACGGCTCCATAGACAATATATCGCCAAAAGTCTTCAACAGAATCAACTGTGGAGGTATTCAATCGGATACAGGGTATCAGACAGACTCCAGCTTCTCCGGCATCTTCACTAAGCCATATCTGCTCCAGGAATTGGTGCATGCTCTTCGACCACTTGCTTTAAAATAATAACTTTTAAACTAAAAAATCTATTCATAATTTTAATAATCATATACTTACTAGACTTTGGATTGTGGAGTACCTCCCAGTAGGTAGGGACCCCAGAGACCCGCCGATCCATCGCCAGTAGTTTTAGGTGTAAACTCTTCGGATAATATTGTTACCCGAATCTGAGTCTTCCCCTCCTTTAGGTAGTGCTCCAGTATCTTAATGGCACTGGCAACCCCATTGACCCCCGCTCCAATAACTGCAATATTTAGCATTTCTATGATCCGATCGACTTGGGAGCTTAGAAAGAACTAAACAGCAGGTTTCTTATCAAAATGCACAAAAGATTTCTCAGGTCCCCGCAAAATATAGAAACTGATAGTGGAGCTTTTGGAGCTTGGAAGCTTGGGAGCTGTTAAAAATAATCATTTTTTACATTTTCTTTATTTACTATTAGTATTGGAATAACTATTGTAGTTTACATTAATTTTTCATCTATAGACTTGAAAAAATTGTACATTTATGGAGAAAAAGATGGCCATGCTCGGAAATTCAAGTTGTGACGGCTACGGGGATGTGGAGCTATTCTCATTCGTAGTCTAACTTTCGAACCATTTGTTTCGGCCTCAATCAAAATTCTAAATTCTAAATTTTTTTCGGAATTAATTTAGCCGCAAAAGTGAGTAACAAAATTTTTATTTCAAAATTTACTAATATTTTTTTATTTAATAAATAATTTTGAATTAATAGAAGGGCCCAACATGTGTGACGGTTGTGGATCGCTGGAGGTAAGCACCTATCCTCGAGGCACTAAGACCTTGACCTGTAACTGCTGTATCCTTACAGCCTCGCGGATGCCGCAGTCGCGAGTTACGCTGCGGCATCATGTACACCACCTGCGACTGCGTTAAGCGCAACGGGCTGCAGGACAAGTGTCCGCGGTCCGCCTGCCAGGGCCGGCCCGCTTGCCTGTGCTTCCCGTTCCCAACCTGCGGGCCGGCGGCATTCCCGCTACGCTATGCCAACATGACGATGGGAGTGAACAACAAGCGGATGCGGTGCGCCGCCACGGCAGCTGCTTCCGGTGGCACCGGTTGTGGCGGTCGCGCTGCCGGCGGATGTTGCGGCCCATGCTGTAAGAGCACTCCATGCTGTGGTCCGCACAGTCCGCCGTGTGGCGCTCCGTCGCCCATTCCGTGTAGCCCCGCGCCGGGCATGTGCTGTCCCCCGTTGCCAGAGGGCGGTATACCAGATCCGCGTGTTTGGAACTACAACACTCCCCCAACGTATCCATGTGAGTTGGTCCGGTGCCTGAGCCCCCAAATCTCTGCCGAAACCATGTTCCAGTATACGTGTGTCCGTCTGGTTCTTCGTTTGTCCGCTGTCCGTCTGCTAAGCACAAGATACGATAAAATTCTGAAAGCACGAACGGCGACTGTGCGGATCATAGCACTCCTATTGTTTATATTCAAGAACATTATAGACTAATCCTCCATTTAAAGAAATTTCCGAAAGAGGACTAACTGCAAGGCCACGCCCGGCCCCACTGCCACAAAACTCTGTCCCAGTCCTGTCGCAAACGTCAATTCCACGGTCAGTGGCCGGAATCCTACATGCAGCTGCCTCGCAGTCTATTGTCCCTGATCAGTCACTACCCCTTCCCCTCTATATCACCTGAGTAAGTAGGCGGCGTAGTTGTCCTATTTACCAATGCTTACGTCTCCTAACCCCCAGGTGGCTTCTAAGTGGCTTCTCCCAGCGAGGAGCGCAGCATCGATGGGACATGTTGACACGTTAGTTGGTCTAGTCGAGGTCTACATGGAGCCATTAGATGGAGCCCGAACCATTATGTTCGTCGAATTGAATACCAGCGACTGGCGGAGAAAATTGTGTGCATGTGTGATAACGTAGAAGTCCCCAACTCATTTGGATTAGAATTTCGATTGTAAATTTCTGGACAGTAACTTTATATTAAAATTATACAGTATTCCTAAAGTATCTATATTAAATGAGTATTTTATTTAAATCCGTTTTCGTTTTGGGGTAAAAAAAAAGATGGTACCGATATTTTCTTGTGTGTTCCGATGTTTCTTAATCAAAAATATATATATTATATTGGTTAATAAAACCAATATATCGAAGACTATAAAACAAAAAAAACTTCCGACATCTCTCAACCGTTTCTTTATGGACGTTCCTGGTACCAGGATAAGCACGAGGACCATTCTCAATAGCACTCTATACACTATAGTGTAAACTGGTAAACGAATAGTACCAGTTCTTGAAAGGCAATCAATCTAGCAATCAATCTAGTTCATTCTTGTATTATTGGATTCTTGTATAGTTTGATGACTTGGCTTCAGCAAGGATAGAATAACCAAAATCTGCAGTTGAGGTTCAATCTATGAATATGGGGACAGGCGCGTTAGACTTTAACAGGAAAAGCATAACCAAATAAAACAGTTTCCGTATATAAAAAAAACTCAAATTTATTTGCCAAATTAGATTCCAAATGATTTAAAATTTCCAAATGCCAGGCTACCAGGAGCTGACACCTTCATCCGGTCATTTTTACAGAGTGGTCTTCCTAAGATTACCTGACGTTGGCTCCACTTGGCTTAATCTGAAGGACATTGCTTACTCAACATGTCCCGTCGATTTCGATTTTTGGTCAGGACATGGCACGGAAACATTGCCATCGCTCAACTGAGAGTCAGTAGAAGCCACCTGGGAAAGAGAACAATAAGCACGCGTGAATGGGTCAGGAATCGCACCTACTTACTCGGGAATAGCAGAGGAAAGAGAAATGGGAGGGCAGAGGCATAAGATTGGTTTGCTAGTTGAACTTCACAAGCAGATCCGCGGATGTGACCCTAGCAACAGCATTTCGGTGGGGTGTTGTAACAGTGGGCCTTGCAAGGGGCACACCACACACAAGGTGCGTTCTCCTTGTCCACGAGGTAACGCTTGGGGCAGAAGCCTTGGGAGGAACGGAAATCAAGTATCAAATCGGGCTGATCTTCCCGCATTGTTATGGAACTGCTGTGGCCTGCACAGCCACGTGCGTGCTCTCTGAACCCAATTTACTGCTCTTTCATTGAACGGAGGAAGGAATCTGGACGAAGGGCTGGGAGAGGACGGGTGGGCACCTGCCCAGATCGGATCGGACAACTCACATGGATAAGTGGCTGGTGTGTTTTAGTAGTTTAACACATGGGGATCGAGGATACCGCCTTCGGTCAACAGCGGAAAGCACATGCCTGGCGCGGAGGAGCACGGAATGGGAGACGGAGCACCGCAGAGCAGACTGTGCAGGCCACAGCAGGGCACGTTATTACAGGTTCCGCAGCAGGCAGGAGCACAGCAAGGTTGGCAAGGCATCTTGAAATTTTATTTTAGAATTTAGAATTTAGAAATTTAGAATTTTTAGAGCCGAAACGATTGGTCCGAGAGTTGGGAATAGAATGAGGATAGCTCGTCCGGCTCGGGCCTCGGTAAGTTAAAACGTCAGATTCCCTTTGATTGAAATCTCATGGCCAACTGTATAAAGAATTTTATATAAACTTACTAGATTTAAATTAATAAAATGAGGAAACAACTACCGTAAGTCAATAGCGTTACCAGTGTCAGCCCACCAATTAGACCCCAAATGCCCACCGATGGGATACCCATTGTTGTATGATTCCAGTCGTCTGAGTCCTAAGGGTGCAGGGGTACTGTGGCTACAGAATATTAATCTTTATTATTTTCAATAGGTTTTGTGGATTTTTTCTTAATTTCAGTAAATAAAATTAATTGGAAAGGTGGAGTTTTATTAAGTTTATAGTCTAAGCTTATGAGTCTATGGCTCCATGATATTACGAGTAACGCCATGATACAAAGATACAATCACTAATTTCATTTTCGGTTGCCTATTTGGCATTTGACCAAGGCAATGAATCTATTTGGCTATCTATAATAAAATCAGCAATACTTAGCCAATCAGCACAGTAAAAAATAAGTCAAACTTCTGTAATATTAAACAAAACATAATTCGAATAATGGGACAGAGAATGTGGTAAAATATTCCACCGATCTAATCAAAACAATCCATTCAAGAATCTATCAGTTCTGGTATTTGCCCCGTTTTTAAAAATAATTCAAGAAAACACAAAACATTTAAAGAAGTTTTCCATAATTTATTTGCCAAAAACTTTTCCAGATATATATAAACAATTCCATGCCAAGCTGCTTTGATATTTCCAAATATTTCCAGGATTCCTCCAGTTAATCCCTTCACCACTTCGTTGTTATCCAATCCCAGTAAAGAATCTCAGGAAAGAATCTTCGTGTCTTCTTAGATTCGGTGAACTGGCTCCAATTTGGGTTAAAATGAAAGACAATTTTATGCTCCAAGTGCCACATCCATATCACAGTACCTCAGTAAGCACATGGCCCGGAAGCGGTGACACCGATGGACTGCCTGATCCATTTAGAAGCCACCTGTGGAAGAGAAGTCATGGGGTCATGGGGTCTTCAACTGGCTTCCCAGACAAATTCGGAACAACTTACATGGATAAGTGACGGGTGTGTTGTAGTAGTTCCACACACGGGGATCGGGAATGCCGCCCTCGGGCAATGGAGGGCAGCACATGCCCGGCGCGGGGGAGCACGGAATGGGAGAAGGAGCACCGCAGGGCGGACTGTGCGGGCCACAGCAGGGCACGTTATTACAGGGGTAACAGCAGGCAGGACCACAGCAAGGTTGGGAGCAAGGCATTTTGAAATTTTATTTTGAATTTAGAAATTTAGAATTTGGAGAGCCGAAACAATTGGTCCCAGAGTTGAAAATAGAATGAGGATAGCTCGTCCGGTCCGGTTCTCGTTAAGTTGAAACTTCAGAGTCGTTTTGAATTAGATCTCAAGGCCTACCAAATAAGGGACGGAAAGCCATGTTGACGAGGCTTAGAACATGGGGTTAATACTACTTTAATGTATTACTTTTACTTTTATTTTAATTTACTTTAATGGCCATATTTTAGTTATTTTGTAGTAAATCGATCTAGAAATCGTTTAAGGTACTCCGCTATAGAATCGGACTAGAATTGGGGAAGATATAGCCATCACTGTGAGCCATATAAGGGAAATCCTCATTTTCAAGGGATCCCATCACGAAAAATGGACAAAAAATCTGAAAAATATTTTGTCTCAGGATTTTGATGCAGAATGGTGGGGAATCGATCTAGAAATCGTATAAGGTACTCCGCTTGAGAATCGGATGAGAATTGGGGAAGATATAGCCATCGCTGTGGACCCTATAGGGGAAAATCCCATTTTCAAGTGATTCCATCAAGAAAAATGGACAAAAAATTAAAAAAATATTTTGTCTCAGGGTTTTAATGCAGAATGGTGAAGAATCGATCTAGAAATGGTTTAGGGTACTCCGCTTGAGAATCAGATGAGAAGTTAAGCAGTCTGAACCGAATTTTGAAACTCTCTCCACTTCTAATTTAAAGGCCATATGTACATATGTTTATGAAAATTTTAATATAAGGTCAAATTTTAAATAAAAAAAAAATATTTAAAAAAAAATTAAAAATGTAAAAATAAAAATAATTACAACAAAAAACAACAAAAACCAACAAAAACATATAAAATTACAATAACAACTTAAAAAGACAAAAAAAAAAAACAACAAAATTAATAAAATAAAATAATTATTTTCCGATTTTTCGGGCGTGCTTAGGTGCAACCTATGAGAATCGAGGAGGAGGGCACTATTTTTTAATTAATTATTATAAATATTTTATTGAATAGTTACCAAATTAAAACAACTTCAGGCAAGTTATCATACGCAAAAAAACGGTAAAATGTTACTCTTCGTTACTGTGTGAATTCTAGGCGCCCAAAAATGTAGGCAATGGAGGTATGATTGCTCACATTTTCAGATTTTTAATTTATATCCATGATGTTTTCCTTAAAAAATTATAGATGAATTAGGTTTTTGTACAAGCTTCGTAAGCTTATCTATCGTGGCAACTAATCATCAGCTTATATAATACAGTTACTTAGCAGATATAACTAAATTACAAAAAACGAGAAAGGAAAGCTTACTTTGGGCGGAGTCGAAGTTCATATACCCTTGATATATGAACCCTTGATAGTTCGCGTAGACCCCGACAAACAGACGCACAGACGGACAGAGATATAGCCATCACTGTGGACCCTATAGGGGAAAACCCCATTTTCAAGAGATCCCATCACGAAAAATGGACAAAAAATCTAAAAAATATTTTGTCTCAGGATTTTGATGCAGAATAATGGAGAATCGATCTAGAAATCGTTTAAGGTACTCCGCTTGAGAATCGGATGAGAATTGGGGAAGATATAGCCATTACTGTGGACCATATAGGGGAAAACCCCATTTTCAAGGGCTTCCATCACGAAAAATGGACAAAAATTCTGAAAAATATTTTGTCTTAAGATTTTGGTGCAAAATGGTGGGAAATCGATCTAGAAATCGTTTAAGGTACTCCTCTTGAGAATCGGTTGAGAATTGGGGAAGATATAGCCAAAGACATAATATAGTATAGAATTGGATAACCATAATCTGTAGTTGTGGTTCAATCTTTGAATCTGGTGACAGGCGGCTTAGACTTTGGCAGGTAATGCATAAACAAATAAAACAGTTTCCGTATATAAAAAGAACTCAAATTTATTTGCCAAATTAGATTCCAAATGATTTAAAATTTCCAAATGCCAGGCTACCAATAGCTGGCACCTTCATCCGGTCATTATGGCAGAATGGTCATCCTTAGGTTCACAGACTTGGCTCCAATTTTGCTTAAACTGTAGGGCAACTGCATGCTTCAACTGCCACATCCATATCACACTATCTAGACACCGATCGATTGCCTGTTCCATTTAGAAGCCACCTATAGAAGAGAATCATGAGTCATGGTTGCTTCGAGGAAAGACTCACGATGAAGGAAACTGAACGGACAGCCGCCTTTCCAGAACATTTTGGAACAACTTACATGGATAAGTGACGGGTGTGTTGTAGTAGTTCCACACACGGGGATCGGGAATGCCGCCCTCGGGCAATGGAGGGCAGCACATGCCTGGCGCGGGGGAGCACGGAATTGGAGAAGGAGCACCGCAGGGCGGACTGTGCGGGCCACAGCAGGGCACGTTATTACAGGGGTAACAGCAGGCAGGACCACAGCAAGGTTGGCAGCAAGGCATCTTGAAATTTTATTTTTGAATTTAGAAATTTAGAATTTGGAGTGCCGAAACGATTGGTCCGAGAGTTGAAAATAGAATGAGGATAGCTCGTCAGGTTCGTGCCTTGTTCAGATGAAACCTCAGATTCGGTTTGATTCAAAATTCATGGCCAACTGTATGCATTTTATTGGATCACTAGATTGGAAAATAAAAAGAGGAGATAACTTTTCAGTTTCGATTAGCGTCAAGTTACTTACATGAAAAGATGGAAAGTTTTGTGAAAATTTTCAATGTTTCTTTATCAATTTTCTTTATATTTTCGTCCAGATTGAATGTGTATTCAATTTATTCAGTATTCATTTATGTTTTTGGCTTTCGATACCTTATTTTTATTTGGTCAATGAGGCTTTCTCCGTATCCTTTTATTCCAGAGATATAGCTATAGTACCGATAATTTTTATCCGATTGGCGAATGGTATACCTTCCTGATATTAGATTTTCGAGAAGAATACGTGAACGCCATAAGCTGAATGAAACCGTAAAATTATATTTGAAGAAATTGAATGCAATGATTTCCCCAATTAATGGTAATCATTTTCTTAATCTGATACGAAATAAATAAAATATGGCCTTAAAAGTATCTTATATGTAACTAGTTTTGGGTTTTGACCCCATGTTCTAAGCCTCGTCAACATGGCTTTCCGTCCCTTATTTGGTAGGCCTTGGGATCCCATTGAAAACGAATCTGACGTTTCAACTTAACGAGAACCGGACCGGACGAGCTAACCTCATTCCATTTTCAACTCTCGGACCAATCGTTTCGGCTCTCTAAATTCTAAATTCTAAATTTCTAAATTCAAAAATAAAATTTCAAGATGCCTTGCTGCCAACCTTGCTGTGGTCCTGCCTGCTGTTACCCCTGTAATAACGTGCCCTGCTGTGGCCCGCACAGTCCGCCCTGCGGTGCTCCTTCTCCCATTCCGTGCTCCCCCGCACCTGGAATGTGCTGCCCTCCGTTGCCCGAGGGCGGCATTCCCGATCCCCGTGTGTGGAACTACTACAACACACCCGTCACTTATCCATGTAAGTTGTTCCGAACTTGTCTGGTAAGCCAGTTGAAGGCGCCATGACTCATGGTTCTCTTCCACAGGTGGCTTCTAAATGGATCAGGCAGTCGATCGGTGTCTGTGCCTCCGGGCCATGTGCTTACTGAGATAGTGTGATACGGATGTGGCAGTAGGAGCATGCAATTGTCCTGCAGTTTAAGTCAAATTTGAGCCAGTTAAAGTCAGCAAATCTAAGAAGATACGAAGATTCTTTCCTGAAATTCTTTGCTGGGATTGGACAAGAACTGGAGGAATTCTGGAAATAATTGGAAATACCGAAGCAGCTTGGCATGGAAATGTTTATATATATCTGGAAAAGTTTTTGGCAAATAAAATATGGAAAACTTCTTTTAATTTTTTTGTTTTCTTGAATTTTTTTTGTAAAGAATGTGGTACTAAAGGGAATAGGCTTGTAAAGAAATACTTTAAAGAGAGGTTAGATTCTTGAATGACTTTTTTCATTAAACAGGTGGAGTTTTCTACTACAATCTATGTCCTAATAATAGGCAACCAATAATGGCATCAACGTTTCTATCATTGTCTGATTATTTCTTTGTATCATGGCTTTACTCGTAGTATCGTGGTGTCATAGTGATGAGCTTGGACTATAAACTTAGTAAAAGTTCACCCTTTTTATGAATTTTATTTACTGAAATGAAGAAAAAGTCTCCAAAACCCTTTTCACATCAAGATCCCTTTACATCATAAGTCAATATTTGTATGATACTCCGTATAAGCACAAAAATTAAGAGGTTGTAAAATTATTGAAATTATTGGTAAGTCAGTAAATAATACATTAAAAGTAATTAGGATTAATATGTAGCTTTGTACCCTTAGGACTCGGACGACTCGAATCATACAACGATGGGTCTCTCATCGGTGGCCATTTTGGGTCTCATTGGTGGGCTGGCACTGGTTATCGCTATTATTTCGTTCGCTTTAATTGTCGGACTCTTTGTTGAGAGATATGGCTCTTTGCATACCTCTACAACCAATGCGACTATGGAAACAGACCACATCCACCAGTAGTGAGTAGTGAGGAACCGGAAGTGGATTACGTGGAAGATACTTTTATGGCCTGTTGTGTTGGTAAAATGAATTAAATTGTCGAGCTATCCAAATGGATGTTTGTGCGAACTATTAAAGGACATATATTTTAAAAGTACTAATTTTTGTTTTGAAAATCGAAAATTTTTGGGATATTGTTTGGGGGAATACTTATGGCAATGTCTTGAGAAAAGTTAATAAATTTTTAGTTTATATGTATTTATAAATATGTGTTTTGTGAAAATATTAAGAAATTTATCACCATTTAACGAATTGCATTTCAATAAAGTTTCTTAAAATTTATAAAAGTTTAATGAGCTTTCGACTTTTCTGTCATTACTAATAGTAAGGTCGTTACACAAACATTACAGTATACATTTTAGAACACACGCATTCATAGTGAAACGGGAAATTTGAAATGGAGACAAAAAAAGTAGTCATAATTTTCGCAGTAATTATCGCAGTTCTTCTACTCATTGATATCGCACTGGTGGTGGTTTGCATTCTCTTCAGAGATTTCCGTTACGAAAAAAAGACAAAGGCGATGAAACCGGTAAGACAATAAAACTAACATCACAGCCTATTGGCGGAACATTTTTCCCTTCCGGTTTCCAAGTTTCCGGTTTCTTTACCAGCCATTAAAATTGGGTTTAGTTTGGTAGCACTGCTGCTGGGCAGCACGGAAAACAGTGTATGCAACTATCGCATTTTGTACATGCTACATCTACCCACCGCCAGACGGCGCTACCAAAAAGTGAGCCCATAAAGGTGCTGCCAAGCTACAAGAAATAGGTTGTGGCGCTAAATTCAAATTAAATATATAAATAATTATTCAGTTTGCTATATCATATATTAAAAGATTTCTTAATTTTTCTCATTATTATGTATATGATTCTATAGCTTTTTCAGTAGGCGTGAGTTTTATTGTAATTTAAAATTTGTTCAAACATAAATTATTTTAATGTAGTATCTATCACACTCATAACTCTTTAAATTTTTTGTCCAAAAAAAATACATTATATTGACAAAAATTTCGACATCCCTCTCCCACTAAGGCCCCACTGATTATTGGAGGAAAAACTACTTAGAAAAGTCAAGATGGAGACGAAAATGGTTATAATAATCATCGCTGTTGTATTGATACTCTTCCTTCTCACTCTGGACATAGTATTTATTGCCTACATTATTGATAATCCTTACACTAAGAAGAGAACTACAACGACACCTCCACCTGAGCCAACGGAGGATGACACAACGACCGCTGCGGATTCTGGTACTACACCACCCCCAGCAGAGGGGGCCCCCCCGTAAATCGGTAAGGTCGTCCTTTTTACGGATCATGCATCCTTTGAAATAACTATCAAATTTTACACAAATCTGACAAACCATGCTCTATAAAATTCAGTCAGTCTATAACTTCTGAAGCCACGTAACACAGCTTGTTTTAAATTTTAAATCGTAACTCGTATTAAGTGTATTCGAAATGGAGCAGGGAAAGTTACTTATGATTTTCACCATAGTGATTTTGGTACTCTTCTTCATAATGATGGCGGTCTTCTACGTGTTCCTGAAGGTCGATAATCCCACCACTGGTGGCTGGATAAACACCCGCTGGGGGGGCTATGGAATAAGAAATGTACAAGGACGAGCGGCGCCACAACCAGAATGGGCCAGATAGGGTAAGGTCCTAACCCAGTGGAAAAGTGTCATCGCAGTCAGCCGAGATCCAAATTTCACTTCTGACATGTCAGAATCTCATACGAAATAGTTTAGTATTCTATAAGTAGTTTCTGTAAAATCATCGTCTCGTTACATTTTAAAATATTTAAATCCACATAATGGTCGAACAAACTACTCTCATTACCCTATTTGTGGTTATAATCGTGGTATTGGTGATATTCATGCTGGTGCTGATTCCGATGGCGTTCTTCAGGGGTCACAAAATGAACAAGTGGAGAAAGACTCTCACCTAGGGTAAGGCCCATCATGAATGAACTACTATTCTGTGCACCTGGTATCGCGGTACATATTCGCTCGCCGGACGCAGTGGCAGCAATTAATTAATACAGCAAGTGTAGCCGGAATTCAGTGGGCGTTCAACAGGAAATAATCCATTGACGGTGAATGATAGTCGCTTGCCGTGACCTCTAACCTCCAAGAAGGGAGAGCTGGATACCTGTCGGGAGTCGCGAATGCCTGGCCCAGCTCAGCTTGGCACGACGCCTGCCCCCATCTGAGGTGCAACGTTGGAAGACCGCCAGACAGAACTGCAGGCGGAATAAAGTGCGCTCAGTGCCAAGGGAAACCATATTTCATCTGGCAATTAGTGGAATGATCGTCGCTACGCTTAATTTTTGTGTGCTTGGATTTGTCAGGCAGCCACTAGAGGCATGATTAGTACCCGCAATCTAGGCTTCAATTAAATGGAAATTGTGTCACGCGCCGCGACTCGGGCTGCCTCGCCGCCTAGCTGCCTCGAGAGTACCACTGAAGATGTTTAGGATGTCATCCCGTTTTCATATTACCGCCATGTTGTAACAGCGTCACTTTAGCAGCGCGTATTTCCGCACACATGCACAAAATATTTGATTAAGCCTGACTCTTGCGTATATTTTATGCTTTTTTTTATGATGGCTTTTTTTTTAGACCCCCGGTCTGGCGTTGGATGGGCTTTCTTTACACATTCGGATCAGTGTCGTGCAACGCACAGCGGTGTCAACTTGTCGTCCAGCGCAAATTTTTAGTGTCAGAACGTACCGTCCCATCGAAGGCTCCACCACACAAAGCATCGTTGACCCCAAACCATATCACGGATTACAACACATAACAACCCCAACTAGACACAATAGCTGGAGCTCATAAAGTGCGGAATAAAGAATCGATCCTGCCCACGGCAATACCAGAAGTCCGTTGCACTGCGAAGACAACAGCTGCCGAGGCGAGAGGGAAGAATGCCGACCATTACGGAGGACTGCATAGATGGATTCCAGCAGTACTATGCCAGGCCACCAGAGAGACCCAAGAAGAAGTCCCTCAAACAGATGATATACGACTCCGAGGATAACTCTTACTTTGGCCGTTCCATCGAAAGCTGGGGTAAGTCATTCTTCGGTTACGTAAACGCCTCGGCCTCACATCCAGGCCCCCATCCAGATCTCCAGGTCTTAATACCCAAGCCCGACCTTAATCAACCGAATCTTTTGTCGTCGCATTAGAGCTCACAGCAAATGCAGATTATAGTGGATGTGGGTGGATGTATCCATTTACCGGCCTCCCACCGAGACTGGCTTTATTGCCCGTCCAATGGCGGTACCGCTTCGCAGGCCCCTCCACTAAATTTGCGATTCCGTGTGCTCGTCAAGCAGCCACTTGCTCAATTATGCCATTATGCAATCGGTCAGTGGTGTACCCAAAAACGGTCTCCAGAACCGTCTCTGATTTCTAGGGAAGGTCGTTCACTATTCCTGAGGGATAGTAGTATAATTATAGAAGGGGCAGGTTTTCAGGACCTTGAGGATATATGGTCATGTGGGTAGAAACTAAGATTTAGAAATGGATTAAAATTTTTGAATTTTAGGTTCAGACCTTCGCTCCAGGATGGGGTTGAAGTATTTGCTTAATTTTACGATACTAGACCAATAATGGATGTGGTGTTGGCTAACCTAGAATTAGCCTTTTCAATTTTTACATTTATAATAAAAAATTTCCATAAATATTGAGAGACTCTAGGGGAAAATGAAAAATTACGTATTATCATTCAAATAATAATTTGGCGCCTGGCCAGAGTTTTCGTGCAATTGAATGTCAGTGTTTTTATTTTTACCCACACGAATCAGTGTCTGGTCTTGTTCACTTGCCAGCTCTCTCCAATTATTAATGAAAATATTATTTGTAAGAGCATCATTTTATTTATTCCTATATTCTGTAAACTAGAACAACCTGACGTCATAATTTTAATAAAATAATCACGTCTAAAAGCACGTAGATTAGTTCTATATTCGTTATACATATCCTTTTTTAAGTAAAGGAATGTGTCTTTTAGTTTTATTTATCTTTTAAAATTGAAGACTTTCTGATAAGGTTTTAACTATTTTAAAAGATTTATTGAAAAAGTTGTAAGTTTTCATTTTTTAACATTACTTGTTAGATAAATTTCATTTAGATGTAAGAATAATTATGTAAATTGGTTCCTATCTATCATACACATACCCCACATGGCCCAACCTACTTAGGATTTTATGGATAAAAGTAATCTAGATTTGAGGCGAGATGGGGAATTGTTATACTTTTTTTGGACAGCACAGTCTGAAGCATTAGTTTGAAATTTTTTGTATAAAATAACGCTATTAGTTTAAGCTTAAATTATTCCATTAAAGATATAAAGAAAGATGTTATTTTATAAATATTTATTAGTAAGTTTTGACATTCGGCCAAGTAAATCTTCCCCTCGTTCGAGATGGAAAGTTACTTAATACACAAAAATAGTTAAATAGTTAAGTATTAAACTTTTTTTTTTGAAGTACTTTTGTATTTCTTCGTCCTTTGTATTTCTTCCCTTTCTGTATGAAATCCTTTTAGAAGTTCCTAACTAAACAAAGCAAAGCTATTCGTAGTAAAAACTCAAAAATCGATAAATTTTTGCCAAGCTGAACCAAATACATCTATGTATGTAGGTCTGTTGTGAAGTCCTTTAAGCACGCATATTTTATTGAACGGAGTTTTCTGGGAAGAGAGCACAACTCTCCGGCACAAACCCACCCCCCGAAGTCTGAGCATAGCAGCTGAGCTTGGCCTACTTCCCTATTATCCTGTGGCCGGATTCGAAAACCAGTTTTCTGTATGTACAGTAAGGATTGCCTATCAGCACTGGCGGGTGGTTTATTTCTCGCAGTGTGCCCATGAGTCGGGTCTGACGTAGAAGAGGGCCTCGGGAAATTCGCACTAAATGTGCAACAATCGCCTAATTAAACCGAGTGCAGGGAGCAGCGTTTCCACGCTAATTACGGCGCAACCCAATCTCGGTCCAGAAGCAGCCCAGCCCAACCCCAGACCCAAGCCCCAAACCCCAAACCCCAAGATTAATTCCACTCGGTATTGAAATGCCGCTAAAAGCCGTTTACACTCAAAACAAACTCGGTCCGGCCGAGAGCGGAGAGTGGCTTGGCCTGGACGTCGGGGAGAGAGAGCACGTTTTGTTGAAGCGACTGAAACCACTCAGCCAAAATGACTCAAGCCAAGTCAGCCAAGACTGGGGCTGGTGTATCTACAGAGTTTAGATTCTGGTTTCATTCCGAAATTTGTTTTGAGCGCCGCGCAAACGTGCCACGGACGAACCGTGGTTATAACGGGGAGCGTAGTCCAACCAAAAAGTCAACTAGCCAGGCTCGACCTGCTCGCTTTTGTGGTTAGTTCAGTGAAGTTCAATCCGCATTTTTCCGCTAAAAGCAATAACAGAAAACGCCCAAGTGAAGTTCATAAAAGTTGGCCAACTATCTGTCACGCCCGAAACTCACGCACACCCCCATAGCCATAGCTCCAAATTCATACAAGAAAGTGTATTTCTTAGCTTGAATCTTGAAGAAACGCTAGCTTCTACAATAAGGTGTGGTTGTTTGTATGTGGCCCAAGCGCTAAGAGCACCAGCCAGCGTCAGCTAAGAGATACAGATACAGATACACCACACAGATACAGTTGCGTTTGTGTGTGTGTGCAGAGGTGTGCGTGAGCGCATAGCGTAGTTTGTTGTGATGTGGTGGTTTCAGTGCAAAACTAGAGGAAATGCAGGCAGAAGCCAAAGTATAAATAAAGAACCGATACACCGGGTCAAAGCCAAAGCCAAAGTGGCATTGAAAGCACCACACATTACGGGCCGTGGCAGACAGGACAGAAACAAGTGTGCCCCTAGCCCCTCTCACCACCTCCCTCACTCGTCACTCTCACTCCTTTCGCTCGGTCGACTCACCAGTTGCAGGTAGTAAAGTATCTGACGGATGCACCTACAGTGCTGACTGGCCCGACTTCCGCCAGGAGAGCCGAAAAAGGCGCCAAATTTTCCGTTAGGCCAGAAGGGTAGTAACCGGGTCGAGCGGAAAGAGAGGCGGTGGCGAGAGAGTGAGATTGTAAGGTGGAGGGGAGGTCGCCCAGGACACAAAGGACTCTTGAGTGAGAAACTGTGCTAAAAAGTGGCAAAGAACGCGCTATATTTTGTGTACATCTGTGTGTGTTTGCCCATCGAAATGGGCCAAGTGTCGAGAGTGTCTCAAAACAACCCAAATCTTGTTTCGTTTCCTGCAGATAGGATATTTTTTTGAAAAAGTAACTGAAAGTTAACATGTCGAAGCCAGCACCGATATCTCCGTCCTTTACGGACGATGATCTGCACAGCTTACGCAAGCCCAAGCCCTTCAATTTCAGAAAATTTTTATATAACACCGAGGATGGCACGGTTATGGGCAGAGATCGAGCATCATGGGGTAAGTTTATTGCCGTGTTTTTGTGTAACTTTTGTCAAGAAATAAATCATCATTTTTTTAAGGGTTGTAGACTAGAAATTGTATCTGTCACGAGACGTAAAATACATTTCTAATAGCAGGGCGCCGTTGCCTATTAGAGGGCTTGAAGTGCCAAGTGTTGCACTTACTTTTAGAAAAAAAATGTTTAAAAAAAAGTCTTAAAAAACTTCTAATGGAAAGCTGGCAAGCAAATTAACAACTGCCTGTAAAGATACTCGGAAACGAGCACAAATTGGGATGGGGAAGTGTGGCATGCCATCTAATCTTCCGGTCTCATATGGTTTCCAATTACCAACCCAGTCCCAATAGCTAGTCTGTTAGCTGCAACTTTTTCAATCGGTTTGATGGAAAGTCTCAATATTGGCATTTAAAAATTTCTTGGCAAGTCCAAGGCCTTGGCTAAATATAGTCTGAGAGTGAAATGCAATTATGCTGAAATGGTCGTTGCGAAAATTGAAAATAAACACAGAAATGGAAATGCACAGACGTAGAATGCAGACAAATGGTGGCAGACATTTGTCGGCGACTGTGCCCCTCAAATACGATATACTTTTTCAAGGTTTAAGGAAGAACAGACATTATTCCAATTGGAAGAAATTTATTTGCATAACCTATGGATTATCTTTGGATATCTCTTAATTGTCTTGGGCTATGTCTTGAGTTGAGGTTATATCAGTAGGGCTTTGCCCCAAAAGGGGTATCTGTGTGCGAGAGTATCTTAAGAGTGATCAGCATTCGATGGACTCTTGAGCGTAACCCACTCAAAACACGATTCTCTTGAACAGCATTTAAGAGTGCCCACATCGGAAATGTATATAGACTTGTATTAATGTTCGACCGATGATTCAGGCGGCGTCAGAGTGATGTCTACTCCGAACTTGAGAACTATTAGCTCGACTTGAGATTGTTTCCAATTTGTTTATAAAGGCCAATTGTGCCGGGTGCGTCGTCAGCTCAGACAGCTCTCGCAGCTCCTACTGCCCCATTGGGATGTCAATTAATTATCGGGTTAACCCGTCTTTGACCGCCAACCCGCTACAAGTACTTAATTCAATCAGCGCAATTGAGAGGGCTGGTGGTCGCTGTTGGGGATTTTTCTTATCGAATTATTCATTAATAACAGACTTACCCATCCATTTTCTGCTGTAGCCAAAATCGGAATCTTCTATGTGGCGTTCTATGGAGTCCTTGCTGCCCTGGTGGCCATTTGCATGTGGGCATTCTTCCAAACGCTCGATCCTCGCATTCCAAAATGGACACTGGACCGCTCACTGATCGGCACAAACCCTGGTGAGTTAAAACATAATCAATTGGCAAGTCCAGACTCTAATCAAGTTTTTTTTTTATGATCTTAGGCCTGGGCTTCCGCCCACTACCGCCAGTTGATAACGTGGAAAGCACTCTGATTTGGTACAAAGGAACCCAACACGAGAACTACAAGCACTGGACGGATTCCCTAAATGATTTCCTTGCCGGTAAGTAGATCTACAAAAGTATAGACATTCCCAGAACTAAGCCACCCATTCCTTACAGTCTACAAAGTACCTGGACTGACTCCTGGACGTGGTCAGAACATCTACAACTGCGACTACAACCAACCGCCGCCACAGGGTCAGGTGTGCGATGTGGACATCAAGTCCTGGGCACCCTGCACCAGGGAAAACAACTACAGCTACCACAAGAGCGCACCCTGCATTTTCTTGAAGCTTAACAAAATCTACGGTTGGATTCCGGAGTATTACAATAATTCCCGGGACTTGCCGGAATCTATGCCGCAGAGCTTGAAAACTTATATTTCCGAGGTTGAAAAATCCGAACCCATCAAGGTGATAACAAAATTATTAATGTCCCCGGTAATGTGACTAATTTTGTATTAAATTTCCAGCTAAATACTATCTGGGTGTCTTGTGAGGGTGAAAACCCTGCTGACCAAGAAAACATTGGTGCCATCAATTACCTGCCCATCAGAGGCTTTCCCGGCTACTTCTATCCGTATCAGAATTCTGAGGGCTACTTGAGCCCCCTGGTAGCGGTTCACTTCCAGCGTCCCAAACGTAAGAGCTCTTAAAATCAAGAATATTAATATTTTAATTAAACTTTATCTTTCCAAACAGGTGGCATTATCATTAACGTTGAATGCAAGGCTTGGGCTCGTAACATCATTCATGATCGCAAGGACAGGATCGGTTCCGTGCACTATGAGCTCCTTATTGATTAATTATTTTAACTACCTTTTAAAATAATGTAGACCAGAATCTCCGATGAAAAATATCACGGATCAGAACAAAAGGATGTGAAATTTCATATAAAGACAATCCTATGTGAGAAGCAAGTCACCACCGTTTAACAAATTTTTAGTTATCCCGAAATTCGAAATTTTATAAATTTTAATATGTTGAGAGATGTATTTTCAATACGCCATTTCAAAATTTTTTAGATTGTAATATCTTGAGATGTATTTAGAATATTTGATACAAAAACAAACAACAATTAGTAAAGGTACTGCCTGAAATATATATAAAATTTTTAATAACAATCCATTTTTATGCACTTTATAATGAAGTTTCACGTTAGTATATACAGCTTGACACCAAGACACCACTGTTTTGGTGAAATCAAATAAATTAAAAATAAATAAATAATGAAAATAAGCAGCTAGGAATCTCATTTAGCTTTGTTCGAAAACGAATGCCACAAATTTACAATCAAATCTAAACTGCCACTTCAAAATAATCGACATAAAATTTAGATATTACAATTTTTATCAAATTGTTAAAAAAATGGTATTTTGAATCTCCTATATAACTAACCAAAACAGACCAATTTTGTCAACCATATAGAATCTTTACATAGTTAGCTTCAGTCTATCTCTACCAATAAAGTATAAACATCACAATGACCACCAATTTTTGATTAGTGAAAAAAGGCATAAAGATTTTTCAATAAAAATAAAACGAAAACAATTGAAATGTAATTAAATTTAAGGATTGGTTGTGCTTTGCATAATCGAAATAAACTATAAAGTCAAAAAACTTTTGTTTTTATGAAGTATCTTGTAAAGTTTAACTGGACTAGATGGACTATCTCATCTTGTCCATCGCTGGCTTTAGTTATCTTGTCGCTATACGAAATTGTTTTGGATTTACGTAAACGTAATTGGGTCTCTCTGGTGATAAGATAGGAGTATCATATTAAAGGCACACTTTGAGGAATCGATAATGAAACGAAATCACTGAAATCTCTGCCGTCACCTGCCACTGCTGGTCAGTACCTTGGCATGGGGCTGATAAACTTAAAGCCAGATTGATATTTTGCGTATGCCCATCTATATATTTGTGTTTTCATGAGTGTATCAGTATATATATCATTTTTGTCTGAATTCTCATTTATTGAGAACTTATCGGCCCAAGGCGAAAAGTCGGCCAATTGCGTCATTGGAACCCATTAACAAAATGCTGCTGTTTGCTTTATGATATATTGTTTATTTTTAAATTTTAATGCGATAGGTTTATTCTTCCAGTTGTGATAATTAGAACTCGATGCACTGACACGTCTTCTCAGGTTTAATTTTATTTTTTTATACTCCAAAGGGCTCTTATCATAAATTTTGGTGACCTAGTGAGGTTATTGGCTTTAAATTTACTGTTTTTTATGATCGTATTTTGACGTCTGATCTAGTAGATACGTACTATATATGCACTTTTTATCTGACAAATGCTTACAATGTAGACATGTCTAATTAAGAGCTAATTAGCTGAATGACAAACTACGGATGCAGTGTAGCACAGTGGTTGCATTTTCCAAAAGGGAAGGCAATGAATGTATATTAATATACCTTAGTAAAATATATTTTGGATTCCATTTAACATCTATTAAAAAACGGTAAGATGAAGCTTTTTAAATATCGAAATATTTATTAAATAACTCTTGCTTCCTTTCAATTTGTATCTTGTGGATATAATCCAAATATAAACACTGTGCTTTAAATATAAAAAACAATACTTGAAATCCGTTGCTAAGTGGAAAATCAAAACATATAGCCAATAAGGAAGCACTCTGAACTGGATAAATCTAAAATCTCTGGAATCAGTTCTGACCAGATATACCAGTTTGAAGATACTCATTGTAGATTGTGTAATTAGATTTTCTTAATTTGGAGTTCAAATAAATCAGTGCTTTGAACTGAACAAGGCAGCCTCTTTGATAGAGAGTACTTTTCACATTTTGACACTACATCATAATAATTATTTATTTTTTTCAGACCTTTGTGCTATTGAAGTGAAGTGAAGATAATTGAAGACTTTTTTACAATGAAGATATCCACATAAGGCAGTCAGTAGCTGTCAAGTGTAATTTAATCAACTTATGATGATTGCAAGTGATGCAAATGTTGGACCATATCCCTGAATCCCAGCCTCCATGTAATAAAAATCTACAGAAAGAATCGGAAAATTGGCATGGAGTTCTTGAAGTTGTGGAGGGAGATAAGCTGAATGTGGGAGGAAATGCTCGTTTATGGGAATTAATCATTTTAAACATCGTACCATATAAAGGTTCACTTGAAAAAACTATAACTTAGTTCCATATAATTTTATATAAATAATTTAATTTTTTCAAACAAAAACATTTATTTTAATAAGAGTATAATATTGTTTTATCATCATAAGATAATTTGTAATAAAATATAAACAAGTTTTAATTATACTTGTGTAGGTTAAGCATTATGCGGTTAGAGACAACCACTTTAGTTAGGGGAAAGCATGTCCCGTATTTCATGTGGAATTTTCCAAAAACGATCCACAAATTTCAGTGAGCATGAGCACGAAAAACCAAACAAAGCAACCATTGGGAAGCATAATGAGAGCTGTGGGGTTCAGGGTGGCAGTGTGGAGCGGCACTGAGAATGAAAGTGGGAGCTGTACGAACCCCATGAACTCAACTCTCGGCGCATGTCAGAGCGGCGGAGTGAGAGAGAGCCATAGATGATTCCCCCGCGTTAGTATGAGTGTACTTTTCTTTGTGCTTTTTATTTTAATATTTATGAGCCAACAGGAGCCAGGGGCGCATCCCAATGCCCCGCGGGTACTGAGATCGGATAGCCCCATCTGTGAGCCAACTTGGGTTAGCCATTTTCAAATGTTACCATTTAGCTGCCCTGGAACGTGTTGTTTCGTCTGGCCGCTGTCTGCACTCAATCATTTATTCTATTTGCGTAGCCGCTTTTACCATGGCAATAAGCGCGAGAGGTACAAATATACTCAGAGCGGTAGAGAGTGCCAGGTAAGGAAAACCAAACCACACATACACATACATATGTATATGTATACAAGTGCCCCCACTACCACCTAAGACTCCCCTGGTCATGAAGCTTTTGCTTTGGCCTTTTCCCGTGTTGCTTGGCAAAGTGTCAAAAACGTTCAACAGCTGTCGACGGTACACTGGAAAAAATGCAACAAATAGTTGATTTTATGTATAAGATTTGAGAGATGAAGGCGGTATGATCTTGACACTCATATGATAAGTACAACTAAATAAAACAATGTTTTCTAGTGTTGGAAACCGGTTTTGAAAACAGCCTGTTACAAGACCTCATCCACAAAGATACTTGCTACTATCTATTGAATCTCTAGTATCTTTAAATTGTACCTCTATTTATGTATCTTGTAGCTCTTATTTTTTATTCACCCTTTTAAAGTATGTTTCATATTCGTAATATTACAAAAAATTATTCACGGTCAAGTGACATGAGATGACACCCCTTTTTTCTTCGGGTGCAACCGCACTCTTATCTTGGAGCTTTTGTTGGACGAGGGTGTGCGAGAAAGGAAAAGCCCCACTGGGAGCGGGAGCGAGGTGCTTGTCTGTGTGCGTGTTGAGTGTCGAAGACCGGGGGCCTCTTAGTACGGCGTTGTTTTTGACGTGATCATTTGTGAATCGTGGGTCGGTGAGCGCGCAACACGCAGTACGCATCTTGCAGTCCGCAGCTCGCAGTTCGAATAGCCACTCGAGAGCTCCCCAACGACTTCCCGTATCTACCTGCGGTGTGTCTGTGTGTGATTGTGCTAAGGTTTTCCACCGCGGTCCAAAAACCTTTTCTAGCCCGCTTTCAAATATCTGTCATTTATCTGCCCAAAACCCAGTTGCGTAATTAAACATTTTTCAAAACACATTGAAGAGTGCTGCCGCTGCGTGTGCAAAAAATAAAATAAAAGAGAATATTGCCCGGACTGCTGAATCATACTATATTCCTCATCGTAAAGTAGATACATATACATAAATCAGTTTCTGGTAGCCTTCACACCGTCCACGTCATCATCCGTGGAAAATAAAAGCCAACAAATTTTCGAAATAAGCAAATTCTTAAAAAAGCTAACCGTAAACCAGTGCAAACGGAGAACGTCAAAATGTCGAAGAACAACGGAAAAGGCGGCAAAGGTGAATTCGAATTCCCCCAGCCAGCCAAAAAGCAAACCTTTGGGGAAATGATCTATAGTCCCCAGGATGGAACTTTCTTCGGTAGAACTGGAAAGAATTGGAGTAAGTAGAAAAAAGTACAATTCCCTGATAGTTAAAGTGAGAAAAATTAAGTCTATGGGTCTGAAATCTCCCCAAAGACTTGGCTGTTTATAATCTTTCAATAAATCTTTCCAAAAAAAGTGCTTCCAAGGATTACGTAAAACCATATACTCTTTGTACTCCCTCTGTACATAGAAACCAAATGCCATTGTTTGTTGGGTTTAAAATGCACACATGTCGGTCATTTGGTTATGAAATCCCCATGGGAGAGGGGTATCTCCGTTTGTAAATACCTCTTATCAGTTGATTTGGCGAGTCATTTTGTGGGAGGCGCGAGGAAGTGGATGCTGCTTTTGGAACTTAAATGTTTAGTCAACGTCGAAAACCGCAGATAAATACTTGTCAAGATAGGCGATGATGAATGCTTCTTTTTATTGGCATTATTAAAATATTTCCAAGCTTTCCAAGTATATTTTAAAAATGCCCATAAAAAGTTAGAGCATTAAATATTCTTAATTATTTCGGTCGGTTGATGGTTTCGCTTGGCTCATCATCTCACCCCTTGGTTTATTTTTGTGTTTAATTGCTTTTTTTTTTCAATTTTCTTACCGATTTCATTTTCGAACACACATAGCAAAGCATACACATGTACATATTTCGAATAATTCGACGATAATGAAAAGTATTGCTTTTTGAAAATGGACACGGAAACACGTCCGTTGCAAAATGAGGAGAGTACTTTTTATCGCCTATAATATTTGCTATTTGCCTTCTTTAATATGTTCTGTAAACAATTTCAAGGCTTTGAATCGGAGAGTAAGAGAACGCCTTTTCACGCTCCGATATTTCTGGGGAGCTGTCGATCGTAAAGTGCATTGCTGAAATACTAGAAATCTGAATTGTTTTTGTAGAACTCTCATACATACCTCTGAGTATGTGGAGCGTAGATGTTTGAAGCCCCTTATCGGGGGAATCAAAAGTAAATACAACGCGCTGAAAACTGAAAAGACCCCTTGACGTCAAGTGTTTATTTTAATTAACTTGGCCAAGTTCGATGGGGATTTATCGAAAGGCTCAAATTGGTGTGTAATTTGTTTGCCAAATTAATACGAAACTTACGATTGGTGGCTCTAATAGGTTTCTATGCTAATTTCTAGACCAAAGAACTTGACTCTCTGCTGACACACCTGCTACACGTTTATGGACATGTATATATTTTAGCTTTATGAGGTAGTATATGGAGAATATAGCTACAAATGTCCTGCTGACCCTGCTGGCTCTAATGTGTATCATTAAATCCTGCTCGTGGGTGCAGTTCTGCGAGGACTGTAACTCAAGGGAAAACTGTCAAGCCAAATCGATTATCTACAATCATTTTTTAAAGGAAAAAAAATCAAATTAAGCTCTGAACCTATGTACCTAGTATATTTTATGAAGTAATTGACTAACCTTAATCCGTCCAAAAACATTGCATGGTTGATCATAATTTGATTTCCATTAATTAACGCAATGAGAACTTGTTTAATTTTGTGTCGATTGTTGTTGTTATATATTTTTTACGCGGCGATGAACCTTCTAGTCGAACCGGTTCAGCGGGTTTTTGTTAATTTCTGTTTTGGAAATACTTTTTCTTTGTTACACATTTGTGTTTTCTACCTCGAATTTACATACAAACGAGTAAAAGAAAATTAGATCGCTGGAATACAGCTCTATAGCTAAATATCATGTATGTCTAAAAGCAGTTTGAACTTTGGGGGCTTGATAAAGTTAATTCTGTTTTCCGATCGTATCAGTGCAACCGCAATGACATCGGAAACAGCAAAACCGGCAATGAAAGCACTGGGCCGCCTAGCCAGTACGTAAATCAACCAGAAACTGGTTAGAACCGCATTCTGCCGGTTACATCTCATTTCTCATTAATCGCCTCTGCCACTCCCCCCACTATATGTACATATACATATTGACGTGCTGCTAACTAATTGTCACGATACTGAGAAAGTCGGTGATAAAATGCACACAACTTAATTAAGTCGCCTAAAGTTGCATTAATTTGCTTTGATTCTGTCAAGGTTTAAGGCAGAAATACTCTGGCAAAGTTTAAATATTTTAAGAGATTTAGAGCTAATTTAGAACTAAGAACTTTGAAACTAAGTAATATTATATTTTAAAACTACTGTAGTAAGTTGCCTATAAAGATTCCTAGAAAAGCCCTTCCCAAAATATTGAACTATCTTGCATATTTTGGGAGAGTCTATATAAAGGTATATTCCATTGCTTACCTATTTTGTCCAAAAATAATCAGCAAAGTAAACGTTTTTAATGTTTACTGGGGGTAGGGCTACGGCATCTCCATCTCCTGTTAGCACATGAAATTAATTCACTTAAAATGCCGCAAAGTATGCTATAGGCTCTAAGCATACACCAAACGGAAAGAGAAGGATCCTGGCTATACAAGTGTAGGTGTTGGTGTGTGTGGGATGTCTGGGATGTGTGTGGTGTCTGGGATGGTGACGCATTGACAAAGGGTGCGGCGTGCCCCAACAAACAAAAACGGCGCCACAGAGACGGACGACGTTCTCATTCGGGATGGCTTATTGGGAACGGAGGTTGGGGCAGTGACGTGACCCACTGGATCTGAATCTGGGGGGAGGATATAATGATGACAGAGTCCAACAAGTTGCATACTTATTCTCATTTTCTTTTCCTTAATGGCGTCATAGTTGTTGCTTATCCTGGAAAAGAATTTATATAAAATCATCAAGCCTTCTTCTTTACGTTTTCTATTAATATTTCCATTAGTAGAACCCCTTGGGTTTAGAACTAATATCCTTTTTTGATATAAATACATATTTTTAATCTATTTTTTTAAGAGCTCTAATCAAAACAGCATTAAGCTCCCTGTCCGTTCATTAAACAAATGAGTTCCTGCTGCACATGTGCAAGTCCTTATCAGATTTCCCACAACTACACGATTTGTAGCCAGAAGTGTTAAAGAAGCCCCTTGCAGAGGACGGGAGCTATTACTAGCGTTTTTGGTGGCCACGGAAGCCGCGAAAAAGTGTCCTGAATCTTGGCCATATGTGCGTCCAGCACGTAACTAAATTATTAACTGGGTTGGCCTTGGTGGGCCCGCTTGGATGACGACAAGCGCCACATGGAGCAGGTCTATCAATCGTTGGTCATGCAAAGCTTCTAGCATTACCACAGTTTCAGGGGGTTGGGCCTCTCTAGGTGGAATGGGAGCGGCCAGTTCCTTTCTATATGGGTCACGGGCCCTTAAAGTTTGTTTACCGCACCAGCAGTCCCACGCACAGGCAAGGCTAAGGGATAAGGATAAGCCAAGGAAACTGCTCTGCCTTCCCTCCCTGCCTTCACGAATGTCAAGTGTTATTATTCAAACTTGGTCAGTTGCACCACCCTGGAACTGGTTGCACAATTGACCGGGCCTGGTATGGGTGGGGGTATGGTATGCCACATAAAATAAGTTTCCGCCTTGAGTAGCGGTTACTGTTATGCATAAACTTGATACACATCCCGTCGACATCTTATTTGACTTTTATATAAGTATTAAGTAACTCTGAGGCACAAGCAGAGCCCTCTCGACTGCACTCTCGACTTGGCAATGTTCTTTCTTGCCAAAGATTTCTCTCATTTCTCATCTTTTCTGGGTAGCTGACCTCTATGTCTGGCAGACGCTCATGTCTATTTCAAGTTTATTTTTTCTTATTTATATTTCAAGGCAAAACGCCCATAAATGTGTCAAAATATGAATATCACTTGGCATTCAAAAATACTCACAATATTCAACACATTTTTTTGAAGTTTCTACCATAAATGTTCTATGAAATAATTTATGAATAACAAGTGCGACTAATGCAATACCCCCATGGGTCGGTCATCTATATGCCATCTGTCCCACAACAAATGCAAACAAATGCGATGAATATATTCATGATTCAAGTCTGTTTACTACTCACTCACTGTGAGGGACATGTCAGTAATCGTCAATTGCAAGTTTCTGTCCACAAGTCGTTGGAGTGGAGTAGACTTATCGATTTCAGGAGGCAAGGCATTAATGGAGCAACTGAGAAACTCATGAGAGAGAGAGTCTACTGGTGTAATGCCTCACTCGGCGAAGACATAAGAATGTTTAGGGACTCTGCCGTCATGTAATCGTAAGCATGTAGGGCAGAATTCATTATACATCGGATATTGGTTACCAGCGCGCCACAGGCCACCATAGTCTGCCGCCCTGTCCCACCTTGCCGAGGCGGATGACGACTCGGATTGGTGGTGGTGGTGGTAATTGGGCGACTAGGTGGTTGGTGGTGGTACCATGGACGGACAACTGTCAGCCTGGCTGGCGGCTGGCGTCACACTGCCTGTGTCTATGTCTGTCCCTGGCGCTGTGGTCATTGCCAAACTTATTTCCTTGTACTTGAGCACAATTATTTTCCATTTTTACTTAGCAACAAGCCGCCCGGGCCGGCTTTCAAAGTTTCATGCGCAATTGAAAACTTAAATATGAAAGGCCTTTATCAGCCAACTGCAATGGTCATCGATTTTCGCTGATAGATTCGACGGAGCCTACATATTTTATTGATGGACATGAATTTTCAGTTTGATTGATGGAATAGTAAAGTTGAAAGGAAACTAACTTTCCAGAAAGTTATCTAAGTTTTAATTCCATTTCCCAAAGGCCCAGTTACTCTTCTAATTAGATTAAAATAAATGATTTCCCTAGATGATCTAACAGATCAATAGAATCTAGTGTCGATCGACTTCCTCTTGCTGCCTTTGTGGCCTACTGTACCCTGGATTGTGGCGCCCATTGTATTCGATATTCATTCATACGATTAATTTGTTTGGGAATTTGAGCTCCGATGGCCAGTCGTTAATTCGTTTGCTTTTCCAGTTTCTAGGGTGTGCTGTCAAATTCGGTTTGTCGGTGTGGTCGCTTACTTATGCAATTACTGTGGGGCTTGGTCAAGTCCGGGTCCGGGTCCGGCACCGATGCTCGGTGTCCAGTGACCGCAGCGAAAGTGACAAACAGTCGATACCCCACAAGGCGTCCATATCCGTCCGATTCTAGCTGAGTCGTCAATGGTAATGACATTGAAATACAGACAAATGCCGGTCCGGTCCGATTGTTTACTCTGTTTGTTGTTTTTTTGTATTACTTACTGCAGTCGGCGTAAGCGGTCGATTATCTGCATGTCCATTTGGATTGCATAAGCCCTGGCCCCATTCTTAGGTGCCCCATTATCCAGTTTTCGAAAGAATCACATCGTAGCAGGGCGATAAATATTTTTATTAAGTTTTTCCTTCTTTAATCCTTTATCAGGTCAGCTCTTGTTGTTCTACACCATTTTCTACATCATCCTGGCGGCTCTGTTCACCATCTGCATGCAAGGACTGTTGTCCACCATCAGCGATACTGAGCCCAAGTGGAAGCTTCATGACTCGCTGATAGGCACCAATCCAGGCTTGGGATTCCGTCCCCTCAGCGAGCAGACTGAACGTGGCTCTGTCATTGAGTTCGACAGCAAGAAGCCAGCCGAGAGCAACTACTGGATCGAGTTGATTGATGACTTCCTTCGGGGTAAGCTAGTCATTCTCTATTCTTGAAATAAAAAATCATCTTAATTATAATTTCTTACTAGACTACAACCACACTGAGGGCCGCGACATGAAGCACTGCAATTTTGGCCAAAAGAACGATCCCAGCGATGTGTGCGTCGTGAACATCGATACTTTCGGTGATTGCTCCAAGGCCAATAGCTATGGCTACAAGTCCAACCAGCCCTGCATATTCCTCAAGCTGAACAAGATCTATGGTTGGGAGCCTCAGGTGTACGAGGAAGCACAAAAGGACATGCCCGATGATCTGAAGAACTACATCAACGCCACGAAACCCGAAGAGGTAAGATATCTTTAACCCTCCTTAACAGCTTTCCAATTATTTAATTTAAAATTTTCAGCGCAAACAAGTCTGGGTGAGCTGCAATGGACACTTGGGCAAGGACAAGGAGAACTTCGCGAACATCAAATACTTCCCCACCCAGGGATTCCCCAACTACTACTACCCGTTCCTGAACCAGCCAGGCTACCTGAGTCCTTTGGTCGCCGTGCAGTTTATCGCCCCGCCCAAGGGTCAAATGCTGGACATCGAGTGCCGAGCTTGGGCCAAGAACGTCATCTACAGCGGCAGCGCTCGCGATCGCATGGGCTCGGTGACCTTCCAGGTTGTCGTGGATTAAATGCCTGGAGATCGTGTCGGAATCTTTGTGATCGCCACCACAAACACTAGCCATATGCTAGACGAGGATATGGCAGCCTCATCGCAGACCAACTACCATTTACATAGCCGCGAGAAAAATACACGTATTTGCATATAAAGAGAGTATATGGAGCTAGTATCTTTAGGTTTTCAAGAGTATTGTATATATTTATATGAGAGGAATTATCCGAGTGTCAATTGAATCCGAAATTCTGGCCCAACACGAACGAGTAAAGTTTAACAAAATCATGAAATCAAAGTTTAAATCGTCCACCTGCAACTGTTGTTATAGCTTTTGGCTTGTCTAATGCCATAAGTTGTTATTTTTAATATTTATCTTATTTGATTAAACAGCCTTGTAATTACGATCATTAGTTTCTGTCAGTTGAATTTAGTTTGTATTAATTAATTTTACAACACACCCGAAATTCCTTGTGTTCTCCACATTTCCTAGGATCGTTCAATTTGTACAAAGAACTAAATAAATAAATTTTAAATGTTAATCTTATACAAAACGGGAACATCCTGCAAGTTTATTTAATAAAAAGTCCTATGATTATTATTTTTCTATCTGGAAAAATATTGAGAGCCTTTAATTTAGTGCAACTGTTTCAGCAGAAAACTACGGAAAAGCTAAATATCAATGATTGAAAGAAATATGGAAATAAATATAATATATTTATAATCAATAATTGTAAACTTTTTTGAATAACACTAGCAAGTAACATAAATATGAGCCAATTATTTCTTTTCTGTTGCTTTAGTAATTGAATAAATAAACGAAAAACTACTTTTTGTGGATTTTATACACTTTTCGACTGTCGATACAAACAGTCGACTTGAATCTTTGCATAAACTCTTCGGGCTGGGATTGGAGAAGATAGGTGGCCTACAGCGTAAACCCCATTTTCAAGGGGTTTAAAAAAAATCATCAAAAAAACCCATCACGAAAAATGGTCAAAAAATCTTAAAAATAATTTGTCGCAGGATTTCGATGCAGCATGGTGGGGATTCGATCTAGAAATCGTTTAAGGTACTCCGCTTGTGAATAGGATGAGAATTGGGGAAGATATAGGCATCTTTGTGTGCCATATAAGGGAAAACCCCAAAGATGCACAGGATTCGAATATGCAGACTTCGTTTATGTGTCTCCATGGACATGCATCCATATAAAAGCAAAAACCATGCAATGCTGAATGTGAAGATGGGCAAGACTCAAAACAACCATCGTAATAGATAACTTATAATTTTATTGCCTAAATTGGTTTCCAATGGTTTTAAAATTTTGAAATGCCGTGCTACCAGAAGTTGCCACCTTCATTCCTCCTTCAGTCCTTTTGACAGAGAAATCTTCCTTGGATTTCCTGACTTGCGCTTGCTTCTATTGGGCTTAAGTTAAAGGTCATTGCTTGCTCAACATGTCCCGTCGATTTCACACCATTTTGGTTAGGACATGGCACAGAAGCATTGACATCGCTCAACTAAGAGTCATTAGAAGCCACCTGGGAAAGATAACAATAAGCACGGATGAGTGGGTCAGGAACCACACCTACTTACTCGGGAATTGCAAAGGGGAGAAATATGGAAATATAACTTCACAAGCAGATCTACGGATGTGACCCTAGCAACAGCATTTCGGTGGGGTGTTGTAACAGTGTGCCTTGCAAGGGGCACACCACACGCAAGGTGCGTTCTCCTTGTCCACGAGGTAGCGCTTAGGGCAGAAGCCTTGGGAGGAACGGAAATCAAGTATCAAATCGGGCTGATCTTCCCTCATTATTATGGAACTGCTGTGACCTGCACAGCCACGTACGTGCTCTCTGAACCCAACTTACTGCTCTTTAATTGAACGAAGAAAGGAATCTGGACGAAGGGCTGGGAGAGGACGGGTAGGCACCTTCCCGGATCGGATCGGACAACTCACATGGATAAGTGGCTGGTGTGTTTTAGTAGTTCAACACATGGGATTCGGGGATCCCGCCCTCGGACAACGGCGGACAGCACACGCCTGGCGCGGAGGAGCACGGAATGGGAGACGGAGCACCGCAGGGCAGACTGTGCAGGCCACAGCAGGGCACGTTATTACAGGTTCCGCAGCAGGCAGGAGCACAGCAAGGTTGGCAAGGCATCTTTAAATGTTATTTTAGAATTTATAAATTTAGAATTTGGAATTTAGAATTTGGAGAGCCGAAACGATTGGTCCGAGAGTTGGGAATAGAATGAGGATAGCTCGTCCGGCTCGGGCCTCGTTAAGTTAAACGTCAGATTCCGTTTGATTGAAATCTCAAGGCCAACTGTATGAATTTTATATTCAGTCACTAGATTATAAAATTCAAATTAATAAAATAAGGAAATAACTACCGTAAGTTAATAGCGATAGCGATGTGACAGCCCACCAATGACACCCCAAATAGCCACCGATGAAGTATCATATAAATATTAACTTTAGACGGGATCTTCATGGTTTTGGTTTTGGTTGGTTTTGGTTGGAAATTGGTTTTGGGGATATTTTCTTCATTTCCGAAAATAAAATTCATTTATTAATCAAACATTTAATCAAACAATCCATTCAAGAACCTACCTTTTTCTTGTATAAAATTAATATTTTTTTTCTAGATTTAAAAATAATTCAAGAAAACACAAAAAATTTAAAGAAGTTTTCCATAATTTATTTGCCAAAAACTTTTCCAGATATATTTAAACAATTCCATGCCAAGCTGCTTTGATATTTTCAAATATTTCCAGGATTCCTCCAGTTAACACCTTCACCACTTCGTTGTCAAATCCCAGTAAAGATTCTCAGGAAAGAATATTCGTATCTTTTTAGATTCGCTGGCTTAAACTGCAGGACAATTGTATGCTCCAAGTGCCACATCCGTATCACACTATCTCAACAAGGACATGGCACGGAAGCACAGACACCGATGGACTGCCTGATCCATTTAGAAGCCACCTGTGGAAGAGAACCATGAGTCATGGGGTCTTCAACTGGCTTCCCAGACAAGTTCGGAACAACTTACATGGATAAGTGACGGGTGTGTTGTAGTAGTTCCACACACGGGGATCGGGAATGCCGCCCTCGGGCAACGGAGGGCAGCACATGCCTGGCGCAGGGGAGCACGGAATGGGAGAAGGAGCACCGCAGGGCGGACTGTGCGGGCCACAGCAGGGCACGTTATTACAGGGGTAACAGCAGGCAGGACCACAGCAGGGTTGGCAGCAAGGCATTTTGAAATTTTATTTTGAATTTAGAAATTTAGAATTTAGAATTTAGAGAGCCGAAACGATTGGTCCGAGAGTTGGGAATAGAATGAGGATAGCTCGTAACGTTCGTGCCTTGTTCAGATGAAACCTCAGATTCGGTTTGATCCGAAATTCATGGCCAACTGTATGCATTTTATCGGATCACTAGATTTGAAAATAAAAAGAGGAGATAACTTTTTCAGTTTCGATTAGCGTCATGATACTTACATACATGAAAATATGACAAGATTTGTGAAAATTTTCAATGTTTCTTTTTCAATTTTCTTTATATTTTCGTCCAGATTGAATGCAATTTAAGGCCTAGTTTATGTATAGTATTCTTTTATGTTTTTGACTTTTTGGCTTTGACTTTCGTCACCTTATTTTAATTTGGCCATCGAGGTTCCCTCTTTGTCCTTTTATTCCAGGGATATAGCTTTAGTACCGATAATTTTTATCCGATTGGTGAGTGGTATACCTTCCTAATATTTGATCTTCGAGAAGAATACGTGTACGCCATAAACTCAATGAAACCTTAAAATGATATTTTAAGGGAGATTGAAGCCAAGGATTTCCCCAATTAATGGTAATCCTTTTATAAATCTGATACAAAATAACTAAAATTTGGCCTTTAAAGTATCTCAAATGTAAGTAGTTGGCCACCATGTTCTAAGCCTCGTCAACATGGCTTTCCGTCCCTTACTTGGTAGGCCTTGGGATCCCATTGAAAACGAATCTGACGTTTCAACTTAACGAGAACCGGACCGGACGAGCTATCCTCATTCTATTCCCAACTCTCGGACCAATCGTTTCGGCTCTCTAAATTCTAAATTCTAAATTTCAAAATTCAAAATAAAATTTCAAAATGCCTTGCTGCCAACCTTGCTGTGGTCCTGCCTGCTGTTACCCCTGTAATAACGTGCCCTGCTGTGGCCCGCACAGTCCGCCCTGCGGTGCTCCTTCTCCCATTCCGTGCTCCCCTGCGCCAGGCATGTGCTGCCCTCCGTTGCCCGAGGGCGGCATTCCCGATCCCCGTGTGTGGAACTACTACAACACACCCGTCACTTATCCATGTAAGTTGTTCCGAACTTGTCTGGGAAGCCAGTTGAAGACCCCATGACTCATGGTTCTCTTCCATAGGTGGCTTCTAAATGGAACGGGTAGTCGATCGGTGTCTGTGCTTACGTGCCATGTCCTTGCTGAGGTACTGTGATATGGATGTGGCACTTGGAGCATACAATTGTCCTGCAGTTTAACCCAAATTGGAGGCAGTTCAATTCAGCGAATCTAAGAAGATACGAAGATTCTTCGAAGAACAACGAAGTGGTGAAGGTGTTAACTGGAGGAATCCTGGAAATATTTAGAAATATCAAAGCAGCTTGGCATGGAATTGTTTATATATATCTGGAAAAGTTTTTGGCAAATAAATTATGGAAAACTTCTTTAAAATTTTTGTGTTTTCTTAAATTATTTTTAAGTCTAAAAAAATATATTAATTTTATACAAGAAAAAGGTAGATTCTTGAATGGATTGTTTGATTAAATGTTTGATTAATAAAACCACCCTTCCAATGAATTTTATTTTCGGAAATGAAGAAAATATCCCCAAAACCAATTTCACATCAAGATCCCGTCTAAAGTTAATATTTATAAGCAGTGGCGGATTTAAGGAAAAAGGCCCCGTGGGCAAAATTTTTTCAGGGTACATTGAAGGGTATTTTGAAGGGTACAGCCCAGAAAATTTGACAACAAATCTTAAAAATATTTTGTTTCCAGATTTTGATGAAGATTTATGGAGAATCGATCCACAAATCGTTTAAGGTATTCTGTTCAAGAATCGGATGAATATTTCCTAAGATATGGCCTTCGCCGTGGGTCATATGGGGCTCCCCATGCATTCTGCACATTTTGAAGGGGACAGCCCAGAAAATTTGACAACAAATCTTAAAAATATTTTGTTCCCAGATTTTGATGCAGATTTATGGAGAATCGATCCACAAATCGTTTAAGGTATTCCGTTCAAGAATCGGATGAATATTTCCTAAGATATGGCCTTCGCAGTGGGTCATATGGGGCTCCCCATGCATTTTGCACATTTTGAAGGGGACAGCCCAGAAAATTTGACAAAAAATCTTAAAAATATTTTGTTTCCAGATTTTGATGCAGATTTATGGAGAATCGATCCACAAATCGTTTAAGGTATTCCTTTCAAGAATCGGATGAATATTTCCTAAGATATGGCCTTTGCAGTGGGTCATATGGGGCTCCCAATGCATTCTGCACATTTTGGAGGGGACAGCCCAGAAAATTTGACAAATAATCTTAAAAATATTTTGTTTCCAGATTTTGATGCAGATTTATGGAGAATCGATCCACAAATCGTTTAAGGTATTCTGTTCAAGAATCGGATGAATATTTCCTAAGATATGGCCTTCGCCGTGGGTCATATGGGGCTCCCCATGCATTCTGCACATTTTGAAGGGGACAGCCCAGAAAATTTGACAACAAATCTTAAAAATATTTTGTTCCCAGATTTTGATGCAGATTTATGGAGAATCGATCCACAAATCGTTTAAGGTATTCCGTTCAAGAATCGGATGAATATTTCCTAAGATATGGCCTTCGCAGTGGGTCATATGGGGCTCCCATGCATTTTGCACATTTTGAAGGGGACAGCCCAGAAAATTTGACAAAAAATCTTAAAAATATTTTGTTTCCAGATTTTGATGCAGATTTATGGAGAATCGATCCACAAATCGTTTAAGGTATTCCTTTCAAGAATCGGATGAATATTTCCTAAGATATGGCCTTTGCAGTGGGTCATATGGGGCTCCCAATGCATTCTGCACATTTTGGAGGGGACAGCCCAGAAAATTTGACAAATAATCTTAAAAATATTTTGTTTCCAGATTTTGATGCAGATTTATGGAGAATCGATCCACAAATCGTTTAAGGTATTCTGTTCAAGAATCGGATGAATATTTCCTAAGATATGGCCTTCGCCGTGGGTCATATGGGGCTCCCCATGCATTCTGCACATTTTGAAAGGGACAGCCCAGAAAATTTGACAAAAAATCTTAAAAATATTTTGTTCCCAGATTTTGATGCAGATTTATGGAGAATCGATCCACAAATCGTTTAAGGTATTCCGTTCAAGAATCGGATGAATATTTCCTAAGATATGGCCTTCGCAGTGGGTCATATGGGGCTCCCCATGCATTTTGCACATTTTGAAGGGGACAGCCCAGAAAATTTGACAAAAAATCTTAAAAATATTTTGTTTCCAGATTTTGATGCAGATTTATGGAGAATCGATCCACAAATCGTTTAAGGTATTCCTTTCAAGAATCGGATGAATATTTCCTAAGATATGGCCTTTGCAGTGGGTCATATGGGGCTCCCAATGCATTCTGCACATTTTGGAGGGGACAGCCCAGAAAATTTGACAAATAATCTTAAAAATATTTTGTTTCCAGATTTTGATGCAGATTTATGGAGAATCGATCCACAAATCGTTTAAGGTATTCTGTTCAAGAATCGGATGAATATTTCCTAAGATATGGCCTTCGCCGTGGGTCATATGGGGCTCCCCATGCATTCTGCACATTTTGAAGGGGACAGCCCAGAAAATTTGACAAAAAATCTTAAAAATATTTTGTTCCCAGATTTTGATGCAGATTTATGGAGAATCGATCCACAAATCGTTTAAGGTATTCCGTTCAAGAATCGGATGAATATTTCCTAAGATATGGCCTTCGCAGTGGGTCATATGGGGCTCCCCATGCATTCTGCACATTTTGAAGGGGACAGCCCAGAAAATTTGGCAAAAAATCTTAAAAAAATTTTGTTCCCAGATTTTGATGCAGATTTGTGGAAAAGAAATCGAAGGTGTAACTTTCAGCGCGAGGGGCCCTGAAAGCCTTTCGTCGGGGGGGCCCAGTGGGCAAGCGCGCCTTTGCCCACCTGTAAATCCGCCATTGTTTATAAGATACTTCGTCGGTTGCCATTTGGGGTCTCATTGGTGGGCTGTCACAGGTTATTGCTATTAACTTACGGTAGTTATTTCCTTATTTTATTAATTTGAATTTTATAATCTAGTGACTGAATATAAAATTCATACAATTGGCCTTGAGATTTCAATCAAACGGAATCTGACGTTTAACTTAACGAGGCCCGAGCCGGACGAGCTATCCTCATTCTATTCCCAACTCTCGGACCAATCGTTTCGGCTCTCCAAATTCTAAATTCCAAATTCTAAATTTATAAATTCTAAAATAACATTTAAAGATGCCTTGCCAACCTTGCTGTGCTCCTGCCTGCTGCGGAACCTGTAATAACGTGCCCTGCTGTGGCCTGCACAGTCTGCCCTGCGGTGCTCCGTCTCCCATTCCGTGCTCCTCCGCGCCAGGCGTGTGCTGTCCGCCGTTGTCCGAGGGCGGGATCCCCGAATCCCATGTGTTGAACTACTAAAACACACCAGCCACTTATCCATGTGAGTTGTCCGATCCGATCCGGGAAGGTGCCTACCCGTCCTCTCCCAGCCCTTCGTCCAGATTCCTTTCTTCGTTCAATTAAAGAGCAGTAAGTTGGGTTCAGAGAGCACGTACGTGGCTGTGCAGGTCACAGCAGTTCCATAATAATGAGGGAAGATCAGCCCGATTTGATACTTGATTTCCGTTCCTCCCAAGGCTTCTGCCCCAAGCGCTACCTCGTGGACAAGGAGAACGCACCTTGTGTGTGGTGTGCCCCTTGCAAAGCCCACTGTTACAACACCCCACCGAAATGCTGTTGCTAGGGTCACATCCGTGGATCTGCTTGTGAAGTTATTTCTCCATATTTCTCCCCTTTGCTATTCCCGAGTAAGTAGGTGCGGTTCCTGACCCACTCATCCGTGCTTATTGTTATCTTTCCCAGGTGGCTTCTAATGACTCTTAGTTGAGCGATGTCAATGCTTCTGTGCCATGTCCTAACCAAAATGGTGTGAAATCGACGGGACATGTTGAGCAAGCAATGTCCTTCAGTTTAATCCCAATAGAAGCCAGTGCAAGTCAGGAATCCAAGGAAGATAACTCTGTCAAAAGGACCGAAGGAGGAATGAAGGTGGCAACTTCTGGTAGCACGGCATTTCAAAATTTTGAAACCATTGGAAACCAATTTAGGCAATAAAATTATAAGTTATCTATTACGATGGTTGTTTTGAGTCTTGGCCAACGGCTTCACATTCAGCATTGCATGGTTCAGATACATCGTAGAATAAGTAAATAAAACTGATTTTAAGTATAAACTGTGATTTTATTGGCAAAGTATCTTCGGGGCACATTTGAATCAATCTCTTAGCCACTTCTTATCGGCTATGAGAAGGCAATACCTTTAACGAATCGTGTCTTCATTCGCTTTGAATTCGCATTAAAATATCAAGTCTAAAAGATACGTATAGAGCCTAATTGACCTACCTCAGACAGGGAGGCTAAAATTCAGCCTATTGAGGCATTTTTTAGGCCATATTGGCCAGCATTTCCTATCGCAAAAAGGAAAGAACTTCTATTTACGAATCAGTGCACTAAAAGGCTTTATTCTGCATTAAAATATCATAAAAATCGGGGAATAACATTTTTGGTCGTTATGGATATTTTCCTGAAAAAAATCCCGCCAGAAAAGCTTGTTGACCAAGCTAAGAACAGGATGGCCAAAATGGTTACTTTTGAGATGCTTCCTAGCACATATTTCAGTTGTTTTTAATCGCATTTGGAAAAGGATTACCATTTACTAATCAGGAAACATATTGGCTTAAATCTGCATCAAAACTTTAGGATCTAAGATCGGCAAGGTATAAAATTAAAAAGATTTATCAGAGTTATGAAAATTTTTCTTAAATATAATGAGGCACTGAGTGAGTGATTCCCAAATATTACGCATAAGTTGTCTTAAATTTTTTCCTACATCTCCTATTGTAAATATGATCCCATACTCTCCGTATGTCGGAAATATGATCTTAAGCACGATGTGACAAAATAATATTTAAAAAAATATTTTTTTATCAAAGAATTTTTTTTCTGCTTAGTGCTTATGAAAATTTTTTAATATTAAAGAAAGCCGTTTAGGAAAAGGGTTCATAGTTTAATATTTATTAATCCAAATTTATTAAACGATTGTGAAATATTATACCTTACACTATAAATAGAATGTTGCGTATTTATTCGTATTGATTTGTAACGATTCGAAACTGCGATATTTTAGTTACTTTCATTTTTAATGTCAGTACACATAAATATTTAGGTCTATATAAAGTAATCACAAAATATAATTATCACAATTTACAGATACATATACACCCATGTACATCTCAGTATTGTTTAAGATTTTATGGTACCTTTTGAAGCATTGGCATTCTTGCAAGTGGCATTGGTTCAAAGCCGAATGAAGAAATTATATTTTGGTAATACTTAAATGGAATATTCATATTTAATATGATGCTGGAGTGGACGTAAATAGATTTATTTACTGTCCAAGGTTATGGAAAGACATTTTCGTCTTTGTACAAAATATCTGTATGTACACCTGAAAATTAGCCCAGTTACAAGAATACCAAATACTTTATAGAATATTTTTACGATTTTAACAACGCGAGTAAAAACTTCGGATTTCAGATAAAAATTTTTTGATCTACTACGTTTAGTTAGGATTAGTTTGGAGTTTGTCTGCTGACTTAAGACGAAAGTTTAGCTTTAGTTGAGACGAAGATTGAAACTCTTTTTCGTTAGGTACTGCAATTTTGATGTTGCTGTGAAATAGGTAAAACTTTTAGGATAATGGCACAATGATTTAGGTCCTTGAGTTTCACCTCAGCCGTGTCGGGCGCCCCAAAGTTGTGTCTCGTGGTACATGCGATATATATTGTCTCGAATGAGTTTGGCTTTATCTGAAAGAAATTCAAATGAAATTAAAGCTGTTAAGAAATTGAAAGACTTCCATTACCTTTGGACAGGTTAAGTGCCACGATGTGTTTTTTAAGAAAGTCGAGGCATATATCTTGGGAAGTGCCCAGCGAATGCATGTTGCATGTTAAGGCCCTGAAATTTGTATAAATAATAATTTAATAAATTTAAATATTTAAGATTTCAATGAAAATTCTATCCTCTCACCCTAGCTGTCGAAATGCGATGTCCTCCAACTCCTTGCCAGTCTGAGGCTGACCTAAACTATTCTTGCTCTGTCTCCGGTTTGCGGATGCGGAGCCGGTGCCCGTCGGAGCCGCCGATTGTACCGCTTGGTGCGAGGAACTAGACGACGAGTCGCCTCCCTGTTTGCGTAGCGATTTATCCGTGACTGAGCCTCCTCCTCCTGCGCCTACTCCGGAGGCCTGCTTTTGCTGCTGCCTCTGTTGCCGTCGCTGCTGGCGCCTTAGCTGACCACTTATGCGGTGCTCCCGCTCCGCCTGCAGACTCTCCAGGAAGATGGCGTTCCAGAATCGCGACTGCTGCCAGATGGGTTGCTGCCGCAGCGAGATGAATAGGTACTCTCGGTAGGGATCGCAGCCAGGGACCTCGATCTCATGGTAAAAGAGGAAGCAGAGGTTCATCAACACCCCCGCAGGTCCATAGTCTTCGCATTCGCCGCACTCAAACAGTGCCAGGGCGAAGTACTGGGCCAGGCCACCAAAAGTGACAGAGTCCAGCCTCTTGGATTTGTGTCGCTGTTCTGTAAGAAAACGGGTGAACCACAGCCGGCCGATCTCCAGGCGCAGCAGCACCCCAAACTCCGACTTTAGTTCCAGGTTGATGACGCCGGTTGGTCCGCCAAAGAGCAGAGCGGTGAAATGCTTCATGAACTCCTTTACGGGCTCTTCGCCCGCCCGACAGTCCAGGCTAATGGAGGACGCCCACGACGGCACCGAGTTCTGTGACTCGGAGCGGATGAAGTGCCGCCAATCAGTGGACTCCATGCTGGGGCTGGCCAGCATCTGGTCCGGCTCATCACGAAGGCTTGTCAGCGTGCTGCTGTTGGAAGTGCGGCTGCGCGGCGGCACACGCATGGAATTGCTGCCGCCTGCCCCTCCGCCACCCCACTGCTGACGTCCCGGCGTCGATCCAAACTGACCACCGCCCTCTGTGGGTGGCTGGACATCGATGTGGGGTGGAGCTGGCTCGCCAAGCTCTCCAATGCGCTGCATGTCCTTTTGCATGTCCAGTTCGCTGCGCCTTGCTCCGGCAATAGCCCGAGCACGTTCGTATCCGCCGGAATGCCGTGACTCCAAGGAGTCGGAGCGCGTGGTGCTGCTCACGTCATGGGAACGAGCCGCCAGATGATCTGGTAAGGACAAGGAGCTACTTTCGTCAGTACTGCTGCCAGAGCTGCTCGAGGATCCAGAACTGGAGCGGGCCGGGCCACCTTGTTTGCTGTTCGCATGGTTGCGACCACGAGATGGTTCCAGACGAGGTCCTTAGAATAGGATTAAAAATATACATTTGAGAAAAGGTCATTAGATGGATTTAATGTCTCAAAATTGACCACTTACTTGGTGCTAAGTTAGGCTGGCGATATCGTCCTGATATAATTTCTTCGTGAGCCCGTCGAGCCTTAACACGACGTCCTTCAAAGTCGATTTTAGTGTAATCAATGCTCTCGTCAACTGAAAAATTATTTAATCTAGTCCATTAAGATTTATTAAAACGTATTCTATGGAGACTCACACTTGGGAATATCCTCGTCGTCGTCGCAATAATCAGAGTCACTGCTGCTACTGCTCAGGGTCAACTGTAAGTATATGAAGTAGGAAATACATTTAATCAAGAAATCAATCATTGGGTTCTGTGGGAAAGACTAAACGTGTTTCTGTTTATGTGGATTTTTGAAAGTTTGGCTAAGTAGTAAATGTAAGTACTCTATGATTAAGATAAGTGTTCCAAAGAATTACCTCTTTAATCTAAAGATCTATCCATTTTTAATTATATTATGAGTTTTCTTGCCCTTTTATTGCCTTCATTGGTATTCTTGCCAAAATCGTTACCAAACAAGGCTAAACAAACTCAGTCTTACACTCGATTCCCTTTCCTTTCAATTTGGTGTATATATAACTAATTTTAATCAAGGACGATGCGCTCAGAGTGAGAGAAAGTCAAGTACAAAGAAAACAGCTGAGAATACGCCACCCAGTTCCAGCCCACTGAGTCGCCCCCCCCACTCCCGAAAGCAGATTGCGGCCTCAAAGTGAAGGTCAAACGAGTGCAGCGGCAAAGCGGAAACAACAAGAACAAACAGCACAACAAAACTATCAAAGTGTCAGTTGCTTTTGCAGCATAGACAGTACCCACACACAATCTCGCAGACCGACACCCCCATTCGAATCACCTCTTGTCCCGTTCATTACCAAGGCTATCACAGCTCAGGCCTAGAGATGTACTCTCTGCACGTGAACGATTGCCAATAGGTCAGGTCAGGGATAACTGCATTTTTATTCTTTGGCTGGCTAATGGTCCATAAAGTTGCATCTTTTATGTCAGGTTTATGGTTTATGTCATAAGTTACTAGAGATTAAATAAATATAGATTTATGCTGAGGGTTAAACATTATTTTCTACCATATTAGCTTTCCTTTTGAGGGAAGTTCAAGCAGCTAATAGTTGCTTCATATTTTCTAAAAACGTTCAAAATAATACTATAACCCACGTGACTCACGCTGCCTGCCCCAGTTCGCTTACCTTATTTGATATTCCGTTGAGGAGCTCATTGCTGTTTCCCAGCACTGTGAGGAACTTGGACTTGAGAGCCCCGATGCTGGGTGTCCGTTCCATGAACAATTTAATTTTCGATCGCTCGCCGGCGAAGCCAGCCGGAGGCGTTCCCGGCACCATTCCCGCTGGGGGTGGCTGTGGCTTTGCATCCACCATGTCGGCCTTCGGTTATGTCAAACTCAATTCAGATACGGCTACTAATACAGGTTACCGGGCTTAGTCGACCTTCTCTTTGGTCAGCAGTCTTGCGTAGCTTCAATGGCTAGGTTAGAGGGCCCGGGCGGACCTCACTGCAACTGCTGATGCTTCAGCTGTGGATTCCAGTATCGATTTTTCGTATGCCTGCATGTCACACACATCGGGTGAAGGTAAACTTCGTACTTGGCTGCAGCATTTTTTTGGCGCATTTCATGTCCAACGCAGCGTATATTTCGCTGCTATTGTTTTAAATTCGAGGAGTTGTTAATCCAAATGCTAGTCCATGGAACTTGGGAGATATTATTTTATGTAATTCCTTAGCTAATTATAAATTTTCATTACTTGCACTTCTTTAAGTTTTTTTTTTTTCAAAGGTACCTTGTCTTTTCGACTGTTTAAGGTCTAAACTAATATTGCAGAAAGTAATGACAGGAAAACGCTAAATTATAAAGGCACTTCTTTGACTTTAAGTACTTTGCATGAACTCCCTCAGAGCTATATTGGGGAATTACATTTTCCGATCTCACACACATACACACAGGCTGCGGCAACGACACGCACACGCCCCTTTTTCGCACGCAACGTTGTGGCGCGAGGCTTGGGGTAAGTAGAGTATTTTCCACAGCTTTTCCACCCGCGTCCATAGCTTGCAACCGACGTTGCTCGAATGCAGCCGCAACCTGCTGGCCAACAGCCGAGTTCCGCTACCATTTGTTGCCACCTTGTATCGGTGGGTATCGGCTCGAAAGCACTTTATTTATGAACGGTCTTGACTAGGTTTTTTAATAGGAATTAATATTTAAAGTGCATTGATGAATTATATTATCGGTCATTATTTCTTAAAATTTACAATTTTCTTTGGTATAACATCATAATTTATTAACAAAATCCAAGCTGCTTGAATTTTTAAGGTTGTAATGTGGGATTATGAGGCGTATACGTAATATCAAATCTGGCGCATACTAACTGGCACTAATATATATTTATCTTAAAATATCATATTGAAAAAATAGTCAAAACGTTGCATTTTTAATATCTACATTCTTGTGACATACATTCCCCATGTAAAAGCTTTTCCCGCCATTTTGACACGTATTCTACATACCTTCATTTCCGTTTCTCTCTCAGAAAGTTTTTCCAAAGCGCCACAGCCGGAGAGAGGAAAATGCCGGCATGCAGAGTGTTTACGCTCAGCTGGCAAACAGCTGACTGATTGCGAGAGCAAAGCAGCCATCGGCTTGCGTCAACAGGGAAATCTGCTGCACGGGGCAGGACCTCCAAGGACACAAGGTGGGTGGCCGGCGGCGGGGGGCCGATTAGAAAATGTGCGTGCCCACAATTATGGAACTTTGCCATTGTCATTGCCAATTTATTATGCATTGAATTTATATTTAGAACAGAATTATCGAACGCTGTGGGGAGTCCTTATTGCCATAATGCCCGTTATGCCAAAAATATGTATTGTATCTATAGAAATTGCTTTTTGATTTGCACTTTCAACGGCCAGCAGGTGGTGCGTGGCGATACTTTTATTGTTGTTTACATTTTTTCTATTGTTACTCATTTGTTTGCGAAAAATTGATTATAAATTTGTTAGGGCTTCTTGGTTTAAAGCAGGTTGAAACCTACCTTATTAATGAGGTGTTCCCCGATAAACGATTTCCACAAATCCTTGGAAGCCATTTACTGTGTATTCATAAGTCAGATGGGTTTTTGAAAGAATGACTTTCAGAAATCGAGTTATTTAAGAATAAATCAAGCAGTTTTGGTCATAAATGTATTATATTTTCCACTAAAAAGTATTTAAAATTTGAAGAAACAAGTACTGGTACTTTATGTGTTTGATATGTCACATTTTTACAATTAAATTTCATTCACAAGTCGAAAAATGCTTTCTGCAAAATCAAGTAATAACTTATAGAGACAATCCGTACGATTTGCAAAATGTTTAACAACAAAAAGAATATATACGAAGGAAATGGTGAAAAATTGATGTTATTCATACACGCGACGTGGTCGGGCAGTCAGTGTTTTTATAAAGATCGAATACGATGTTGCGTTGTATTTATAAAACAACGCGAAAATACTGAAAATAGTTGAGTGAAGAGACACCAGGCGGGGATATGAGGAAATGATAGGAAAACCAGACAAGATGAGAATTCAGTTCTGCGTTGACTTCTTCCTACTCGACGACGAAAACGGCTGGGACTGGGGACCGGGGTCTGTGGACTAGAAGCTAGAGACTAGAGAAGATTGCAGTAAAAATGCTGTTTAGAATCCAATAGAGATTTCAGTTTGCTAGGAGACGATCGCCGAACGAGACCGTAGCAGAATATTCATGTCGCGCCGTGGCTAGACATTAGAAATATATATATATATACCCTTATATATATTCATGTGCTACCAGCTGGCAGTGGCAGTTTTGAGTGCGGCACGACGCGTCAAGTGAAAACGAATTATGTAAGTGATCTCTCCACTATTCGATCGATCCATCGATCCAAGCACCCATCGATCCGAGTCGAAACAATAACAAATGGAAATGCCAATTAAATCGAAGTGAAGTGAAGTGTAGCCAAAGTGGGCTAAATATAAAACTGGTCTAATTTTAACCACAGAACGTTCCACGCGAAAGTTCAAGGCATTTCGTATACTTTCGATGAATAATGAAAAGATAAACATGCTAATTTTCATATTTTTTTTATCGTTAATCTGCCAAGAAGAAAGTAAAATAATTGTGCATAAAAACGCAAATATAGGCAAGCCAAAGAAATGTTTAAAAATAGTTGCCCACCGTTCTCCCATAAAAATAAAAACTTTTCCCTCATTGTGTGAGTGCGTGTGTAAGGTTGTGTGTCGGTGTGTGTGTGAGTTGGCGTTGCGTTCGATTCGGTGGCTGCCTCCCAGGGCATTTGTATCTCAAAGATGCCGGGCGGAGATGCCCGTGGAGGTGGATACTAGGGAGAGGCGGGAGAGTCGACAAGCCCGAGCTCATCAAACCACTGCAGGCGGCTTTATTGAATATGGTCTCACTGTGTGACATATTTTTGACCCAAAAAAACTACGGACAGGCTGCAGAAGTTTTCAAAAATAGTGCGAGAAACATGGCGGTGTGGGACTTTAGAGACAACGTTGCGTATACGCAATGCTTGAGAAGTATTTGGGGTAGGCGTTCTGCCAGTAATGCCAAGTCTAGAGAAACATCATTATAAAAAATATTGTAAAATGAACTTAAAATTCTTATATGTACATATTTTTGGATAAAGATTTCGTTTTTAAATCTATTAAAAATTGCAGTCGTAAACTAAGTACAGAATATTGTAGACTGGCAATAACATCATACAGAAACTATTTTCATTTTTAAATATTTTCCTTATGCCTGTCTAAACTTAAGAATTGTAGAACAGCATCAATTAGACCGGACACTTTTAATATATTATTTTTCATACCCACCTGCGTCATTAAAAAATATGTACATACAAGTTTCTTAATTTTCTACCTATTCTCTTACCTTAAATTAAAATAGTCTCTTTGCTTTCAATTTTCTCAAATGTTCTTTACTCTTTATTACAACAGAAAATAGTTTCCTTCCCTCTTAAAAAATAAAAAAAAAACTTAATTAATTTTATAATTAACTCTTTCTCTCATTCTTCTCGTGAATTCTTCTCTCAGAGTCTCCCAATATCTCAGCCACTTAGCCGCGTTGACAGCGTACGCCGATTGAGTCACTAACAACATTTCCCTCTTTCGCATTTTCGCATCATTTCATAAATAAACAAGCCCGAAATGTTTTGCCAAAAACTTTTTGAATTCTGTGTTCGCTGCACAGAGAAATATTTTAGCCTAAATTTAGCAAGTTTATTCTTGATCGAACTCTGGCTGCGTTTAGTGTTGCGCACAAAATCCCCGAAAATTGCATTTTCGAAAAAGTTGCCTCCTAGGACTGTGCCTCTGGCAGAAATTGGGTGAGCCAGCTAAAAATAATCATATTTATATATCACATTTTTGGCAGTTCTCTTAATGGAATATGAAGTCGTTTGAAGTGCCTTGTTAATGAGCGGAAATTTGCTTATTATGCGATATTTAAGAATAAACAAAAGAATACATATTTGAATTTTTAATTTAAAAAGGCTTCACTTGATAAAAAGGATACTACCTGCACTTCTATTTAAAATTTAGATTAAATAAGAAGACAAGCTAGAAGAGAACGAACCGGCAGTTTCCTGACAACCCATTCGACAAAGATGACGACCCCACAGTTGCTCAGCAAGAATGTTCGAAACATGCCCAACTGGGTGGTAAATAAGAAGATCTCTTACTACCAGAAGTTATTGATTTTTAGAAAAATTCACTTTTAGAACGAGGCGAATGATCGTATTGGACCTAAACCGCCACCCACGCCGCCAAATGGTGTGGCGGGTGGACCGGCAAAGGCCCCGGCCTTGCCTCCCAAAGCGAAAAATACTCCCGAGCCAGATTACGAAATCATTGAATTCTCCAACCAGCAACAGTACTCCAATGAACCGATGAAGACCACAGTGATCAGGACCAAGACACCAGGTGATTTATAAACATATAAATATGTATGTATTGATAATATTGAATTCATCTTCCAGACAACAAGCTAAAGTGCACCCTTTGCGGCTCCCAGAACCCCTGGGTGACCTGTTCGGAGTGCGCTGGCCAGATCTTCTGCGCCTCCTGCGATGACATGTTCCACAAGCATCCCAAGCGCAAACAGCACATGCGAAAGGTAAGGATTCTCCATAAATCTATTACCCTTTAGTGTATCACCTTCTTTCAGGCCGTCGAGCAGGGCACTCCGCCCATTCCTCCCAAGGCGCAGGCGGGAGGAGGAGCTCCTCCGCCAGTGGCGCCACCGCGTCGTAGCAAACGTGGTCTGCTGACCCCGTTCCTGGGCCGCAAGGATCAGGTACGCCACTGCACGATTTCCTAGACCCATAAGCCAGCTCCGACATAGGTTACTCATAGTACCAAGTTTGTAAAATTCGATTTGAATGCTTGAATAAACAAAATCCTAAATGCCTTCCCAACAAAAAAAAACTAGAAACCAGAGAACCACAAAGTCTCTATGAAAACTCTTTAAATAGCAAACCGACAAGGCACCCAACCCGATTTTTTTCCAGATGCTGCCGCCGCCCTCGCCCACGCCCTCGCACAAATCTCTGGGCGGCTGGCGAGGACAACTAGGGGGTGGAGTCACCCCACCACCCCCTCCTGCAACAACACATCATCAGATGAACAACCGCCCGCTGCCAGAGCCGCCGCGCAGCGAGGCGGGAGGATCCTCGAGGTCAGGAACCCCAAAGTCCGTGTTTGATGGCATCCAACGGCCGCCTTCAGTGCAGCTGGAGAAGATTAAGAGCAAGGCCAGCGCCACGCTGGACCGTATGGCCATTCTGCAGCAACGGTACCGCCAGCAGAAGGCGCGCCAGGAGCTAAGCGCCAACAGTGAGCAGGTGAGTGGCGGTCCGCCCACCCCCCACATCGCCATCAAATGTCTCCCCTCATCATCGATTGTCTCGTTTCGTCTTTGTTTCGTTTCGTCTCGTCTCGTTTCTCCCTCTCCTCTCTCTTTATCTCTATCTGTGGGTGCCTCCGTGTTTTCGTGGTCATTCCCCCGCCGCAGCATCTGCTGAATGGAGCCGGCTTCGAGCCATGGTCAACCATCTCACCATCGCCATCGCATTTTCGTTCCGGCAGCATGTCATCCGGTCTGAACTCATCCCATTTCGATCTCTCGGATGACTCACACAACTTTCACAATTCCTTGCTGCTCCAACGACAGGCGGCGGGTGCCCAGCGGCGCCAGATGAGCACCTCGGTGTTCAACCTCAACACCGCCACCCCCCGCCGCCCTCTGGCTGAGACGCAGAACGGCAAGGCCTGGTTGGCCAACCAACGGATGCAACAGGTAAGTTAGAGACATACCTCGGAAAACTTCGACTCAAGTACCTCCATAGGCCCAATCCCTGGCGCAGCTCAACTGCGCTGGTTGCCAGAGCCAGCAGCCTCCTGGTTGGCAGCACCAGCATCTCCACCAGCACCCGGACGAGTGGTCCCAGTTTGGTTCCCAACAGCAGTTCAACAACTCGAATCTATCGCTTAACTTGGGTCCTGGCTACCTGCCCCAGCACCATCCACATCAGCATCCCCACTACCCGCCGCCTGTTTTTATGACCCAACGAGGAATGATGTATCCAGGAGCACCTGGCTATCCCATAATGCATCCAGGTATGTTTTTTTAACTTTATTGTGGATTATTTCAAAAGAATCTTTCTCGTCTAGGAGTCATGGGAATGCCACCAACAGCCGCCTCCCGGGCCACATCCCGTTCCCGCTACGCTGCCTCACCCACGCCCAGTCGCAAGTCGTTGTCCTTGCGGAGAAAGCGCACCAACTATGTGGACGATGAGCTGACCGACGACGAGGATTCCGACCAGGACGATCGCCGATCTATGGTCTCAACCCGATCTGGTATGACCAGTGCATCTCGATCGCAGCCACATCACCAGCCCCGCCAGAGGCGCCTTTCCAGTGCCTCTCAGCTAATCGCCAACGATGAGCTGGATGGCGAGCAGCGGCATGGATCGAGGCAGCACAAGATACGGGATAGGCGCGGTTCGGTCGCAAAGTCAGTGCAGAGTGAGTGGCTACCGGAAAGACGAGACTCCCAGACCAGCAATGGTGGAACACTCACGAGAAATAAGCCAGCTACGGATTCGGCCCGCACCAGTCGCATTTACTCGGACCTGGAGTCGGAGGGCTCAGGTGCCCGCGCGTTAGTTCAGGCAAAAATCCAACAGAAGCTCCAGGAAGCCGACCAACACAAGTCCTCCAAGAAAGTTGAGCCCAAACGCAAGCCAGAGATGAAGGATGAGAACACACAGGCAGCGGCAGTCGTACACAAGGCGCCACCGGCACCACAAGCTCAAGAAGAGAGCGCGTCGGAGTATGAGGAGGTAGTGGAGGAGGTTACAGCTTCAGAGAGTGAAGCCGAGGCTCAGCTCGATCCCAGCCAGGAGGTACCGGCAGAGGCTGAGACCGATGACTTGGGTCCGCCACCCTCCACGCCGGACCACGAATGGGAATGCGAGTTCTGTACATTTGTCAACGAGCCAAACATTAAGATCTGCTCCATCTGCTGCAAGACGCCTAGCAAGCCGCCAGCTCAGGCCAACAAAGCCAAGAAGGTGGAAGAAATCCCACCACAGCAGACAAAACCACAAACCCAATCTCAACAGCCTGCTAGAACCCAGGTGGCTTCCCAGCCGGAAGTCAAGCTGGTGCGAAAGTCCTCGCTGAAGAGCCAGCAGCCCAGCCAGAAGATAAGCAGTGGTACCAGCACCGCTGTCCCAGTCACGAAAATAGCTCAGCCCACCAGTAAATCAAGCTCAAACCACTCTGTAGGACCTATTAAAACCTCAAAGATCACGTCGAGTATTCCTGTTCCAACACCCTCAAAGTCAACACTGAAAAACTCATCCGAAAACGAGTCCGATAACGCCATGTCCAAGGGCTTCTTGCACAAAGGTAGGATACAAAAGCGAATCTCATTTTTCGAAGGCACCAAGGCCTGAGACCAAACCACTCAAGACTAAACTTAGTTAGTAAAGACCTGTAAGCACTACAATTAACGCATTTATGGAATCCAAATACAGAACCAGACCACCACCCAAAACCGCATTCAGTTTGTTTAATTTGATTTGTTGGTTATCCCCCTCCCCAAATGCTAATGCTCTCATCCGTTCCAGAGTCCGTTGAAAACATTTGGAATACGCTGGATGAGAGCATTCAGGCGCAGGCGGAAAAGGTACTCAAGCAGGCCCAGAAGGTGTCCACGGGCTGTGGCGGCACTCCGCCCCGGGAAGTAGCGGCTGTCGAAATGGGAACTTCGCCGCCTCCTCAGAGCATTTCCACTCAAGTAAATGAAAGACCTGGTAGTATTTTGATCCTCGTCCTAATCCATCGGTTTCTTGCAGACCTATGATGCTCTACCATTTAACAAAAAGCAGGAAGAGATACCTTCAGATCGATTCAGAACCCCGGAACCAATTAATCTAGAACGCCGTCCACATTATCGCAGCAACTCGCAGCTGCCATTGGAGAGTGAGCGGTATCGCAGTGCCAATGATCTTAGATTTCATGATGGCTACGGCTTGGATCCCTACAATGCTGGTCAGGTCACCAGGCGACCCAATTTTATAAACGAACTTCGAATGCTGCAACATGTAAGTTTGATAATGCAATAGCTAGATCCTTCTCAAAATGGTCCTCCATTTCAGCAAACATCCTCTCCCTTTGATCTGCCCAATGAATCCTATGGTCTGAAACACGAGCCGGCACGAGATCCGGAAACAGAAATGCACATTATTCTCAAGGAGCTGGAACTGTACAAGTTTACCATCGAGGAGCTAGAGGCGGCTGTCAAGTACTGTGCCCCCGATACCCATCCCATTCAGTGGCTCCGCGACAACTGGCATAAGCTGGTCCAGACGGTGCAGAGCTTGTCCACCAAGTACGGCCAAGAGCGGGGCGAGAACACGATTGGAACAGTGTCCCAGAACGAGGCACGGGAGGCGCTGCGCAGCTCTGGAGGAAACGTATGGCAGGCGGTGGCCGACTGTATCCAGCAGCGGCAACAGAAGTACAGGAAGCTGGCCAGCAAGGGAAACTTTCTGCGGGATGACATCGTCAACGCGCTGACAGCGCACCAAGGTAATGTGGAGCAGGCGCTGCTGGAGCTGAATCGCACGCAACTCAAGCCATTCCTAATGCGCATCTGGGGCTCGCCGAATGGCGTTGAGAACGATAGTGGTGTGGCCATTGACACCAAGTCGGGTTAGTTTGTAGATCGCGCTTCAGACAATCGCAGACCATAATATCTCATATTTCTCTCTCTATTCTCGATTCACGTTCATTTGCCCAAAACAGATATCCATGAATTTTTGAACAGCCACGCTTTGGATTGCCTACAGCCCCCGGTGGCCGGAGAAAGTCCCAGTCCGGGCATAGCCCACCCATTTGATCCCATCCCCGCCGATGATAGCCCGGCCAAGTCCACCTACGCCACCCCCAGTCCCTACCAAATGGAGGACAGTACCCTGAAAAACCTGGAGATCCTCATCGGCAACATGGAGCAGAACCAAGCCAAGCAAAACCAAGAGGTGCTCCGGTCCATCGAGAGCATGCTGGAGACTTTCAAGGGCAAGCCAGAGCTGGAATATGAAACGGATCCAGAAGTCATGCGCATTCTTACCAAGAGTCCCATCAGCACTCTGAAGCCTTCGGGTCCCATTGAAGATAAGTCCACTGACGACGTCAAGAACTTTGTTTGGCAGCACATCCAGGATATAGTGCCTAACCTGGTGCAACAGGTCGAACAGGAGCTCATGGAGAAAACAGAGCCAGAGGCTCCAGTAGAAGCCACTCAGCCCAAGCTGGAGAATGCAGAGCCACCACCTGAACCGGAACCAACCCCCGACCCTGGCACCTACATAATGGAGGAGTTCATAAAGCCAAACATTAGAGAAGCCTCCTTTCATGAGGAACTGCCTCCTAGTTTCATCTATGCCACGGAAATAGCTAATTTCAGGTTAGAGTTCGATCGAGGCACTGAGAGGCTTCATGAGGCGGAATGGGAATTCGATGATTTGGAAGATGCCGAGCGTATAGTTTACAAAAGTTTCATTGCGCCAAAAGAGAAGACTCCAGAAAAAGAAACCATCCAACCTGCAGAAGAATCTGTCTCAACTGAAACTGCACCGCAATCCAATCCGGAAGTCAGTGTCATTCAGCAAAAGACTGAAAACGCGGAAGTAATAATACCATCTGAACCCTCTACTGCGACTTCTAACAACAAAGAAACTGCTGTGGAGGAGGAAAAAGTAATTAGTGTGGAAAAACCTCTGACAATCAAAAAACAGCCAAATAATTTAGAAACCCAAGCCGATTTGGATAACAAGCCTTCCACGAGCAGAGAAGCCAGTCGGAAAAATAGACGCTCCCAGCAGCAAAAGAAAGGCAGATCCCGAGAACAAAGTCAAAAACCTATAAATAGAGTAAGGTTACCACAAAGTGTAGATGGGAAAACCAACAATACGACAGAGTTACCAAAAGAAGTACCTTTACAACCAGAAATAAATAATTTGAAGCCCGAAGATGTTGCTCAACAAAATACGGTGGAAGTTCTGGCTGTCTTAGTTCCCAGTAACTCAATAAATGATGCTCAGTTTCAGACGAATAATGTAGCTTCCCATCAAGATATTTCTGTTGCTGAGGTACAGCCTGAAAAGGATACAGTAAGCACTACTAGTTCAGTATTGGTTGAAGAAAAAACCTCCTCACCAGTTCCTGAACATATTATTGCTTTGGACACTAGTACAATAGTTGAAAGTTCAAAGGACGCTGTCAATAAAAATACTGCAGAACCTAACAGAGAGTCTACCACAATTATGGAGGTACCCAAGACTTTTCCACAGTCTTCAGAAAATTTAAATTCAGAGGCGGCGCCTGAGGCAATAATTACCGATTCTTCTTCAACGGAAATAAAAATGGTTCAGAACGAAGATAATTCAATGCTCATCACACCTTCAAATATTGCAGAAACCACAACAGAAGGCGAGGAATCCTTAGTCCCTATACCAACCAGTACTTCGGGAATATCCCTTGACCAGAAGCGAAGCCCAAAACGATTCTCAAAGATTCCTGTGAGAACCCTTAGTAGTAATAGTCTTAGAAGTGAAAGTAGAGCCAGCAACAGAACACCCGAAGTAGAAGAGTCTCCTGTAGAAAATGAAGCAACTACAACACAACCAGAAACAGCTAACGGATTACTTACAAATATTGAAGCAGCTAATACGTCTGGTAATACTCCTCTTCCTGAAAATGTACAAGAAGACAATGTAGATATTAAGGAAGCTCAATCTCATGAAGAACCTACGGCAAGTCATGAGGAAGATATTATATCCCAACTCCCAGAACAAAGTTTACAACCAGTTCATGTAGAAACAGAAGCCCCAACTGTGACAGCCACTGCCGTAAGCCCTTCCCACTCTGATGAAGTGTTTGAGGATGCCCCCGAGTTCAGTGGCAGTGAGGGCACAAAGCCAAACGACGAAGGAACCTCTGATACCGAGCTCTACAGTATGGAAAGTGATGATCATCAAACAGAAACCAAAACCGCCAACACCGAGGTGCTGCTTGTATTAGAAGACGAATCCCAAGTGGAGTCCTCAATCGCTAGGACCAGTAGCAACGCCAGCATTGGGTCCAATTCAAGTCAATCGGAAACATCCAAGATAGTGCTCAAGGAATTCGTGCCGTCCGGTGATCCCTCCAAACAAAATCTAAGCGAGCTTGTGGAGGACACTCAGCGATTGATCAAGCAGATGCGCGAGGAGATCAGCATGGATGAGTTCGAATCCACGGACGAGGATGAGTACTCTGACGAGTACTCGGATGAGTACGACGAAGGCGAGGAAGAGGAGTGGTATGACAGCGAGGGCGAAGAGGAGGGAGACTATGAGGGTGAGGATGGGAATACCTATAACGAGCATACATCCTTTATCGAAGAGGCCTCCACCGGGGACGAAGGCACTGAGATTGAAGACATCATGGAGGAGGACGAAGATCAGTTGGATGAAGACGACGCGAATCTTACACAAACCGCACCAGTTCACGAACCAGTCATCCCGCCCTCCTCATCAGTCACGCCCACAAACCATGATGCTGATCCAGTCGCAGAGACTGAGGTTGTTTCCTCCGCAGGAACCACTCCAGCGGTGATAAGGGATTTACTTCCAAAGGAAACCACCTTACCCCAGGCAAATGTTCAGGAAGAAACCAAAGCCGAATCTCTGCCCCCACCGGAAGTGGAAAGTCTTCCAGCGGAAGAGTCGCCAGAAGTAGTAGAGGACGTTGTACCCGAAGCACAAACTCCCACAGAAGCTGTGTTGGAATCAGTCGAAGAACCTGCTGCCCTACCCATAATATCCGATCCACCCATTGTCGATTCAGAGTCCCGACCCGTGGAACTGGCCGTGGAGACGGTGCTGGAAGAGCCCAAAAAGGTAACCCCGAGCCCAAAAGCCAAAACAGTGAACAAAACCACAGGCAACACAGAGGGAACCACACCCAAGACAGTTAAGTCCACAGTCAGTAAGATACCCAAGCCCACTACTGAACCCACTCCCGTAAACAAGAAGCTTCCGCTCCGGTCCAAGTCCTTCTCGGCGCCCATGGGCATCTCATCCGTAAAGCGCATCCAGCAGGAGTACCTTCAGAAGCAAACTACTAACGCGGCCAGTCGTGTGCCGCTCAAGAGCACTCCGACTACCAAAAAGTCCATAAGCGATGCCATCAGCCGGTTCAACTCCAACTCCTCGGATGGACCCAGCACCAGTGGTGCAGCAGCGGCGGCAGCGGCTCTCTTGAAGCCACGATCCCAGCCCCGAATCCCAAAGAAAAAGTACCACGAAACGTGCTTCTCCGACGACGACTACGAGACCTCGGCCACCGAGGAGGAGCAGGAGGATCAGAGCCAGGCTGAGCCCTTGAAATCAGAACTGCTAAAGCGTAAGCTGAGTATGCCCGTCTTCCGGGCATATCCTAGTGTCCAAGAGCCGGTTATTGAGGAACCAGCGGTGTGTACCAGTCAAAAGTAACGCAAACAATTCCATAATAAAACTGGATTGCTTGTCCGTACTCATTTCAGGTCTTGGCGCGAAAGTATGTGGAGCAGGAGCTGGTGAAATCTATTGCCGAAGCCCAGATTGCGGCCACCTTGGTGAACATGAAGTTCCAGGAGGACGTGGCGTTATGGGCAGCCAGGGAGTGCTCCGACCTGGACCAGGCCATTGCCATGCTCCAGCAAGAGTGTGAACTGTGCATGAACAGCTATCCGATGAATCAAATAGTTTCCATGCTGAAATGCACTCACAAGTGCTGTAAGCAATGCGCTAAAAGTTACTTCACAGTGCAGGTAAGGAATCCTCTGAAAATTCTCAAGGATTTGTATATCAAGTATTTGTCTATCCACAGATCACCGATCGCAGTATCAACGATTGCAGTTGCCCCTTCTGCAAACTGCCCGAGCTGAGCAACGAAGCCCAGCATGAGGACGAGCACCTGGAGTACTTCTCCAACCTTGACATCTTCCTAAAGAGCATCCTCGACGGCGACGTTCATGAGCTATTCCAGCGTAAGCTCCGCGATAGGACACTCCTGCAGGACCCCAACTTTAAGTGGTGTATCCAGTGCTCCTCCGGATTCTTTGCTCGGCCAAAGCAGAAGCGTCTCATCTGCCCTGACTGTGGCTCCGTAACCTGCGCCCAGTGCCGTAAGCCTTGGGAGCGCCAGCATGAGGGAAGCAGCTGCGAGGCCTACCTGGAGTGGAAGCGGGAGAACGACCCGGAGTTGCAAGCTCAAGGGGTTCAGGAGCATCTTGCGCAAAACGGCATTGACTGCCCCAAGTGCAAGTTCCGATATTCGCTGGCCAGGTGGGTTTACTTTTAATCCAAGCCACAGCCACACAGATAAAATGTTAAACGTATTTCTTGATTTCCTTTCAGAGGCGGCTGCATGCATTTCACCTGCACTCAGTGCAAATTCGAGTTCTGCTACGGCTGTGCCCGACCCTTCATGATGGGCGCCAAGTGCACTGTGTCCACTTACTGCGCCAAGCTGGGCCTGCACGCCCACCATCCCCGAAACTGTCTCTTCTACCTGCGCGACAAGATTCCCATGCAACTGCAGTTCTTGCTGAAGGAACAGAAGGTCAAGTTCGACACGGAACCCATACAGACCAAGGACGAGTCGAGCAGTTCCTCGAAAGCCCGCGCACAAGCTCGGTGTCCTATTCCCCTGCAAAAGGAGACTCCCCAGGGCCTGGTGGATACGGTGTGCAATACCGAGGTGCCTGACAAGCACGCCGGCATGTGTCGGTAAGTTCAGGAACGAGAAAATTCAGATAAAGTCAAATTAATCCTATATGATCCGATTAATTTTCAGCACCCACTACGTAGAGTATTTGGCAGCCAAGGTGGCAAAAGCTGGCATCGATCCACTGCCCATTTTCGATCTGACGGACTGTGTCCAGGAGCTGCGTAGGCGTGGCATCGCCCTGCCCGAGCGCGGCCCCTGGGACACCGACGAGATCTACAAAAACATGTGCTCGGAGGTGAGTTCTGGCTATCATCAATTAATCGGTTTATTGATTTCCTTTTATTTGTTTGGCACGAATCGGCATCGGATTTGGTTTTCCATTTTCGTTTATCGGCATTGCCATACGCGGAAAACGAGTTTCCTGCGGCCGGGGGCGATTTGTTTTGACCGGGTGATTCAGTCTTCGCCCCCGTGGATTGATGAAGGTGGAAAACCGAAAACCAAAATAGAGAAATCTCAATCATTTAACCGCCGACTAAATTTAGATGCCGTCTGACGTGTTTCACACGCGTCTTAATTGATATTGGTTTTATTATTATTTAATTGTAAACAATTCCCGCATTCGAATTTCAATTGTTTATAAACGTACCCATCCCTCAATCTCAATCTTACTTGCAGGTGATCAAGAAGCATATTCCCCTGAAATCGGCCTAAGAAGAAGCCCGGGAGAGAAGGAGTACAAGATATTCTGGAAGCGCTCGACTGTGGCAATTTTTCATTATTTCATCGACATGATTTATAGTAGTTCTTTTTATACAGACATTTTCATAGACCTCTACCCATACACCAAAGAAAATTTACATCTTAGACAGCTCGTTAGATATTAGTTATATGTACGCTTGCACCAGCTCACTTACACACCCATTTTGAGAAGCATCCCATCTTGTTTAGTTGCTAAGAGATTGAAAACATCGGCCCCAAGATCAGCACGTGTACCAAACTGCATCCAATAAACCTTGTGTGTGAAAATCGAATGCAATTTATATGTTTTTTTTAGACAAATATTTCCAGATGTTTCTGTCAGAATGGTAATTACATTAAGGGCACTGAACCTGAAAAGATTTGTAACAATAAATGCGATGAAAAATTAAATCATCGGACAATTTGGAAATATTCCAGATTGTATATTGATTTATTTAAAAAGTCATTCTTGGATTCTTTGCTGATTGCAAATGCTTAGTTGGGAAGGAGGAACTAATATATGTCCACGGGGCGTATGAGTATTCTTTGACTGTCGCACATCGAATGAAAACTGTTGCATACTTTTCAGCTGCTGATGATTGCCTGACACGCACGGACTAAACGATATCTTTAAGTATCTCGAAAGTCGTAATTCCACAACCAAATATACATACACGCTTCATCTTGACCATTGGCTATATTGCCAAAAAGGCAAATGCGACCCATAAATTATGTCCCGAAACAACAATAACAGCCAGGCCAATACAGTAAGTGGTGGAAAATCAAATCGGCGACGGCGTCGGGACAAAGTTATATATCTGGGGACAGCCAGAGGGGGACAGTGCCGTTGACGGAGGGATCGTAAAAACCTATTTTCGGGGCGATTGGAACGAATTTATGCGCGCGGCACAACATGTTTTGATATTCAGACAGTTTTACACCAATAGCAACTAATTAAATGGGATAAATTGTATATTTATTGATCCATAAACGATCACCTCGTCCTAGAGGTTGCTTTGAACTCAGTTAGCCAACTGCAGCATTCCCGTACTCCCATTTTTAGTTCACGGCTTGGATGCGCGTGGCATCCAACTATGCAAATCACATGGCCAGTGTTATTTATGATCATCCAACCAATTTAGTTATTTTCTTCTCATTCACGTGGACAGCCGTCAAAATTAGCCAGCTGAATTCTCTATGGAATACAATATAGTATATATCGTTTCCTAGTTCGAGAAATTTATTACCAATCGTTTTCTGATTCACAGTTTTATTCCTGTATCCATTAGATCCATTTAATTTTGCATCTATGCGAAAAATAAGCCAATTTCCATTATTTATCTCCAAAAAATTAAATTTAAATCTTCCGGCTTTAACCACATCCTGCTAACTTTTAGAATATGTTGAAAATAATTTCATCCTCAGGTGGTATAAATAAAACTTTCACATTCTTTGTCTAGCCAAAATTAAAAAAATGCCGGGTTCGTGGCCATAAAAATGGTTTAAGTGCTGGCATGCGCCTCGTAAAAAATTGTCTTCGGCTTGACTTTTTTTTATGAAACAAAGTCAAGGTGAAACGACATTGACCCCAAGTGCTTACATTAATTCAAGGTTAACAGGGAGCAGTAATCAATCACACCGGGTATCGATCGGATTGGCATTTGATTCACGGCGGCCGGCGGAATTATTTAATTTTACTTTATGGCCTTGCAGTGAATACAATGAGTCCGCCCACCACCACCTCACCTTTGTTGAATTAACCTTAGCGCTTGTTTATTAGAGACAGCATTACGGCAGAGGCGTCACATCCTGTCCACTGCAAACAACTACGAAATGGCGGAGTGATGTGTGATGTGTACATTGCTTCCATTTACCCGTGACATTCAACATCGACGCCATAAACAAGAGAAAATCATCATCTTCCCGACCTTCGAGAACAGCAAAATATAATTAGCCAAACCCCCAACTCGGTGTGCGAGCAAAGCCATCAGCAGAGTCTAAACAATAATAAATATTAATTTAAATAATAAATATTTACGATTATGTTCAAAGCTTATCCATGTTGTTGAGGCGATTATTGTGCAAATCTTTTATGTAGAATTCAATCGGTTTGTTTACCTAATCTTCTGTTTTATGGACGTGTGTGGGAGCGGAACTGGACACTACGATAGTCTTCAATGGAACAAAAACACTTCCGACTGAACTCAGTTTACGATTCTGTATTTCTGCGTTTTTTTTTAGGTATACATAGGATATATAAACTCGCAAATACATATGTTTATGCATGTATATATTGTAAAAGTCGTATGCAATTAAATAGTATGTACAAAATTGTAGATTAACGCCTACGAGATAATGGGCTTCTACACATCGATTGGATGAAACTAAAGATTAATAAATACATAGACTATCAATTACAAATATACAACAGAACTTAAACGTCTAATAATTGGTCGTGTATGCGCCCTTGGCGGTACTTAGTGTTCTTTTATTACTATGGTCTATATAATTGCATTAGTTGGTATCTCGTACACATAAAATAAGTAACTCGAAATCACACATTATAGTAGGTAACCATAAAACTACATACATACAGAGTACATGTATAGAAAAATCATCGTAGCGGAAGACTAGAAAGGTAACACTAGTGGAAAGTTATCCGTTTGACGTGTTCTTTTTTTGGTTTTGTTTTTTTTTCTCTAGGGGGGTTCATTAACGTACAAATTCTTACTACTTATCGTAACAAATTCCATCTATTTTAAATAAATAATTCAGTTCTGGGCTTTGCACTCGCAGAACAACAGAAAGAAAACCTTTTGAGAAGTTGCTTCTCTGCTCTACAAAATGATCTCATAGATCCACAAATTCAAACAGTTCCTGTCTAGGATATTGATGCACATCCTCATCTTGCTCAGATATTTGGCAAAAAAAGAGAGATACCATTCTTAAATATAACCCCATCAGTAAATGACGGGGTCCTCCTTACACTTAAAAGATTTCTTTGTGGGTCTAATGGACAGCCATGTCCAGGGCGTGTAGGCTCTCCACATCCGGATCAAAGTTGGCGTCGCAGGTGGAGAGCCAGTCCCAGACCCGTCGCCGTACCATGGCCTGGTCAATGGGAATGTCCAGGCCGTAGGTTGACATCATTCGCTTGAAGCGGAGCTTGTTCTCGTCCCCGGAGAGCCTTCCCTCCCGCTGGTTGAGATAGATGCATGAGTCCTGGTCGTGGTTGGTGGGCGAGATGAGGGTGGCCGACTTGGACGTGGATATGCGGCACTCCACCCACCGGTCCTTCATGTACTTGGCCACCTCGGTGATCTTGCAACGATCCTCCGGGTCGTGGCTGAGATACTTTCGGAAGCAGCGCATCAGGCGCGGCGAGAACCTCCGGAAGTTGTCCGGCACCTTGGTCGTCTTGCGCTGTTCGTACTTCATGAAGTTGGCATAGGATTGATCCTTGACCCAGTCAGCCGACTGCCAGGGTGGGTTGCCGGTAAGGATGTTGTACAGGAGGATGCCAAACTGCCAGGAATCACTGACGGGCAGACACTGGAAGCGCTCGTTCTTGATCAGCTCAAGCTGCTCTGGCGGCACACAGCTCGTCCACGTGTGCTTCACTTTGTGCACCAGAAGGCCCTTCTTGGTGGTGGCTCCGAAATCGCACAGCTTAACTCGCGTGAAGTCTGGCGTGAAGACCAGAATGTTCTCGATCTTCAGATCCCGGTGGACCAGATTCTTTGAGTGCATAAAGCCCAGGGCCGAGCTGAGCTGTTCCGAGATCAGCTTGCAAGCATTCTCATGCAGTCCGTTCGGCCCTATGTTGGAGGCCAAGTCGCCGTAGGGGGCGTGCTCCATGGCGAACACGTAGTAGTCCATCGTCTGGAAGGCCACTGCGTAGGCGCTGAGGATGTGGTGGTGGTGCGACAGCTCGTAGTTGTAGTGGAACTCCTTCTGGAACTCTTTGATCGTGGTCAGCTCGGCGTGCACGGCCTTCAGCACCACCAGGGTGTTGGTGGGTCTGTGCCGGCACAGCAGGATCTTGGCGAAGCATCCCTCCGCCAGGGTCTTCTCAATGTTGTACTGATCAGCGAATGTCATCAACGGCAGATCGACGTCCGGAATCAAGTGGATCTGGCCGCCGTCGTTCTTGTCCGGTTTCTTGTAGATGCTGCTACGCCGGCTGACGGATGCGGCGCCCGGTACCTCCAGACGTCCGGTGCTGGTACTGGTAGGTGTCAGCGGTGTGCTGCATCGCTTCTGGTTGTTGTGGTTGGTGCAGGTGCTGCTGTTGTTGTTGCTGTTGCGGCTGTTGGTGCTGCCACCGTCGCCGAAGGATCGGCGCAGCCTGAAGGAGAATGAGCGTCCCTTTTCTGAAAGAATGAAGAGAGAAATAGGTTAGTCGAAAAATCCTAGATTATTTTAGAAATATATATAACTTACAAGATTAGGATAAGAAACTAGGATTTTGTAAGAACTAACACTAACTTGAAAGAGTTTTTTGAACTTATGATCTTAAGAAGAAATCTTCTATCCATAGATATAACTACAACCTCTTATAGATATGATTGCACGACAATCAAGAGATAAAAGGGCTTAATTTCATATAAACAACCACTAAACACATAATAACAATCCACAAAAAAATCATTTGAATACCCCCTGGCAACCAAAATTTCACCTTTTGCGAATTTTTAAAACTACAAACACACCGTGTATCGTGTCACTCGAACATTTTTAATTGGGACTCTTTTTTTATGAATTTTTTATTTATGATTTATTATTAACGTTTGATGTGGTGCTTCTGGGGCTTTTATGTGTCCATTTGTTTTTCCACAAGGCGAATTATTAATTTATCAGCCGGCGGAGAACATTGAAAAGCGTTTTACAGCCCTCCAAGTGGGGGTGCGAAGATTCGCCCACGCCCGCGCTCAGGACGGAGAAACAGACGGCGATGTCGTCGCCAAATTGTCTGTGACAAAGTTAGTGCAGATTATTTGCGTAGATCGGAGGGGCGGGTTCCATGGGTTATATATGGACTCCTCCGCCAAAGACGTCAGCAGTTAGTCAGCACTGACTGACTAAAGACTGCCCTGGCCTCTTGGAATCAGTATCCGCAATCTGCGTAGTGCCAGCCCCAACACCACTACCTACGTAGGATATCATTTATAGTCGGGGAAATCGCGAAAACTCATTTGATTTGCAGTCGTATGGGACATGGCCAGATATAGATAGAATGCGTTAACTGGAAAATCGCACCAACGCAAAGCAAATCAAATTAAAGCAAAAACATTTATAGGGCGTGATGTGATTTCCCGATTCACTGGCCATTTTCGCGAGAATTGTTTTTGTTTTTGACACTAAATTCAGCAGCCATAACGAACGATCAAAATCGCTGTTCATGCTCGTATTTCATTAAATGTCTCTGAGCGGGTGGAGGGCGGCGAATTAATAACTACATATCATGAAAAATATTTTGTAGCTTAGACAAATTACTATCAGAGGAGGGGCGGAAAATAATTTACACTCAAGCATGCGGAAAATGCATTTTTGGGGAAATTGTAAAATTCTAAGAGGCGAGTACTTTTCAATGTAAATGCAGATATACAGCGCTTTTATGTAAGAATATTTATTTGATTTTGAATTAATATCTAAAGAATTTTATATATTTTCTCCTATAAACTGTCTGTTGAGATTTTTTGAATATTTATAACAGCTTCTTTTATTATTCCATTACCAAGAGACACTTTTCCAACCACCTGCGTCAGCAATAAAGACTAAGTGGGGGCAGAAAATATTCTTGGAGACCCTTGACCTCACAGCTACTCAAGGAATACAAGCTCAGAGAGTAAATATCCGGCAGTAAATCTAATATTCAAGTTGGTCCTGAGTAGTTTTTTTTTTTTTGCCGACAAATTTCTATTTCCGTTCCAGAAGTAAATTGGCTCACGGCCAGAGGTGGCCAGTGTCGAACCGGAGTGAGATCCCCAATAAACGAGAGCTTTGCTCGACAGGCCGCAACAAGAAAAGGGAAACTAATTATAAACCATTAAAAACCATCAAACAGACGTACCAATCCCGTGCGACCTGCGTGTGGCCATAAATCAAAACTTTCACTTTCGTGCCCCAGTCCCTACCCCTGCCACAGCCGCGCCCCTACTGCCACTCATCCAATTCAAATGATATTCGTTATGGCCATTTCATCTTGATAATCTCATTTGCCGCGAAAACACTTTGCATGCCAAAAATAGCAGAACAAACAAATGAGCCAAAAAGGGTCAGCAGGCATTCTGAGAGATGCATTTCGACGGTCTATATTTAAAATTGAAGCCAGTTTTTCCGTGGAAATTATCTGCCAGAGGCAGCAACAACGGCCACAGCTGATGGGAGTCGAGTAAACAGTGAGTCAAAATAAACAAACACCGCCGTGGACAGTCCACCGGCCCAGGGCGAATGCGAAAATTGCGAAATGCAATTGCAACAAAGGCGCCAGGAGGCAGATCGCCCTGTCAAAGGGAAACAAATTCTTTCGACGATAGCTGAAAAATATATGTTGGATAGATGACAAAGCTGAACATGGGGATACCCTAGAAAATATAATACCTAATTAAAGTTTTCAGATTTCTTTGTTAGCCAAGAAGCTATAAAATTTATAATGAAGCCTTTCGGGCAGGAAGGAAATACTTTTAACAATTTTAAGTGGCTTATTTTTTATTACATTGAAATTAACCTTCATTATTTCCTACATATAGATGGTACTTCAACTTAAACTCATTAAAACCCATATTTTTTAAGCTTTAAAGGAAGAAAGAATCAATACGCTCGCCTTGACTAAAGAGCAGATGCGCCAGGCAGCCTCCAACACTTGTATGAGTGACTGACAAAATGAACGTTTCGGCTACTCCCCTTTCTGTGCCCCCAGCCCCCCAGCCGCAACCCCCTGATGCCTTACCCCCCGCCCCATCACACGGTCTTTCACCGCCCGCGTTTGTCGCCCGGGCTCCAACAGCGATTCGTGTCCCGATTCCCGCCTGCTTGGCAACCCGCCCGACACTGTGCGCGACTTTGGGGGCATTGCTGACGTCAATCGGCAAGTCGTTGTCGGTCGGCGTGCCACATACAAGCACAGAGAGAGTCCCCCCAACCCTGGGCCTGCCCCTCCCACACACACTCGCACACCCTCCACGATATTGCCGCTATAGGCCAGCGATTCTGCAGCAGCCCCGTCGGCGTCGGTGGCGGCGGCATCGGGGTCTGCGTCTCCACCGAGTAATGTGTAATGTAAGTTTCTCAATATTACAAAATAAAATGCAAACACTTTTAGATCAGCGGCCATCCAGCCCGTCTGAGTGGCTCAGGCCATGATGAATTGTCCGGGTCCGGTTGCCCAGCCATTCGCCGGAGACCATCGACCGGTTGTCTGTCCGCTGCTTGGCCCCCTCCATGGACGTTTTAAACAATTGATTCGAATTGATTGCCCAATCAGGGGAAACTTGTGCACTTAATGCCCCAATCTTTGATGTCCATTTTCAGGACCTATACCAACTGGAAAACGAGCAATGACGTACGAGTTGAAGGGACCTACGACAATTCATTGCTCTCGAAATACAAATTCGATTTCTGGGTACTGGGAGTAGTACGATTCCATAAGTGCTTCCACGATTTCCTTGGAAATGTTTACAAAAATACTTGAATTGGGGTCAGAAAAGTATTGTTACAATTACCAAATTCAGTTTTCTGTGTTTGGATCATTAAAAGGGCGAACCTACGTTATGGTATATGGCTATGTTTTTCAACACCTGATAAACCACACTTGTGAAAACAGTTTGTAGTTTTCAAATTAAAGATTTTGTAAGTGTTTATAAATTGATGAATTTGGATTTCCTCTCGACGTTATCCCGGATGCATTAATAACTAAATTATATGAACACTTTATTATTAATACGTCCTATTATTTGTAGTAAATAATTACTTAATTTTCCAAGAAAAGTTTGCCAATTTTCTAGGTCATATTACTCACTGACTGTTTGACGAAGGAAAATATAACATATTATACAACAATTCAATAAAAATTAACGACTTGAAAGAAAATTTCCGCTGCGCCCACAAACAAAAGTTAAGAACAAAAAGAACAAAAATAAACAAAAAGAAATAAAATTATATACACGTATAGGAATACGTATATATTAAGTGTACACAAGAAAAATAAATTTAATGAACAAAAATATTAAGACTTTTTTTTTTAGATTCTCCGTCTACGTGAAAGAATCATTTCTGATAGAAGCGTTTATTTTTTGTTGTATTTATAAACGCGTTTAGATTTGTTTGAGAAGCTTTCCCTATCTTTCGGCCACGGAGGATATTTATAGAAAAAGAGGCGTGGGTCTGGTCCGTTCACTTCCACTCCCTCCCGGTCTACTGAATACTGATATACGGCAGCACTCTTGAAGACAACCCACCGGCCGGGGCCAGCGGCTCTTGGAATATTGCGCACATGACTAGCACGAGCCGGCAGGTGGCCAAAATGAAAGGATTTAAAAGTACCTCTAAGGATCAAGGATGAAGGATGACGAAGGCGAAAAGCCCAAGGAGCGACCTTCGTCCTGAGGACCACTTGACGACCTCTTCGGGCCAGGCTAATGAGGGGTAGAAGAGGCCGAGAGGTGTTTAGGCCACTACCCAAGTGGGTGCATTTGAAAAGGTATACAGTGAGTGGCAACGGTCGACGCCCACGCCACGATTTCCATAATTTATTTTAATAGTTCCGCTTTTACAGCACATACTATTCAATTGGCTCGCCTATATTTTAAATTATATCTGTAAGAATATATATTTTTTGTAAATACATTTTATAAATAGACCCGTGAACAGACAAGAAATTTGTAATTACGCACGACAGAAAAAAAAATCGGAGAATGCCGTGTAAAAAATTCATGTAGCTGACAAGTCTGAAGGTAAGGTCAAGGCAAGTGTCGACGTAAGATCATTTATCAAGTGTCGCCTCGCCGATAAAAAATGTTGGAAAAATGTTGAGATATGAATAATGCCCGATTGGACGAACCCATAAATAATATCCGAATAGTTTGTCCCATTCGAAGGTAAGGCAATATTCCTTGCCAGAATCCATAAATTAAGTATGCCATTCGACGGGGTCATATCGGGTCTTAAGTAGGGCTGGGAAAAAAATCGATTCTCGGCATCGATTATATTTTATGTTTAAAAACAAAACATCGATTACATCGATTAAATCGAAAAAAAAATATGTTTTTGATATGTATTGAGACTAATTAATCTTATTTATTTAGAAAACAAAACAAAAATTCTTTTCTATGAAATCAAAAATACAAGTTTCAACAAGTTTGTGTGTGTCTTTTTTATTTATTTATTTATTTTTATTTTTTTGTTTCCCCTCTGACAGATTCTCTAATACGAAAAGGTGAAAAACGGTCCCACAAAGTAACCCTTCCAATTTCTCTCTAAAACTTTGAATAGTTTTCCGGCTGACTTACATTTTGTATCATAGACCTTACATTCAATTATTGGAAATTTTCCCTCATTTAAAAAGTATATTTTCATCACAGCAAACGGAGAATAGACGTAGAAGCGCCGGAAACATGTTGCCCATCGAAGTAATCGATCTAACTTCGGACGTTGAGGAAGAAGATTTGACAAACGAAAGCCCGCCGGTGGATTTCAGTGAATACATATGCCCCATCTGCCTTTCAAATCCTATGGAACCGGTGACCACCTTCTGTGGGCACGTTTTCTGCAAACTGTGTATCATGGATACTCTGGACTTTGGATATCGTGCCTGCCCCATCTGTAAGAGCCGCTTTAATGAAGATGAAATTGTGCGGCTACAAATTTAAGACAAGTCTTTTTAGAACTGATTATGTTGTTCATTTTAAATTGCATAAATAATATTGTTTAACCGTTCAGTTGTTTAGTCTTTTTGTTTGTAGTGCCATAGGCGCTCTTTATGAGTTCTTACAAGTTTTAAGTACACATTTTTATTGTTTCATTTTATACAAGTTTCAACAAAACAAAAATGAAAAATACATATCATAACGTAAAAAAAATTAAATTTCTATAATCTATAGGTTCTTACTATCAAAAATAAGCTTGTTTGCCGATTTAGGTTTGACGCCAATTCATTAATCCACCAACTTACAAAAATACTAAGAAAATAAACATTTAAATATATTTTTTTAAAAAACCCTTATTCGAACGTGATTTATTCTTCTTTTTTAAAGTGGTGAGATTTTTTTTTGGATTCGATTCATCGATATTTTCAAACCGAATCGACTCTAAAGAAAAGAATCGATGTTGACATCGATTTTATCCCAGCTCTAGTGTAAAGTTCTAAATAGGAAGCTTGGAAAAAATACATATATTTGAAAAGATTTTTGTGGAGGCGGCAACGGGTTAACAATTGCTGTTTAATTTCGCTCATGCGGGCTTTTGTCTGGAGGATGCGTTCGCGGAACACTCAAAGCGCTCGTAAATAATTGTAAGTAATGTTAATAATAATATTTGCACTAAAATCTAGGGGAAGGAAGAGCACCCGCATGGTGATGGCGAGACATGTTGAAAATTTAAAGATCCGTTGAGTGAAATAGTCAGTGGTCTTTTGCCATGCCGCTGGGAAACGGAAATTAATCATTTGGTTAAACGATATTGGATTTAGGATATCTGGCTTTTAAATCTTTCAATTTGTACTTTTGTTTTTCCCCACCAATTATCACATTGAAACACTCGGTAAACAAACAAAATGTCATTCCACTTCCATTTTTCCCATCGCAGAAATTAAAAAAGAAAGTGAAAAAAATATTTTCCGCCGACGAGACAAAAACAAAAGCATCCCAGGAGAAAGCACAACGCCAATATCATCATCACGTGTACCTAGTATAAACAAAGAGACTGCGTCTAGACCACTTTTAACGAATAACTGGTAAGAACTGACTTCCCCTCTTGAAACCACTTGATTACTTAACCTATAATCTTCAATTTTCATGTTATGAAAATATCTCTTCTGTTGAATATTTTAAAATAAACCATGATGGAATCGATTCCTTTAAAAAGATATATTAATTAACCAAAATGTTCAATCAAAATGTTGGGCTACGTTCACAAATATACACAATCTGCGTAAAATATTTTCCATTTATATAATAAACATTTATTGGCCCCACCGTATAGACGATTCATGTGATGTTTGAGCGGCTAAGGCGTAGCAAAAATTAATAATTTATTAAATACTACAGACGTATTTCCATACGTATATCCACAAAAATGAATATAAAATGCTTTCCTTAGCATCGGGCATGCAGGAGCTCAGAGAACACCCATCCCACGCATTTCATTTTGCTTTCTCTTTATACTTTTGTATAGGAACGTGTGTGTGTCTTTTTTATTATTTATTTATTTATTTTTATTTTTTTGTTTCCCCACAGACAGATTCTCTAATACGAAAAGGTGAAAAAAGGTCCTACAAAGTAACCCTTGCAATTTCTGTCTAAAACTTTGTATCATATACCTTACATTCATTGGAAATGTTTTCTCATTTAAAAAGTATATTTTCATGGAGATCACAGCAAACGGAGAATAGACGTACAAGCGCCGGAAACATGTTGCCCAACGAAGTAATCGATCTAACTTCGGACGTTGAGGAAGTAGATTTGACAAACGAAAGCCCGCCGGTTATGGCCCGTGGGCACCGCGTGGATTTCAGTGAATACATATGCCCCATCTGCATTATGAATCCTATGGAACCGGTGACCACCTTCTGTGGGCACGTTTTCTGCAAACTGTGTATCTTGGAATCTCTGGCCTCTGGATATCGTGCCTGCCCCATCTGCAAGGGCAGCCTTAATGAAGATCAAATTGTGCGGCTACATATCTTTTAGAACTGATTATGTTGTTCATTTTAAATTGCATAAATAATATTGTTTAACCGTTCAGTTTGTTTTGTCTTTTTGGTTGTAGTGCCATAGGCGCTCTTTATGAGTTCTTACAAGTTTTAAGTACACATTTTTATTGCGTGTCAATGGCAAAGAGCGCGTCACAAACGCACGGAGCACAGAACACAGCCAACGGAAACCTGTGCAGTCTGCCTCACATGAATGTCTACATCTTTGGCTGGGAATACTTATATATTTTATCTTCTGGTTAGCCATAATATTTCTCGCCCCGACAGACGACGGCACGACCTTGTCCCACGGCTCAACGCGTAGAAAGCGAAAAAATTGGAGGCATAAAAACGGACAGCAGGAGATCAAATCGGAATGAAATAAACCAACCCGAACTGGGGCGGGCGGCTTCTCTTTAATTTGCATTATTAAAAAAATAAAGAAATTAAATTTAAATTAGAGCAGACATCTTGGAATCATAGAAATGCCCAATTGAAGGCTCTGAAATCTATTAGGTCTAATATCATAGGCCATAATAGAAACCTGCCTTGCAAAATATATATTTCTCACTAAATATCTCTTTATTTCTTGCTATTGAACTAGAAACTCATATTCTTACTGTTGTCTATTATTTATGAAAACTAAAAATGTTCATGACAGCGTATTATTCCTCCCGTTTCTTTCTATTTTTGGATATAGTACTTATATAGTTTATAAATGTACTTTGCTCACAGAAACCAAATTAGCATAAAGTTCATAGTGATTTATGTAGTTCTGAATTGCTTAAATTAGCTATTAAGATATTTAATATTAAAAGCTAAGGAATTATTCAAAAAAGTCTTTTATTTGTGCTAATAGCCACACATTTTGAATGGCCATCAAGCCCTACCCTATATGCAATTAGTTGCCTCAAGAGGTTCATTGCACCTTCCTATAAGTCATGCCAACACTATCAAAATACGAACATAATTCTTGAGAAATAATTACATAAAATAGCCCAGCGAAAGCGCTACAATTGAAAAGATCCCGCAAAACCGCAAGAAACCAAAGAGAGAAATGATCTGAAATGGGAAAGGGAAAGGCGAGGAGCCCATTAGCCGATCGGTGTTGAGAAAACACATCTTGAGCACACGCAAGGAACACTTGTCTGGTCCAAAATAGCCTAAACACATTACACCAGAAAGAAGACATCGCGTATACGCAGCGTGTGCCGCTGGGGGCAATTCATAAACAAAGTTAAGCCACAATGTGCAAAGTGTGCGTTGCCAATGGATATTTTTGTTTCAATTTTTATATCGTCTTGAAGCCGTTTTTAATGTCTCATTTGGGTAAAAGAAAATTTTATGTCTGACAATAGTGCCGAGCCAACTGTGGATTTATGCAAAAGTCATAAAAAAGTTGTTTAAATAAAATAAAGTTTCAGTTTTTGTTTATTTTGTTCGTATTATTCTCGGCTCAAATTGCAGTTGAATGTATCGCTTGAAATGTTTCCGTGCTTCTCACTCAACAATTAAATTTAAAAACCGTATATAAAATATTTATGGAATATTTTCAACATATTTTTTCAATTAAGGCGCCTCCTCGTGCGTACAGGGTGTGAATACACTCGTTTTATTGTGTCTATTTGGGTAGTATTGGTAATCTTTATTTGCACCAGTGATTTCTGGGCGAGTTCAAATTACCCCAATGAATATATTTCACTTCTTTGGAACGTGCATAAAAGTGGACTGTCTGTTTCTGAAATTTTCGTTTCGCACTTTGGAAATACGCGGCTGCCCCAAAACTACAAAAATTAACAATAACGCATTTGAATAAGAACTCATACATATATAAACTATGAGACACTCGCGTAATTCAAATTACAACCAAATTTGCAATCATCAGTGGCGATGCTAAATTCGCCTAATTTAATTTCCGTTTTCGATGCATCCCATAACCGAAAAATGCTCAAAAATGGAATCAATCAAAATCATATATTTCTTGCTTGAATCGCTCTAGCTCTTGGAATATTAATATAATATTTTTGTATATTTTCATTTGACTATCACATGCTTTGCAGCGATCGAGAAGATGATTTCTTTTTTACGTCCAACATGACGTATTCGTGATTTGTATTCGGTAGACAAATCTATTTTAAATCGATTTCTGTGAAAAATGATGGTTGCGTAAGTACCAATTGATTTTGATCTGAGTTTAATTAGAAGAGATTCTTAATCAATTCTGCGATCATTTTTCCTGTGTTGGCCAATAAATTATTTTAGCCTCGGAGATCTAATTGGGCCCTGACGAAAGAGATGCGAATTAAAAGTGATGGGGTGAATCGGCTGGCCATTAAGACCCCCTGGGTCTAAGCACATCAACTTAGCCTTGACTGCAGCACTTCGGTCGGTTCGGTTCATAACACTAATAACACACACGAAACACACACAACTGGAACACACAAAATGGATCAAAAAGGGGAATTTAAACAGGATCGCAGAGCAGACAGCAAGAATGAAGAGCCGCACTTGACGCCCCAACTGAAGGAGCACTATGAGAAGGAGGCAGAAATTCTGAGACTGCTCTTGAATCTGGAGACCCGCTTTCGGGAACACTATAAATTGTTTTTATGCGAAATGAAGGCCCAGCGGATACTAATCGAACGGATATGGCTGCTGACCCAGCGGTATCTGATCCTCATCAGCTCGGAACAGGGCTGTCGATATCCGGAGGTCTACACCTTGTCGACCGAGGAGGCCATCGTAAATGAGTACGAGGAGAAGCTGGAAGTTATCCGCGCCTCCAAGTAAGTTTAATTGAATTCTGATCTCTAGACCCCTAATTTCCAAAACCCTCTTTCCTAGCAATAAAATAAAGATTGCCTTGATGGAGATATTGGAAGAGTGCAAGGAGTTCTACGCCGTCTACGACACTCTTGACAAGACCCAGGCAACGCCTTTTATCTTGGGTGACAATCACCACCGAAACATTCAGCACCACAAGATAATGGTCGTTGACATCTTCAACTACTTCCACGCCATGGTGCTAAAGTTGAAGTGCTACATGCATCAGCTGGATCCTGTCAACCTGGAGAGCGTCGAGGACTACCGGGACGTACTTCAATCCCAGGCCATGTGCGAGGAGTTCGACGAGTATCTGAATACGCGCTTTGTGTACTGCAAGTGCCTGCTGCCGAAGCAAACCTGCCCCATTTTGAAACTGAAGTGTTCACACCAAAACCTTAAAAATTTAAAGTATGTTAGTCGAATCTAGTCAGACTCTAGCAAGTATTGGTCTACAAAAATAAACAGAAGCCCCTCTGCGGTAACACCATTTTTACTAATTGCCTAGAGTTAACCAAGCTAATATTATTTTGGGGCGAAGCCTTAGAAGATAATTGACTTTATTGAATCGGTTCGACCCAAATTTCACCCTATTTCTAAGCCACCATCTTGTAACAGGTCAGCAAGTCGGGATCTGCGTCAGGATGCAGCTCATTCAGATGTTGTTCAAACTCTTCCAAGGTGAAATTGTTTATCTTGCAGTAGGGACAACGGATTAGTAGTGGGAACTTGCCCCGCGTGCGCCCGTTAGCGGTGTAAAACAAGGCCAGATTTGCCGGTGAAGGGATGCCGTGCATCGCATGATCGAACTTGTGGTCCTCGGTGGTCACGTCCAGAGCATAGCAACCGTTGCATAGATTGAAATTCTTCAGGCAGGTTAGGCAATGGAACCGGTGACCCGGAAAATTCCTACGCTGACAGCCGTTGCAGGTGAAGCCGATGTGGCACTGTTCCTCGCTACTGTGACACATGCATGGATTAGGATAGGGAATCTTATGCAATGAGGAATTTTAGTCAATTACTACTTATCGTTTTCCATTGTTCGGCACTTTCGTTTTCAGTCTTCTCTGTTGTAAGCTTAATTGAAATGTCTGAATCGATTTTGATAAAGGATTTTCCAATGAAGCAGTGATGATAATAAAAACATTAAATGTAATTCAAACCAGGGACCATAAATAATGATTACTAATAATGTTTAAATTTCCAACATAGCCTTGAATCTTAGGAAAAACATATTTCTTTCAATATTTTTCGCAAATAGCAGCAATAAATATTGTATAAACAAGACACAAATCATTTCTGAAGTAAATATTCATAATTCTGGTTGGAGGAAGTATCTAAACAATTTTATTTTTGTTTAGTAATAAACCTTATTTAAAATAATTGTGGAATGGAATATAATATACATATTCTTATTATATTGCAAGCCTTTTGATGTTTAGATATTTGGCAACATAAGTTTCCAGTCTAAAATAAATTGCCAATTTGACCTTTACAAAATTGTTACACTTTCTTGCTGAATATTTGGTTGCTTGCACAAATATAGAGACAGTGTTGTTTCAGTTAACTGTGGTTTTATTCACCTCTGAACTTTTTGGCAAACGCCAGCAAGAAATTCCCCACAAGGATTCAAAGTCGGGCATGTCAAGCGTGTTTAATACGACCGGTTACGACCACATCAATGGAATGGCATTCAAAAAGGCAAACCCTCAGATGATGATCCGCCGCCGGAGGTGGCACTTGTGTATGCAACCATCGTGTCGGTCGGGGCCACACAATGAACTCATTGAGGCAGAAGTGCCCGGGTCTGTACCCGGCTAGATGGCAATCAGAGCGCATTTGTGGCATTTGTGACCGTGGCAAAGACAAGCTGGGCGCTCCCAAAAGGACAAACCACTCTGGCTAGGCCCAAGGATATAAAGCTGGACAAACAACCTGACGGATGGTAGTAGACCCATCAACACCGCCACGCTATTATTATGTATAGAGAAAATTAGAATCTCGTGCGTCATTCGATTATGAGTGTAGGGTCTATCCCCAGCCGCTGGCCCCTCCGCGATTTATTTATTTTATACATTTTGGATAAACAAAATTCATAGAATTTAGCGGGCCGAGCCGAGGAGACCATGTTTATGATAATGACGTCGTTGTCATTTGTCGCTTGGTCTTATTTCTGTTCTTTTCCACTTTTTTTTTGGGCTGGTGTTGAAAGCAGTACAAGCAGTATTCCATGGGTTGATTGCTCTCTTCGTGTGGGTGTGTTCGTGCTTCTCGACTATTTTTAGCCAGGATAATTGAAAAGCAAGCAACACAGCCCAGCAGGATGGGGAATGGAAAGGGAAATGGGCAGGGCGTTGACTGGGGAATCAGGCCCGCATCCTGTCTATTTGAAAAGAATCTCGGCACGTTGGCCGAGGGATCCAAGGGATTATTTACATAAATATAGAGTCGAATAGAGGGTCGAATGTGGAGTCGGCCTAAGCCAACAAAAGTTGATCGGATTGAATGACATGTAATCAAAGAATGGATATTGTGCAATTGTTTGAGTAACATTTGCAAATTACAACCTAAGAGAGCTCAGTAATTATAGTTTAGAGGATATTATTATATGTAGCTTTAGGTCTTTCATTATTTATTTCACATTTACTTACCGATAGTGCCCATTTTTTACAGTTTTATTTGCTTCGACGAGTAATCCAAAATAAGATCCGTAATCTCCAAAACTTTGTAGTCGGATGAAAATCCTCACTCCCAGATCAATTCTTCTTTTCAAAAACGAAACTTCAACAAAGCTGCGATCACACTTAGAAAGTCACATTGCAAATATGAATATTTGCTAATAATTGACTAGTTTTGCGGTAAACAATATATTTATGTGGCTTTGTTATTGTTTTGCAATTTCCAGCGTGCGGTCGAAATTTCAAGGTTGCTTCACAATTAGAAATAAGTTGGCAGAACAAGATGAATGGGGAATACTCGAGGTGTTTTGAATATTCTTCTGTTTTTTTTTTTATGTTTTCGCGAACGGATACTAAGTAGAGGCGTAGAGTGGTAGGCAGCCAAAGAATAATAGCAATACAATATAACACACCAAACACAAGCAGCGAAAGACGCGACAGAAATCAACGAATCAACAAAATCACGGCACTTCACATCCAAACGTCAGGAATATTCCGTTATGAATGATTTCGCGCTTCCCAGACACAACGGTTTTATATTTGCATGGAAATCCGAAGGCGGTCGCCATTCGCCATCGCCATTCGCCATCGTCGTCGCCTTCGACTTCGGCTCGATTCGCTTTCTCTCACTTTCGCTCTTCTTCTCTCGGTTTTCCATATTGGAGAAAAGCTTCTACAAGTGGGAGGGAAAAGCTTTCGTCGATGCCCCTGCCACTGCAAAGATTTGTTGTAATTTTACTTCTTGGAAGCCACTTAGAGTTCAATGCATCCTGGGGAAAGTTCTTTAACTTTACCAGGAGCGGAATCAAATAAGCTAGGGGGATTAACTAATGATAATTAGTTAATACTAAATCTAGTTGTAATTAATTAATGATAATAATCGTTTTTTTTTCTTTAAGAATTTCAAAACAGTTTAATATTTTTCACTCAACTACCATGTGGCCGGATAACAAAAAGTATTGCCTATTTAATGGCGTTAAGGAAGTGCAATCATATATGTATAATAATTAATATAGGTTGATTATATTAGTAAGTAAATATTGTTTGCTAAAAAGATTGTGTGTAAAGATTTTAAATAGAAGTCAAAGTAGTTTTTTATTTCTAAGCGTTTGTAAATATGAATGATAAGTCTTCCACAAGAAATATTACGTATACGCCCTGTATTCCATTTCAAGGTTTAATATTTTCGCAAAAACGAAACAAAATGTCCCATCAACTTAATCTGTTTGGTTTAAGCATTCATTTAAGCCTGAATTATATATATTTATAGCCTCCTTCTCGACATGCCAAAAAAAGAAAAAAAAGTAGACCCACAATTCAAGCCTATCACTTTCATCTCATATCAAACTTCCTGACCCCGATCATGTAAATTCCTTGGGTGGCACCGCCTCTGAAGCAAATAAACTTAATCTGGCGCATTACCTCAAATTACCAGGCCATAAACCCATTCGAAAACCACCGCACCGCACATCCTCGCCATTCAAACGAAATTAATTACCGCCCCAGTTGCAGGAACAACTGTCTGTGGGAGCTGTGGGAGGCTAAATGCCAGGCAATTTTTAATAAAATGTAAATAAAAGAGACAAAGACAGTCGGAGGCGGTCTCAACATTGTCGGCACGCAAGGACGCCGAAGGAACCGGAGCCCGGATCTCGGTGAAGGTGTTGCCGTATGCCATGTGCCGTGTCCTGGGCGTCCCACAAAAACAACTTTTCCGCAACTCCGGCCAACCCGTGCTATAAACCGCTACGAATCAAGTTTTGCGGCTGAATTGTCCTTGAACCAGTTACCCCGCAAACGAGGAGACAAGACCGGGCGGTAGATCCTGGCGAATCTCAGCCCCTAGCCACATGGCACATGGCACTGACGTAAGGCCTACCCTCATAGGTATGGTCGCATAACAAAGCAATCGCTCAGCCCCCGCTCTGATTGTGGTGGCAGTTAACTTGATTATTTTCCAAATAATTGAAAAGTTTCCTTTTCCTCGCCATTGCGAAAATTGCACAAATTGCAGAGACAAGACAGCCGTGGCAGGCAGGAGTACATCTATCAACCGGATTACCGCACCCCAGCGCCCACCCACTACCTCTTCGGGTCTCTGGCTCAAAGGTAAGCTCTTCCGCCCCGTGACGACAACGTCAGCAATGACACCAACACCGTCAGCAATAGCAACACCAAAGCGTGGAACAACGTCAGGATGACGACGATATCCAACCCGCCAGCAACCTGAGAAAACAAACAAGTATCGTGCTAAAACACCATTTAAAGCGGAGTCTCTATGGCACATGACGAGGATTCTCTGGCTCCAAAGAGCATGTGTTTTGTTTAGCGTTTGGGTAACTGTATGTGCTCTACGCTGAGCCAAGTAGTTATATCATTGGTATTATTTATTATAACTTAAAAACACTGATTAAAAAAAGTTAGGAGCTATTCCTTTAAAGTTTGATCGAATTATTTTACTCAGCATTTAAAACCTGAAGCAACCATTCTTGTCAAGAAGCTTTTATATAAATTGTATTATATAAAATATTTTAAACTTAATCTAGAATATTATAAAATGCCTTGTTCTTTAGTTTTTCTCAAACATACCTCATCTTTTGTTAAAAAAAATTTTTGTAGGTCATATTTATGTCATCGAACATCGCCAGGAAACAGGCTCCAAATACCCATCGTCATTCGACCTAACCCAACGTAAAAAGTGCAAAAACTATGCTCCTAAACTCTGACACAAATACAAGTCCTCCAAATGTATCTATATATCTCGTATTTTATTTGTGTCTGTATCTGAGCGTGTTTGGAGCAGGGCTAAAGGCAAAGGCTAACCCAAGGAAGCGACCAAGTTGAGCATGTTACTATTAATAGAGTCGTTGCCGAAGTGAACTTGTGAACTTATTTCTGGCCCATTTGGTTGCCAGGGAGCTCGGCAAATTAACAACCCGTTCACCCATTCACCCAGTGGCCCAGAGGCGCGAAATTCAGTCGGCTGGCGAGGCTTGGAGCGAGCGCTTCCGCCATGCAGACGCGTCCCAGCAGTGAGCCGCAGCGCAGCAAGGTGCAAGACCAGGCAGGGGCCAGGGGACAGGTGCCCAAGTGCGCCAGTGCCACGCTGGCCAAGAAACCAGCCACGCCTCCGGCGGCACCACCTCCAACGCCGGCCAGCAGAGGAGCTATGCCGCTCACAGTTCCGCTGATCGAGCTTACGCCCGCCCAGGGCGAGACCCCTGTGAAGGTGGCACCGCCGGAGAAGCAGGCTCCTGTTCATATAACACTGCCGGAAAACAAGGAGAACCTACCCACAAAGCCACCGCCATCGGGAAAGACTACTCCTCTGGGCGCCCCCACCAACTATGTGGCTAGACGCACCTGGATCACCACCGACCGGATGAACGAGCTCCGCCGAAAAGCCCAGGAGGCGGCCAAGCAAAACAAGATTTTCACAATCCGCGGGTGCTTCAACTCGGTACGGAACGCTCTGCTGGCGCGCGGATGGGTGGAGAAGCTGGACGTGCACCGTAAGGTGATGCCGGCGGGACAGATGACCTACGAGGATCTCACCCAGAGGCTGCCCAAGCGGAAAGCAGGAGAAACCCGACGGCAGTACGTGCAAAAATGCGAACGCAACATTATGTCACGTTTCCTGGAGCACATGCCCGTAGATTTTTTGTGGACAAATCGGAAGGAGAAGTGTGATTACATAGACCAGGCCAAAAATCCCGGGATGACCATAAATAAGTTCCACCGCGCCCCGTTCACCTCCAAGGAGGGATTGTGCAATCAGCTGCGTGACTTCCATTGGTTCTTCGAAGAGGGAACTGCAGAAATGTACTTCCCGCGGTGCTACAATGTCTGGAGCCCAGAGGAGCTGGGCGAGTTCATAGATAATTTCAAGTTGACGGCCTGCGTGGCCTTTCTGCGGGCCATGCTCTGCAAATACCATAAGCAGGGGACCGATTCCGTCTTCTCTACCAGCGGAAAGATACCCTACTCGTCGATAGACTTTGCCTACAAGCGACTGGTGGAGTACCTGGACAGCTGCCAACACAACGACATCGACTTCGAGGACCCGCCCAAGATCTGGGAGCACGACTGGGACGCGTTTCTCTTCCAGCACCAGCTCCTGGTCAACGAGGATGGACGGATACAGCACGACGGGCAGCGGTTGGATCCCATGGTGAAGAGTTGCCTCTCCCTGATCGACAAAATGAAGATCCACTGGCCCCAGTACAGCCTCGATGGATACCAGAACCTGTGGATAGTCAAGCCGGCTAATAAGTGCCGGGGAAGAGGCATCCTCCTAATGGACAACCTGAAGAAAATTCTTGGTGTCGTCAACCCGTCCATTGCCTCGAAAAGTCGCTACGTTGTGCAGAAGTATATAGGTGAGTAAAAGCCAAGAAATCCAATTACTTTATAATTTAAACAATACATAATTTTCTTATATTATTAAGTTACTCAAAATAGTCCATATTTCGAAAGCAGGACTTCCCTTATTTTAAACTTTTCCCCAAAATTAAATACTTTCAAATCGATTCCCGGATAAAGCATCTTAAGTGCAGTCCCAGAAAAGTACCCAGTACTTGGCAAGCAAACGAAATAAACAAAAACACGGAAACTAGGTCGTAAATCAGGCCGGTGCCAAAGTTGTGGTACTATGTAGCGCTGCTGCTCAAAGTTGTAGGTTCCCTGTTTTTCGGGGGAGCTCGAAACGTCAGTTGTGGTGCTTACATGCACGCACGTACATCCTGGCAGAACCTCTGATCCCATGCCTACGGAGAGTGCATAAATATTTGGCCTAAAAACGCAATCATTGCTTCTGGGTTGGTGCTACTATGACTGTCGTAGTCGTGCTCGTTTTCTGGCAGCAATCATAATTTATTTTACGGTTTCTGTCTGCCTCGAGACTGTGCAACAGGTTGGCCGGGGACCGTAGCAGGACTATTGATTTTAATTTCAGCCTGGAAATCCGTTTTCTGAGGCAGTTTCCCAGTTTGTCAATATGGAAATGTAATTGCAAATGAACTCGTATGGAGGCAATAACGGCGAAAGCAGTTTTTATTAAATTTCCGATTCCAATATGTGCACACGTGTCCTTTTTTGTGCCGAGGCATATTTGGTTTATTGACGGGCCTTATCATATTTTCAGTAAAGTGGCTTATTCAGCTATGAAAAGTAAGTCCAGATTGCAAATGATGGGGAAATCAAATAAAATCAGTACACCTTATGTGGATGTGGGATGTATGCATTGAAATAAATCAACAGGTGAACGTACCATTGATTGCTAATTCGACCTGAAAAGCCTATATAATTATTTTCAATTGAACAATAAAGTCAATAGGAGCGATGGCGGTTTTAATTAAATTCCTGATTCTGATGTAGCTATTTATGGTTCCTTTATAATAGGTATTGTTTTTGTTGAGCTGCTCTATGAGAAATCATTTTTTATAGTAATAAACGAATAGTTTTCAAACAATAATTAAAATCAACTAGCACGGCACGTCGTTTTAGGAGTAGGTTTCATGACTCTCTGCCTTTATTAAGTGACGGCTTTAATTATAAAAGTAATTGCAAGTTTCTCCACACAAACAAAACAGGGTCATGACCCTATCAAACTGAAACTTTGCTTAAAAAAACCCCTGAAAGGACTTTAATCTGACTGTAAGATAACTTATGATATGATCTTTTCAGAACGTCCTTTGATCCTTTTCCAAACAAAGTTCGACATACGTCAGTGGTTTCTTATAACCAATACCCAGGTGAGTTCTACAAATAAAAACCTTCGACAAACGATTTATAATATATTCTTTACCTTCCCAGCCTTTGGTGGTTTGGTTCTATAGGGAAAGCTATCTGCGCTTTAGCTCCCAGGAGTATAGTTTAAGTAACCATCATGAATCAGTGCACCTGACCAACTATGCGATCCAGAAAAAGTATACCAATGGCAAGCGGGACAAGCGACTGCCCAGCGAGAACATGTGGGACTGCTACTCCTTCCAGGCGTACCTGCGCCAGATCGGGAAGCACAACATGTGGCTTGAGCGGATCTTCCCCGGAATGCGCAAGGCCATCGTGGGCTGTATGCTGGCATCCCAGGAGAACATGGACCGGCGACCCAACACTTTCGAGCTCTTCGGCGCCGACTTCATGATCTGTGAGAACTTCTACCCGTGGCTGATCGAGATCAATTCCAGTCCGGATCTGGGAGCCACAACGAGTGTGACGGCACGTATGTGTCCTCAGTGCCTGGAGGATGTGGTTAAGGGTTAGTTTTCCCGAAAGTCCAAGTACTTAAAGCATTGAAAATACTCTTATTTACAGTTGTTATTGATCGACGTACGGATCCTAAGGCGGACATGGGAAACTTTGACCTGGCGTATCGCCAGGTGGTTCCTCCCACGCCCGCTTACATGGGCCTCAACCTGTACGTCAAAGGCAAGCAGATGATCCAAAAGGTGAACCACAGCAGTGGACATGGCCACCACCATTATTACTACCAACAGCAGCGCAGGGAGCGCTCCTTGGCAACGAGCAGCGTCTACCGCCAGAGGTCGGCCATTTTGCATCCAGCGACCAGCATGTCCAGGATACATCGGGCCATGCCCACATTCAATGCCACCGAGTACATGGAGAAGTACATGGTGGAGCCTCTGAGCAGCAGTCGCAGCAGCCTCAGCAGTCAGCAGCAGTCCACGCAGCAACTGCAGACACATCAGCATCAGCTTCAAAAGTCACCGTCAATTGCCACCGGCTCCGCCTGTCCCTATTTGCTGAAGCAGGCGGGTCGCTCCATCACCCAGTTGCTTAGCGCCTCTCACAAACGGAATACGGCGGGATCGGTTTCAGGTGAGGCAATCCAAAGCACTGCTCTGCCGCCCAAGCGGCAACGTAGCTGCGGACCCCGGCTCACCTCCACGAATCCGGTGGAGAGTACCGAAAAGAAGTTTAAGATTCTCATCAAGAACTATACAGCCGGCGGAAACGAGTCACTTCAGGATTCGCGACCGGAAGCAGCAACGGCTCCGGTCATAAGTGAAAGGAAGTGGCGCAGTCTCCGCAACATCACGGCCACAACAGCCGTTTCCTCAAGCTCCACCTCGCGCTGTAAAGGACTGCCTCTGCCGGCACCGGGACTGCCAACGAGGCGGTTCGTCCGCACCAAGTCCGAGATCGAGAGCACGGCCAGCATGCATGCCATAGGCAGGACCTTCGGCAGGAAGTCAAACGGACCCCGACTGCCTATCAGTATCTCTGTGCAGGCTCTGCACCGGGGAGAACCCATCGTGGCGGCCCTGAAACAGGCCACCAGTGAGCTGCAGCTTTCCCAGGCCGAAATGATGACTCCCCGAACGGCACTGGCGAGTAAGCTAAACAGTTCAACGCTTACGGTTCCAATACCCCCTCTTCCGGTTGGCTAACAATGCCAATTTTTCTTAATTGTAATCTTTTAAAAGTTTTGATTATATTCTAGCTTCATTTTTCTATACTTTTTCAACAGAAGAATTTTAATTGAATTTTAATATTAAACACTTCTTATTAAAACTAATGTTTCAAATGACAGGAAGGTCTTTCGCAATAAAGTTATATAGTTACTTAAATAAATGTTAATTTATAAAAATTAAAACCAAACTAAAAAATGTATAATATTATAAAATGTTAATGTCGAAAAAAACGACGAATATATAAAGATCATATCGAATTTTATTGCTACATTTATATTTTGATGTATGACATCATGTTGATGGGTGTTCCAATATCCAAAACCAGCATTTTCTTTTTCTTGGGTGGCAGAATTTTTCAGGAATACCGATTGATTGTGAGATTATATTTGGGAAATCTGTCGGGAACGATATTGCGACTCCAAAATATAATAAATAATTTCTGTTCGATACATTTAAATAAAGCTTTGTCTGCATATTCTTGATATTCACTGCCCTGTTGATGCAATCTTGCAGACGCAGATGGTGAAGCTATAGCATCGTCAAGTCCCATATTCTAAATTAAAAATATTGTAGTTACTTGTCCAATATAATAGATATGTTTCTTACTTGTTATAAGTCGTCACAGCATTCTTCATACAGAATTCATGATTTAGAAGCTTTTAAATTTATTTTTTATATCTTCGGGGGGTGAGCGTTCGTGGCTATTACTTAGAAGAATTTATAAGTGTTTACTAATACAGTCCTGTGAAATATTATTTATGAAAGGTGCATTATAAAACAAGAAAGGAAAGCTAACTTCGGGCGGAGCCGAAGTTTATATACCCTTGCAGTTAAAACCGGATATATATCGCAAACATCGGATATAGTTGGCCGATCCTTATGGGAATAGGAATATATAATCGAATTTATTACAATACAAAATCTAAAAAAAGTCCCAAACTTCCATCTTCAAAATACGAAAGTTGATATTTCTACCAAAAACCATTTTCGATCGTTCAGTTATATGGCAGCTATGGGATATAGTCGGCCGATCCTAATGAAATTTGATAGGTTGGATCAACTGACCAAAAATAGAATCTGTATTAAATTCCAGCTTTCTATCTTCAAAAACACGAAAGTTGGGTCATTTCCGATCGTTCAGTTATATGGCAGCTATGGGATATAGTCGGCCGATCCTAATGAAATTTGGTAGGTTGGGTCAACTGACCAAAAATAGAATCTGTATTAAATTCCAGCTTTCTATCTTCAAAAACACGAAAGTTGGGTCATTTCCGATCGTTCAGTTATATGGCAGCTATAGGATATAGTCAGCCGATCCTTATGAAATTTGGCATGACGTAATGTTTTGCCAAAAGTAGCTCTCTTGTCAAATTTGAACTCTCTAACTCTAAAAACACCAAAGTTATACCATTTCCGATCAATCAGTTATATGGCAGCTATAGGATATAGTCGGCCGATCCGGGCCGTTCCGACTTATATACTGCGTGCAAAGGAAAGAAGGGTGTGTGCAAAGTTTCAAGACGATAGCTTTAAAACTGAGAGACTAGTTCGCGTAGAAACAGACAGACGGACAGACAGACGGACAGACGGACAGACGGACAGACGGACAGACGGACAGACGGACATGCTCATATCAACTCAGGAGGTGATCCTGATCAAGAATATATATACTTTATAGGGTCGGAGATGTCTCCTTCACTGCGTTGCACACTTTTGACCAAAATTATAATACCCTCTGCAAGGGTATAAAAAAGAAATATAACTATATAAGCTGAAAATATATTTACCATATTTCTTCCAATTTTTATTTCGGTGCGGTGTACTGAAGTGCAAGATTTTCACGTGTTGTTGGATTCAGGATAGCCTTGGGTGACACATTGTGTGAGGAAGGCTGTGCTGAGGGCGCACTTGAACTTGCTTTCGAATCAGCTTTCTATAAAATATTTTTTTTTTTATGTTAGATGAGAATTTTAAGAAATCTAAGCCCGGTGACATACATTTTTCCTGGCAGTCTTGATAGGTATGCCCCTTATGGCTTTTATCTGGGGTTCCTTGATCTTATCCAGCTTTCGGCTATTGGAGGTCTTCACATTGTTTAATATTTTCCGCAGAAGCCGTGTCCTCGGGCTGTTCCTCATCTTTGGAAGATTTTCGAAGAGCGTCATCTGTTTGCCATTAAGCTCTAGCGGTTTTCCATCCGACCCCTTGTTTATACTGTAGTTGACCTCAAAGACGCGTTCAAAGAGTCCGGTCCCCGCAGAAGAGTTCTTGGGCAGATCCACTACCACACGAATGCAGTCCTTTAGGGCCATGGGACAGATCCTGGCTGTGATCTCCGTCGAGGGTGAGAGATCCGGGGTGGAGTTAATCTCAATCAGAATGGGATTATAATGCTCGTCCACCATAAAATCGCACCCATATAGCTCGAAAGCGTTTTGCACCAACTCCGTCTCGTCTATACTAGCCATCACTACTGCCACCAGATTTTGCTTGAATCCGTTGTAGATCTTTGTCCACGTCCCGTCCGGCGCACCCACATGATGGAGATGGCTTTTGAACTGGTCCAGCGACCACATGTTGTGTTTTGGAAGCCGGGTATCGCGATTGAGCTTGTTCTTGTAACGCTTCTGAACCGAGTTGTTGGTCAGGTGGATCGACTCCCGCAGATCGTCCATGGTGAACTCCTGGGAGCTAAAGCGCAGATAGCAGTCGCGGTACATCCAGATGCTCACTTTCGTTTCCGTGATTGTCAGTAGCATGTACTGCCGGATGTCAAACTTGGTACGGTAAACGAGGAGAGGTCGTTCTAGGGAAGGAAGTTAGAAATAGATAGATATATTTACCACAGATTTGGAACTCACCTATGTACTTCTGGACAATGTACTTCTTGTTCTGATTATTCGACGTCCACTGCAGGATGTCGTCCAGAGAGCTGCGTATCACGATACCAATACCACGCGACTGGTAGCCCGGCTTCAGGATCCAAAGGTTGCGGCTTCCGTCCCAGCGGTAGTCCGGGCGGAGCGATTCAATCTGATCGAGGTAGATACCCGCCAGACGAGCGTACTCGGACATCACCTTCTCGCTGACTTTAAACTTGGCGTTGGATTTGAGCAGATCTGTGGACTGGACCATGAACGTCTGGTTCTCGACAATCTCGGCGGGAGTGGGTGGCTTGATGCGGGCATCGTCCAGGGAGTAGTGCTCCGCCTGACGTATCATCTTTTTGACCTTGGCCAGGGCAAAGTCGATGGTAGTGCTGGATATAGTTCCCGTATCGCTGATCATTTCAGACGGGCGATGCTCCTTTATGTACAGCAGCAAAGAGCGGGCCTGGGTCTGCTGGTAGTCCTCGATGAAGGCCATACGCTCCTCAAGATTGTTTCCTCCCAGCCTGTAGAAGCGCGGATAGCTCATCCCGCAGACGCCGTCTTCACGGTACCATCTCTCCTGATCGGCGCATCCAACCAAGCCCACTTTGGTGGAGAAGTCTAAGAACTGGCTGCGGCGCACCCGATTCCGGAAAGGACGCACCTCGGCGCAAAGATCGCGCTGACCCTTACCCTGCCAAATGAAGAAGGCCGGAAAATGATTGATCATCTTTGAGATGACCACCGCCTCGTAATCGTTGCCACGCCTGGCATGCTCCAGCAGCGCGTCCTCGGACATGTTCTGCAACTTGGCGTGGCGAGCCGCTGGCAGCTTCTCCAGCCAACCGCGCCGCATCAATGCCCGCCTCACCGTGTGGTAGTTCCCGTACACTGTGAAGATCCGTCGATTTCGGTACGCGTCAATCACCCGTGTCCGGTAAACGTTGCGCATCTGCCGCTTGTGTGCATCCGGGGCCATCGGCGAGCTGGTCGTTGGCGGCCGGGCTGTCAAGCTGGAGGAACGGGCTCGGGCCAGCAAGTTGCCGATACTTTCCGGTCGATACTGACCGCTGCTGAAGCCGCCATGCATGGGAATGTTGGAGCTGGTGACTGTGCCGGAGCCCAGAGGTCCTGTGCCATGCGCGTAATTATGGGCGTAGCTGCTACTACTGCCATTGTTGTTGGTCAAGGGCTTTGGCACGGAGCACTGCTTGCAGAGCTGCACCAGTTCCGCATCAAGGTTATGGATGAGTGATTGGATCTTGGAGACAGGATTATAGTACCGGTTGCGGTTTCCAGGACCGGAAAATCCGCCCGGCGTACTCTGTGTCATACTGCTGGCTACTGCTCCTCCTTCTCCGTCTCCAACGGTGATCCGGCTGTCTTCGGTCTTTCTTTTTTTCGTTTCTCTGTACGTTTGCTTGAGCTGGGGCGTGGTGACCGTCCTCGGCGGCCTCCCTCCCTTCTGCGTCCGGTGTGTGTTGGGTGGGTGGCTAGGCTACTCGACAAAACTGTCGATTGCTCCTTGCAACTAACGTGAAATTTTGAAGCAGAAGCCAAACAGTTTCTAACAGTATCGCATGTACTAACGAAAAATCTTTATAGATTTATAAAACATTTCTTTGTATAGACAATAAAATTTAAGACCAAAAAGAGAAAACCTTTGACGAAACGAGTGCGAAATTAACTAGAAACAACTATTGAAAATCAACTCAGAGCTTGCTGAAACATCCAATGGAAGTAACTAATGCCGGAAAAATTTATCAACGACTATTAAATCATCAAAAATTTATTGAATAATATATAAAACAATAAAATGCCAAGTTCCTTTCCATGCGTTCTTAGAATTTTTTAAATTTTAATAAATAATTCTCTTATAAGAAGTTGATTCAAACTCCTACTATGGCAACCGCTGCGGGTCAAATTGGCACTCCCATGCATTCTTTATATTTTTGAGGGGACCCCCTAGAAAATTTGACAAAATATCTAACAAATATTTTGTTCCTAGGTTTTGATGCAGATTAACAGAGAATCGATCTACAAATCGTTCAAGGTACTCCGCTTAAGAATCGGATGATTTTTGGCCAAGTTATGCCTTTCACTGTGGCCGATAATGGGCCGATAATGGGCAACTTTTTTGAAGGGGACCCCCTAGAAAATTTGACAAAATATCTAACAAATATTTTGTTCCTAGGTTTTGATCCAGATTAACAGAGAATCGATCTACAAATCGTTCAAGGTACTCCGCTTAAGAATCGGATGATTTTTGGCCAAGTTATGCCTTTCACTGTGGCCGATAATGGGCATCCATGCATTTTTCACTTTTTTGAAGGGGACCCCAGAAAATTTGACAAAATATCTGAAAAATATTTTGTTCCTAGGTTTTGATGCAGATTAACAGAGAATCGATCCACAAATCCTTCAAGGTATTCCTTTCATGAATCGGATGATTATTGGCAAAGTTATGCCTTTCACTGTGGCCAATATTGGGCATCCATGCATTTTCCACTTTTTTGAAGGGGACCCCCTAGAAAATTTGACAAAATATCTGAAAAATATATTGTTCCTAGGTTTTGATGCAGATTAATAGAGAATTAATCTACAAATCGTTTAAGGTATTCCTTTCATCGGATGATTATGGGCAAAGTTATGCCTTTCACTGTGGCCAATATTGGGCATCCATGCATTTTCCACTTTTTTGAAGGGGACCCCCTAGAAAATTTGACAAAATATCTGAAAAATATTTTGTTCCTAGGTTTTGATGCAGATTAATAGAGAATTGATCTACAAATCGTTTAAGGTATTCCTTTCATGAATCGGATGATTATTGGCAAAGTTATGCCTTTCACTGTGGCCAATATTGGGCATCCATGCATTTTCCACTTTTTTGAAGGGGACCCCCTAGAAAATTTGACAAAATATCTGAAAAATATTTTGTTCCTAGGTTTTGATGCAGATTAACAGAGAATCGATCCACAAATCGTTCAAGGTATTCCTCTCATGAATCGGATGATTATTGGCAAAGTTATGCCTTTCACTGTGGCCAATATTGGGCATCCATGCATTTTCCACTTTTTTGAAGGGGACCCCCTAGAAAATTTGACAAAATATCTGAAAAATATTTTGTTCCTAGGTTTTGATGCAGATTAACAGAGAATCGATCCACAAATCGTTCAAGGTATTCCTTTCATGCTTCGGATGATTATTGGCAAAGTTATGCCTTTCACTGTGGCCAATATTGGGCATCCATGCATTTTCCACTTTTTTGAAGGGGACCCCCTAGAAAATTTGACAAAATATCTGAAAAATATTTTGTTCCTAGGTTTTGATGCAGATTAATAGAGAATTGATCTACAAATCGTTTAAGGTATTCCTTTCATGAATCGGATGATTATTGGCAAAGTTATGCCTTTCACTGTGGCCAATATTGGGCATCCATGCATTTTCCACTTTTTTGAAGGGGACCCCCTAGAAAATTTGACAAAATATCTGAAAAATATTTTGTTCCTAGGTTTTGATGCAGATTAACAGAGAATCGATCCACAAATCGTTCAAGGTATTCCTTTCATGCTTCGGATGATTATTGGCAAAGTTATACCTTTCACTGTGGCCAATATTGGGCATCCATGCATTTTCCACTTTTTTGAAGGGGACCCCCTAGAAAATTTGACAAAATATCTGAAAAATATATTGTTCCTAGGTTTTGATGCAGATTAATAGAGAATTAATCTACAAATCGTTTAAGGTATTCCTTTCATCGGATGATTATGGGCAAAGTTATACCTTTCACTGTGGCCAATATTGGGCATCCATGCATTTTCCACTTTTTGAAGGGGACCCCCTAGAAAATTTGACAAAATATCTGAAAAATATACTGTTCCTAGGTTTTGATGCAGATTAATAGAGAATTAATCTACAAATCGTTTAAGGTATTCCTTTCATCGGATGATTATGGGCAAAGTTATACCTTTCACTGTGGCCAATATTGGGCATCCATGCATTTTTAACTTTTTGAAGGGGACCCCCTAGAAAATTTGACAAAATATCTAACAAATATTTTGTTCCTAGGTTTTGATCCAGATTAACAGAGAATCGATCTACAAATCGTTCAAGGTACTCCGCTTAAGAATCGGATGATTTTTGGCCAAGTTATGCCTTTCACTGTGGCCGATAATGGGCATCCATGCATTTTTCACTTTTTTGAAGGGGACCCCCAGAAAATTTGACAAAATATCTGAAAAATATTTTGTTCCTAGGTTTTGATGCAGATTAACAGAGAATCGATCCACAAATCCTTCAAGGTATTCCTTTCATGAATCGGATGATTATTGGCAAAGTTATGCCTTTCACTGTGGCCAATATTGGGCATCCATGCATTTTCCACTTTTTTGAAGGGGACCCCCTAGAAAATTTGACAAAATATCTGAAAAATATATTGTTCCTAGGTTTTGATGCAGATTAATAGAGAATTAATCTACAAATCGTTTAAGGTATTCCTTTCATCGGATGATTATGGGCAAAGTTATACCTTTCACTGTGGCCAATATTGGGCATCCATGCATTTTCCACTTTTTGAAGGGGACCCCTAGAAAATTTGACAAAATATCTGAAAAATATATTGTTCCTAGGTTTTGATGCAGATTAATAGAGAATTAATCTACAAATCGTTTAAGGTATTCCTTTCATCGGATGATTATGGGCAAAGTTATACCTTTCACTGTGGCCAATATTGGGCATCCATGCATTTTTAACTTTTTTGAAGGGGACCCCCTAGAAAATTTGACAAAATATCTAACAAATATTTTGTTCCTAGGTTTTGATCCAGATTAACAGAGAATCGATCTACAAATCGTTCAAGGTACTCCGCTTAAGAATCGGATGATTTTTGGCCAAGTTATGCCTTTCACTGTGGCCGATAATGGGCATCCATGCATTTTTCACTTTTTTGAAGGGGACCCCCAGAAAATTTGACAAAATATCTGAAAAATATTTTGTTCCTAGGTTTTGATGCAGATTAATAGAGAATTGATCTACAAATCGTTTAAGGTATTCCTTTCATGAATCGGATGATTATTGGCAAAGTTATGCCTTTCACTGTGGCCAATATTGGGCATCCATGCATTTTCCACTTTTTTGAAGGGGACCCCCTAGAAAATTTGACAAAATATCTGAAAAATATTTTGTTCCTAGGTTTTGATGCAGATTAACAGAGAATCGATCCACAAATCGTTCAAGGTATTCCTTTCATGCTTCGGATGATTATTGGCAAAGTTATACCTTTCACTGTGGCCAATATTGGGCATCCATGCATTTTCCACTTTTTTGAAGGGGACCCCCTAGAAAATTTGACAAAATATCTGAAAAATATATTGTTCCTAGGTTTTGATGCAGATTAATAGAGAATTAATCTACAAATCGTTTAAGGTATTCCTTTCATCGGATGATTATGGGCAAAGTTATACCTTTCACTGTGGCCAATATTGGGCATCCATGCATTTTCCACTTTTTTGAAGGGGACCCCCTAGAAAATTTGACAAAATATCTGAAAAATATACTGTTCCTAGGTTTTGATGCAGATTAATAGAGAATTAATCTACAAATCGTTTAAGGTATTCCTTTCATCGGATGATTATGGGCAAAGTTATACCTTTCACTGTGGCCAATATTGGGCATCCATGCATTTTTAACTTTTTTGAAGGGGACCCCCTAGAAAATTTGACAAAATATCTAACAAATATTTTGTTCCTAGGTTTTGATCCAGATTAACAGAGAATCGATCTACAAATCGTTCAAGGTACTCCGCTTAAGAATCGGATGATTTTTGGCCAAGTTATGCCTTTCACTGTGGCCGATAATGGGCATCCATGCATTTTTCACTTTTTTGAAGGGGACCCCCAGAAAATTTGACAAAATATCTGAAAAATATTTTGTTCCTAGGTTTTGATGCAGATTAACAGAGAATCGATCCACAAATCCTTCAAGGTATTCCTTTCATGAATCGGATGATTATTGGCAAATTTATGCCTTTCACTGTGGCCAATATTGGGCATCCATGCATTTTCCACTTTTTTGAAGGGGACCCCCTAGAAAATTTGACAAAATATCTGAAAAATATTTTGTTCCTAGGTTTTGATGCAGATTAACAGAGAATCGATCCACAAATCGTTCAAGGTATTCCTTTCATGCTTCGGATGATTATTGGCAAAGTTATGCCTTTCACTGTGGCCAATATTGGGCATCCATGCATTTTCCACTTTTTGAAGGGGACCCCTAGAAAATTTGACAAAATATCTGAAAAATATATTGTTCCTAGGTTTTGATGCAGATTAATAGAGAATTAATCTACAAATCGTTTAAGGTATTCCTTTCATCGGATGATTATGGGCAAAGTTATACCTTTCACTGTGGCCAATATTGGGCATCCATGCATTTTCCACTTTTTTGAAGGGGACCCCCTAGAAAATTTGACAAAATATCTGAAAAATATATTGTTCCTAGGTTTTGATGCAGATTAATAGAGAATTAATCTACAAATCGTTTAAGGTATTCCTTTCATCGGATGATTATGGGCAAAGTTATACCTTTCACTGTGGCCAATATTGGGCATCCATGCATTTTTAACTTTTTGAAGGGGACCCCTAGAAAATTTGACAAAATATCTAACAAATATTTTGTTCCTAGGTTTTGATCCAGATTAACAGAGAATCGATCTACAAATCGTTCAAGGTACTCCG